GTCCAGACTCACTCACTTTGTGAGTATTCAACCAATGATTGGCTAGTAGGCTTCTCTAATCCCTCCATCTTCTAGGGTACCCCCAGCGGAACGATCGAATCCGTGCCTGGCTACGAACCCTCTTTCAAGGCCAACGTTAACTTTGGCGCCGACTGGTTGTCTTTTGATCCAGACGGCAAGCACGCACGTATTGATCTGAAGGGTATGGCTAGGTCAGTAGTCCGAACTCTGTCTTTTTTGGCGCCTTTCATGAGATCTGGAACTGATACGTCTATGGCTCCAGGACCGAAGAAGGTCATGCGATTGATTTCCGTTACGTGGGCATCATCAAGATGCCCCCTGAGGTCTGGAAGATCTTCAATATGGATGCCAATGCTGAGACCGTGCCCTTTGGCCACGCCAGTAAGTCTCTAACTTTTGCGTGGCAGCCCCAATTCGGAAATGCTTGATTTGCTAATATCATCAATAGCTGGCTCCCATACATTCCTCGTGGCTGATCCCGCGCTGAAGGATTTGGAGAATAATGTTTTCGTCAGCAACGGACGTATCTTGGTTCATGAGAAGGGTTTGACGGTTGAGACTAGACAGTCGATAGTCGTGGCTTCCACTGATATGGAGTGATTGGGCTGGAAAAGGTTGTTGTTGACAGTAATCTCTTTCCATAGAGGAACCATGATAATACAGCAATGAAAGAGCAAGGATCTGGACTCTTCGAAGGCCAGATCACCCTCTACCGTCCAACACCAGCTCCACCTAAATTTGTGATTGTTGTTCCGCTACTGTATAGGTTTACAAGAAACCCAAGCCAACCAGATTCGCAGTCGTTGACGCGAAACTCTCAATGAGCAGTAGATAGAGGCGGTAGTGCTGCTCCAGTTGTGTGAGCCTACCAAGCCCGAATTCTCATCGATCCAGATTGTGCAGTCAGTAACACAAGGTCATCCGAGGGAGGTAGACATCAGCATTGTAGATCTACATCAAGCGTACTAGGTATAACATCCAGATTTGATTGCATTTTTCTACCTCTTGTTCAAGCAATAATACCCAAACTACGAGACTTTTGAGGTTGTTTGGCCATCAGACGCAAACAAGATCTCGTCCCTCAGCCAGCTCAAGACTAAACTTGCGCTTCCTGGACCTGCAAGAAGTGTAACGAGGGCAGCGATCCCGGACGATTTAATCCAACTAGTAGAGTGCCCTGAAACGACGACTGCCGTGCGAAGTTGCGAGGCCATCACCAGCATGATGATAGGATATCCAATGGCCTGATCCCAAAGAAGAAAACTTCTGACTCCATCGCCGACTGTGTTGCTTCTGGTTATCGAGAGTGGTGGCAGGAAAATCGATGCCGGATTGAGGTGATTTGCAAACGGAGCATCAAAGATGGATGGAAACAACACAGTCGATAGAGAAAGAGTCAAGACCGCGACGTGAAGGGTCGCTGTCAGAGCCAAGGACATGCTGTAAACCAGTCTGAGAGCCCGCATGTGTGCTTGTGATCCGTCGTTTAAGAGTTTGCTTTGCTGCGTGGAAGATGGTGCAAGGAGAAATCCAGAGACCTTGAGAATTGCCGCGACCCATAGAGGGAATAGATTCCAGACAACAAGGAATATTTGTTGGAAGCCATTGGAGACGACTGTAGGCGATGGTAATGCCATAAGTATAGCGGGTACAGCATATCCGAGGATCAAAGCTGGGACAACGAGAAGTGTCTTGAGTGAGGGAACAAGAGACACACGCTGAAGAGCTTGTCTCGATAAATCTCTTGACATAGTAGGAGAGGAATTTATATATGCCAATGCCCACACAAAGCCCGCGCTACCAACAGAGCACATTTGGAACAAAACGAGCCAAAGTGTGGCATTAAACAGGCTGGAAGAGTTATTCTTGCCGGCACGTAGGCTATCGACGTAGAAGAGGACCAGGATGGAGAAGAACTGGCCGAGAAAGTAGATGCCGGCGGCAGATGTTGCGGGATGGGAGCCATCGACTGCTTCCCAGAAGAAAATGACGAGGACACCGAGCAGGTAGTCGAAGGGCCAGTATATGCCCGTGAATTTTGTTCGGAGAGCGTATGTAGTGCCAGGTAGAATGTAATAGTCAGTCCGGTGCAGAGCATGGAACAAATGGAGCAGTGTTCCATCTGCTGCCGCACGTCCCCATGTGCCGAGTGTACCCAGTAAGCCTAGTAGATAGAGAACAGCCTTCATTGTGAAAGAGACGCAGTCAAGACTGCAGATGGTGTTCGAGGAGACAGAAGACACGCCATATCGCTATACTATATGTCGTCGGACAGCATGCTGTCGGAGAATTCGGACCGGTGTTGGCATATAACATTACATGCTCAAGTATGAATGTACGCTCAGCCCTCATCAGGACGACACACGAGTAGAGGCTTGAGATTGCTCATGTCTGAAGCTGTGTCGATGTGTGTGCCTCAGATCGGGCGGGGTAAACCGAGACGCGAATCGGACGAGGTCAAGGTCCGACTCCGACGGATGTTGCTCAAGGGCATACGCTCCGTCTTGGCTTCGTCCTTCGTACAACTCTCCCTTTGCTTGCGCCAGTTGCGTCCATACTCCGATCCGATTATCATCTGTACAGCATCGCGACTCGGATGTAACACCAAGCTATGGCGTCCAGCGTACGATATGACGCCAGCGAGAACGAGGGGTTGAGTCTGGACAAGACGGTCCGCGCGTGTACCAATTGTGTGCGAGCAAAGGCAAGATGCTCACCTGGCCCGCGAGTAGGCGCCAAATGTGAAAGGTAACGGGCTGGGTCTGCACTTGGTCCACCTTACTGCGACTGACCACCGCCGCGGCAGGTGTCATCGCATGAGAAAAGACTGTCATCCGTCTCCACCCATGAGGAAACGCCGAACCGTCACCACCCGACATGCTGCTGATAGAGTCGAGAAGCTCGAGGAGAAGCTGGATGGCCTTTACTCTCTGATCCATCGTGCAACTCAAGGTATCGCTGGCAATGTAGATGCTGCTCTGCCTGACAACCTGCTGTCCTCGAGTGAGCCCTCCGAGTCTTTCGCTGTACCCTTTGAGCCAGCTTCTCAGAATGCTGTCGAACCTTTGCCGCTCGATTCAATCCCTCCTACCTCATCAACTAGCACGAGACATTTGATCAATTCGGCGTTGGACCCCAGCCGAGAAGACGCAGACTTCTATCTAAATAGGTTTAGGACAAAATTCGTCCATCATTTCCCCGTCCTCGCTCTTTCACCCTCCATGACGTCGGAACAGCTTCGTCAAGAAAGCCCGATTCTACGGATATGCATCATGACAGTAGCCTCGACTCGTTCTACGCAGCAGATTGCTTTGTCCAACGAGGTCAGAGCAATGCTGGCAAGAGAAGCCTATGTCGAGGGAACAAGGAGTATGGACATCCTCTTGGGTACTCTTGTTTACGCTGCATGGTGAGAGTGTCTCTCTTGATCGTGCCAGTACCGTATGATCTGACACGGAATATCAGGGATCGTCGATACTCTCTTGATAAACCAATCTTGACCAGCCTTGTTCAACTGGCAATTGCAATCCTATACGACCTGGGACTCGACAAGCCTTACTCCAACGACCCGGGAGTCTTGCTAGTATACGAGCTCAGAGGGTCGCAGAAACCCTCGAGATTTTCGAGATTCCCGACCTTGGAAGAACGAAGGGCCCTACTTGGCTGTTTTCTGATGAGTTCGGTGTCAGTGTTTCGCCGCCTGCATTTTGCATTCATGCTGATAAGCACAGTTCATCTTTTGCAAGAAGAGGGGAGACAATGCGCTGGACGCCTTTCTGCGACGAATGTCTCCGTGTCCTTGAAGAACAAAGCGAGTGTGCGACTGACACCTTACTTGTCAGCTTGGTTCGACTTCGTCTCATAGCCGAGAGGGTAGTCGACGTGCCCTCCCCGGAGTCTGCTGTGGCCAGTTGCGTCCCTCACATATCTGTGACATACTATATCCGATCGTTACAGACACAACTGCACGACTTCAAATCGAGTATGGCCAACCAGCTGGCAGTTCATCGTACGTTGCCTTTTGGTCACATGGTTATAGTCGTACTCACCTTCGTCTGTAGGCACTCTTTTGTTGCAACTACATAACACGGAGCTTTGCATCCACGAACTTGGCTTCGCACAAGCGTCGGGCGCGTTTGCGAGTCAGACCAACGAGCAATTCGAATGTCTCTGTGCTTGTTTGCAAGCTGCAAAATCATGGGTCGACGTTTTTCTCCTCATCGAACCGTCCGACTACGTGGGTTTCTCAACTTGCACATATACACAGATGACACACAGCTTCATAAGTCTATGGCGCCTTTCGAACTGCGAATATCCCGGATGGAGCAGAAGTTTGGTGCGAGACAATGTAGACGTGTCGTCAAAACTGGCAGAGACGGAGCAGAAATTTGCCCAAGTCAAGGAGATGGCTAAGCTTGATGACAATGGCTCGGAAGATCTTGACTACTTTAGCATAATGGCTTCTCGACTTCGCTCGATGAAGATCTCGTGGGATCTGATGGACGTCCCGGGTGCGGGAACCTTTGATCCCCTTGCGCCCGATGGGATGGAGGGCATCTCGACGGATTTCTTGGACGTTTGGAATTGGATCACTCAACAATGAAGTTTATGAGTATGATTACATATCAGAGTAATTGGTTGCCCTTGGTCGATCATCCCGTGTTGACGAGCCAGAGGCACAAATTGAGACTGATACACCGGACAGAATAATCCGATGCGAAATGGACATGTCTTTGCGAAGCCCCGACTCTCCAATCGGATCGGAGCTTGGGATGCATCTGATGGTCCGATGGCTTTATCACATGCACAAAACGACATTCTTTGGTACTCTGCCCCTCCATTCCGCCAACTATTAACAACTTGTATCTTGCACACAGCTTCCCGTACCTTGCTCATCCCCTTCTTCCCAACGTGGAGATTTCAATTCCAGGCTTTTGACGACTGCGAAAAAGAGGCTTTCGCGTCCATATCAATCTACCATGCCCTTCAACCCCGCAACAGATATCGGTGATCTGTCTGGAAAGGTGATCTTCGTGACTGGAGGTCAGTGAAAGAAATCGCAGAGGGTCAAAATTTGTACTCACATTCCTCCTACTCACCAAGGCACCTCTGGAATCGGCAAAGCAGCAGTGCTGGCACTTGCAGCACACCACCCCAGCGAAATCTACTTTACAGGCCGCAACACCCAAGCCGGCCGTGATGTTACCGCTCTGCTCAAGTCGTCGGCTCCTTCAGTGCAAACCCATTTCATCGAGTGCGACTTGGCTTCCCCTCGCCAGACCATCCGTGAAGCCATTGTCGCCGGCTTCACAGCAAAAAGATTGGACATTCTGATTGCCAATGCGGGAATCATGGCGACACCTGCTGCCCTGACAAAGGAAGGTTTCGAGATCCAATTCGGGACAAACTATCTCGGACACGCTGTGCTTGTGCGTGTGCTGCGTGAACAGCTCTTGCGTACAGCACAGCAAGGTAGCGACACACGCCTCGTGGTCGTCAGCTCGTTCGGACACACATTGGCGCCACCCTCAGGCATAGACTTTGACGCCTTGCGCACCGCAAACGCAGGCACCACATGGCAGCGCTACGGACAGAGCAAACTCGCCGACATCTATCTCGCAAAGTCGTTTGCGAGACACTTTCCACAGGTGACGAGTGTATCCGTGCATCCGGGACTCGTGCGCACGCAGCTCAGCAATGGCGTCGAGAGCTCCTGGTTGACACCCGTGTTCAAATTGCTGCGCTGGACACCGCTGTATCAGAGTGCAGACAAGGGCGCGTGGAATGTGCTTTGGGCGGCCACGGCTCCAAAAGATCAGATCAAGAATGGCATGTACTATGAACCCGTGGGCAAGGAACCTGGGAAGGCAGCCAAGGGTTCTGGTCAGTCAGAGACGGTCAAGGATGAGGCGCTGGCGGAAAGACTTTGGCAATGGACAGAGGGTGAACTGAGTAATGTTGCCTAGAGATGTCTTGCTAGCAAATTCGCTGATGATATATGTCAGCGATGTCGGGACAAGGGCACAGATCAGGAATGCTTGTGTGATCCGTGATGATCTGTTCATTATTTGACAAGATTGTGGTTCTAGCACATACGGCCACAGTCAGCTGAAAACTGGGCATCCCGTCCGCTCTGCCATACATAAGCAGTTGAACGGCAGATTAGTACTACGGTGGGTGACCACGTGGGAATCCCTGCTGCTGTATGTTTTTGTGTCCCATCCTTTTTTGCTTGTTGTTCCGCGATGAGAGAATGTAGGGTGGTGACATGTTCGTTACCTAATATGAGGTTTTGCGTCGCGGATAGCTTCTCAAACGACATCTGTTTACCTGCTCTTGGAGGGAATAAATGCTGGGCAATAGCGGCTTAGAATGCTACGCAAGGCTTCCTCTATACATATGCAAAAATACTGTTCCGCATCGTTTCTTACACTTAAGCACTAGCCTCTCCTTCAGCTTGCCTGGCAGCAACACTTCCACCTTTCCAATGACTCTTGGGATCGCTCCACAACTTACTTGCCTTGCTCTCCTCGCCCACAGGCCCCCAACCACCACCGCCAGGCGTGTTGATGATAATCCTCTCGCCGGGCTGGAAAGCTGCAGTGTTCTTTCCTCCCAAGTTGATATACCGGACCTCTTGCTCTTCCTCCACTTTATCGTTTTCTTCGGGTGCTTTGGCAACATTGCGTACCCAGAGGTTTTTGCCGCAAGATGCGTCTTCGCCGCCGGCGAGACCATAAGGATGGTACACGCGACGTTCGCTGAGAATGGAGACTTGGACTGGGATTCTGAACTCGATGTCGCGAACGACTCCGTCACCGCCGTTGTGTTGGCCTTTGCCGCCAGAGCCGGCTCGTAAGCTGAATTCGCGTAGGATGACTGGGTATCGACGTTCGAAGACCTCGCTGTCTGTGATGCGTGTGTTTGTCATGTGTGTGTGCACGCCATTTGTACCATCCCAAGTGGGTCCTGCACCTGATCCTCCAGCGATGGTCTCGTAGTAGCCAAAGCCTTTGACATGTTCTTTGCCATCTGCATTGCCGCCAAAGCCAAAGGTCAGGTTGTTGCAGTCACCTTGGGAAGCAGCGCAGGCTTGGAAAGCTTTCAAGACGACATCGGTTACTCTTTGAGACGTAAGGACATTGCCGCCGACGACTGCCGCAGTGGCTGAAGGCGACAAGAAAGACTTTTTCGGAATCTTGACATGGATGGGGGTTAGACATCCTTGGTTCAGAGGAATGTCCTCGCTGATGAGGCAGCGCAGGCAGTAGATGATGGCGCTGTATGTCACTGCTTCGGGCGCGTTCGTGTTTCCATATANCCTATAAAAACGTGGTCAGTAGTAGTTCCAAAAATCCAACAGGTGTGATCTCACCTCCGGTCCTGTGCCTGTGAAGTCAAACACAGCTTCACCCTTCTCTGCATCAATCTGGACGTTTAGCTTGATAGGACTGCCATCATCCATGTAATCGACTGCCGACAAGTCTTGACCCTCAAAACGCTTGCTGACTTCCTTGAGCAGCATGCGAACACTGTTCTCTGCATTTTGCTGAATACTCCTCATATAGAATTGAACGACGTTTTCGGCATAGTCATCAATGAGTGTATTGATCAAATTTATACCCTTTTGATTTGCAGCAACTTGAGCTTTCAAGTCCGAGATGTTGTCTGCTAAGCAACGAGTTCCGCTGCATCCAGGATGTTGTGCCGGTTCGTCAAGCAGAAGCTCAGTGATACGCTTCTCGTTGAACCTTCCCTCCGAGACTAGCTTCTCGGTCTTGATTGATGCTCCTTCCTGGAATAGTTCTCGGGAATGAGGCGGCATGGACCCAGGAAGAATACCTCCTATATCTGCGTGATGAGCGCGGGAGGCGACATAAAAGACGATCTTGTCGCCGCTGAACGCCGGTGTGATGACCGTGATATCAGGCAAATGGGTGCCACCATACATGGGATGGTTTGAGACCAAGACATCGCCTCGTTTGAGCTTGCCCTCCCAGATCTTTGCCTGCTTCTGCACACATGTGCTCATGCTACCCAGGTGTACGGGAAGATGAGGTGCGTTGGCGACTAGACCTCCGGTTGAATCGAAAAGTGCACACGAATAATCTAGTCGCTCCTTGACGTTAGTGCTGACACTCGTCTTCTGTAACGCGCGACCCATTTGTTCTGCAATCGCCATGAATCGATGGGCAAAGATACTGAGCATGATCGGATCAACAGTCTCGGTGTCAAGCTTCTTCTCGGATCCGTCACTCTCTCCAATGTTGATGACGACGTGGGTGTCAATAACAAGAGCAGAAGCGCCAGGTGTAACAACAATAGTCTGAGTGCCATCGGCAATGATAGCGGGTCCTTGGATGCGGTCGCCAAGTGCGAGGTCTTCAAGCTTGTAGATGGAAGTTTCCTGTCGGCCTCCCTCGAAGTAGACCTGGGATTTGCCGTAGATCTTTTCATCTTTACCAACATCTTTTGGCTTGACTTCTTGCAACTGTTGGTCGACTGTCTTTTCCAGACCTTCGAAAGTCTTGCCGATACCACGAGCTCTGACATCATCAACAATGATGTCTCTGTCAGGAAGTGTGAACCCGAACTCTTGTTCATGCTGTTCGACAAATGCTCTGCCAAAAGCCCAGTCGTCGCCGTCGAACCTCTTTTCGGCGTCTTCTCCGCTCGGCTTGATGATCATCAAGGCTGACTCGGTTCCTCTATATCTCATGTTGAGGTACTCTTCGAAGTGCACATGGCCTTCTTCGAAGCCTTGGTCCTTCAAGGTGGCCTTTGACTTCTTCTTGAGCTCTTCCATCTTGTTTTGGAAGTACTTGCGTACATCTCCTTCGTCGGACCAGACCTTCGAGTCAGGTTCTTGCCTTTCGTCAACAACATCAGCAAGGGCCATGCCATATGCGGAAAGAACTGAGGAGTATCGATGGATCAAGATTTGGCTGATTCCGAGAGCTTCGGCGATAGCAACTGCATGTTGACCACCTGCGCCACCAAAGGTCGCAAGTCTGTGCTTCGAAGTGTCATGACCTCTTGCCTCGGTCAAACTGCGGATAGGTCTTGTCATGGTCTCGTTTGCGATTTTGATAAATCCATAGGCAACTTCATCAGCAGACATGTTCTTGTCCTTGACCTCTTGATTGATCTTCGTGGTGAGCTCTTCGAAAAGCTTCTTGCTAGCTTCCGGATCCAGGCCCTCATCTTCGTTCTTGCCGAAGATCTTGGGGAAGAAATCGGGCAGAAGGCGTCCGAGGAACAAGTTGGCATCGGTAATCGTGAGTGGTCCATCTTTTCTGTAGCAAGCAGGTCCAGGATGTGCGCTTGCCGATTCCGGTCCTACAACAAACAAGCCATTCTTGAAGAACAACCGTGAGCCACCTCCGGCAGCGACCGTGTTGATATCGAGCTGGGGAGATTGGATGGTAACACCAGCGGTCGTGGTCTCGAAGACATGTTCGTATCGTCCTTCACCGTATCTTGAAACATCGGTGCTAGTTCCTCCCATATCAAAGCCGATGACGGGGGTTTTCGTCTTGGGGTCGTATGAAGTCAAGGCATATCCGACCACACCGCCAGCAGGCCCACTCAAGATAGCGCGCAGACCTGAGAATGAATCGACATCAACCAAGCCTCCATCTGACTGCATGAATTCACATCGTGCTCCTCTTGCGCCTTCTTCATGCTTGACGCTGGCAGTGCCTAGTCCACCTTCGAACCCTTTTTGGAAGCCGTCAATGTATTTACGAATGGCGGGAGTAAGGTATGCATCTGCACAAGCTGATGTAGCGCGAGGTACAAGCTTGATCATGGGCATCAATTCGTGACTCAAACTGACGTGCTCGAAACCAATTTCTTTGGCGATCTTGCCGACCAAGGCTTCATGTTTCGGGAAAGTGTAGCCGTGCATGAGACAGACGGCGATACTCTTGAGGCCAGAATCATAGACTTCCTGCAACTGCTTGCGTATTTGGTCGTGGTCGGGTCTCTTGAGAATGCGAACAGCTTCGCCTGACAAGCCTTTGACGAGTTCGGCATTGTCGCCGGCGTCGTCGATAGCTTTTGCGTCTGTGTGATTCCTCGTAGGATCCTCGGCATAATCTTCCAGTGTGACTCTTTCCTCAACCTCGACGACTCTTTTGTAAAGAACTTCGGGCTTCTTGATTGCCAAGTCGAAGATGTTGGGTCGGCTCTGGTTACCAATCTCTAGACAGTCCTTGAAGCCTTTTGTGACAACCATGGCGATATCCTCTCCTTTTCTTTCTAGTAAAGCGTTTGTGGCTACGGTGGTGCCCATTCTGATGCTCTCGATCTTGGTCGTGTCTAGCGGTTCGCCTCGGGNGATGTCTTTGCCGGTAAATTTGGAGAGTAGGCGACGAATGCCTTCCAAGGGGGCGTCGTCATAGTTTTGGGGATCCACGGAGAGTAACTTGATCACGACGTCGTCTTCCATGTTGCCTGTGCCGGGGTTGCCGACGCAGTCTGTGANACTGGAGTACAGTAAGTCGGCTTTGTTGAGAAGGAAAGAGAGAGTACGACTCACAGTACCGCCACGATCAATGGCGATGCGGATGCCGCGCTCGCTTCTCTTCTCTGAAGGCATAGTGGGCAGCTTGGATGATTATACACTCGGGTGTTTACTGCGAAGTCCGGGTCTAAATATGGCGCGAGATACAAGTCGTGATGTCAAGTAGATGTATGGGTATAAGACAAGCTAGGCGAGAGAAGTATAAGGAAAGAAGACAAGGATAGGAGAGAGTTGAACAGAATGATTGCTTAACAATTCAAGATGGCTGATCGGAGAGGGTCACCTATCGCAGCATGGCGCCCCACTGCAATTGTGACGTGCGTCGGAAGCCTGGCCCGATGGCGGGGGGGCACGAGAGTTGTCTCTGGCAGGAAGACATGATTAGTCTGACCATGTCAAAGCAGTGTAGACAAGTTCAGCTTGTATGGGAGCAGTCGAGAGAATGTATGTACAGGATCGAAGTGGAAAGAAATGTTTGTCCAAAGTGCATGGGAAATGCTTGTCAAAAGACGCGTGCAGACAGCTTCCGCACGGACAAAGAGTGTGGGAAGGGTCGAGTGTGGGACAAGTGCGACATGATGGCGCCTGCTGCATGCCCGTGTGTGTTCATCGTCGACGGTTACAATCAAATTGTCGCAACATGTCGCTGTCGCTGAACTTCTCCTATTGAGTCTACTCTCTGTCCCACAACCAGCTATACCACTGTGCAATGAACGACTCTTGCGCCCGATCCCTCGCTTCCGACAACCCCCCTGTACTCATAGATCCAAAGCGCCATGGAAGACCATCCACACGACCACGAGCACGACGAAGAGCATGCCTTGGCCGAACAACCCAAGCCGCGCGAGCTACCTGCCGACCTGCCTCGCTCATTAGATGACCGCAAGGCCTTCTCTGGCTACGGCAATGTCGAGACCGAGTACTACGATGCCTGGCAAGGTATGTAGCTGCCTGACTTGTACAACCGAAATCCTGACATTTCCCCCAACNNAGGCCAGTCTCAGTTCCTCACCGCCCCCACCATCGCCCAGTCGAACAACTTCAATCTCTCACTAAACGAACCCGACGACTTTGATCCTTCCGAACGCGACCTGGCTGAGCACGACTCCAGGCTGGCCCACATGTTGGCAACCCAGGTCCGAAGCAACGAGGACGACAATGATATCGAAAGCACAGAAGACAACCTCGTCAATGACAAGAACCTCAGCGACCCTGAAAAGAGACAGATGTTACAAGACTTCCTCTTCATGGCTGCCAGCAATGGTGACGTCGGTCGCATCAAGCGCCTGGTCAGAGGAAGTCCCGCTGTATACATTGACGTGAATGCCGTAGACTCTGAAGGCACTCCTCCCTTGGTCTACGCAAGTTGCTTCGGTCACAAAGATGTCGTCATGTCTTTGCTAGATGCTGGCGCTGAGGTCGACAAGCAAGATAGGAACCAATGGAGCGCCCTCATGTGGGCCATGACCAATCGACACAAGGACATTGCCAAAATTCTGTTAGACCACGGCGCTTCTACCGAGATTCAATCATCCACTGGAAGGACTGCTCTCGATTTCGTTGCTCCAAACAGCGACATGTCAGAGTATTTGAACGACAGTGGCTACACGATTGGAAATGCCGGTGTGACGGATGATTTCTACAACTCTGGTTTTTCTCAAGATCGCTTCGAGGAGGAAATGGCCGAGAATGAGATGAAGCGACGCATGATGATGGAGAGCGCCATGAATCTCGAAGTCGACTTGGGAAACCTTGGTCTGGACGAGCAACCCGAATCAGCGGACGAGTTTGAAGACCCACAAGAGTTTGTTTGGGACAGGTGCCTCAACGACCAAATGTTTGTCTTCCAGGAGAACGATTCGGATCGCATTCTCAACATCGTTGTTAGCGAGATGACTCCTCAGCGTTCGGCCTCTCAAAAGCCTATACCCGCCAACATCATTTTCCTCGGAGCCAGATATGCACACTATCACTCTAGCCAAGAACTGCTGGCTGAATGGCTCAACGCAGCTCAAGACAAGATCTACGCCGTAGTAGAGAAGCATCAATGGGACATGACTATGCTTGCTTTCTGGATGTCCAACACAACCCTCTTGTTGTATTACCTGAAGAAGGATACTGGACTGTCCGAAGTCACCTCGACATTTCAAGCCAAGATGGCAGAACTGATTCACGAAATATACGTGCTCATCATTCGCGATGCTGAAAGACGCATGGACAAAGTCTTGGACGAAGCCATGCTAGATCACGAGACCATCCCTGGATTCGAAGATATCGCTTTCCAGAACGAGTGGAAATTCTTACGGTCAAAACCAAAGGTGAAAGCACCCGAGCCGCTGGAAAAACGCTACCGTCCTCCTTCGCCCAAGCGTCGCGCCCAGGTATCTCCTAGGAACATCACTTCTCTTCTATCTTCGACGTTGTTTGTCCTCGACCTCTACGATGTTCATTCGGTCATCACTACGCAAGTCATGTCACAACTGCTATATTGGCTCAGTGCTGAGATCTTCAATCGCATCATGTCCAACAAGCGTTATCTCGCACGAACGAAAGCAATGCAGATCCGCATGAACATCTCACAGCTTGAAGACTGGGCGCGAACCAATAACAGAGCTCCTGAGCACTTTGAGAACGGATCCTTGAATGCTACGGGCGAAAACATCATCGAATCTGCTCGCAAGCATTTAGCGCCAGTAGTACAGCTCCTGCAATGGCTACAGTGTTTCTCGTCACTAGGTCAAGACGACGAAGCTCTAGACACGACTCTACAACAACTGCCAGCATTGACGACGAAACAACTACTCCACGCAGTAAAATACTACCGTGCCGAAGTCGGCGAGAAACTCCTACCAAAAGCCGCCCTCAAACACGTAGAAGAAAGCAAAAGACACCTCGCCCACAAAGCCGCCGAAGANAGCAACAAATCCAACCCTCCCCCTTCCACACCCGCAAAAGGCGACAAACCCTCCACCACACCAGCACCCCCAATAATCCTCCGCAAAGACGAAGACGACTCACCCGAAAACAACCTCGTGGACCCTGCCTTGCTGCTACCTTTCCACTTGCCTACATCAACAGATATGCTGGTGACCTATGGCGCGGGCTTTGGCGGCGTAAACAGAGAACGCGAACGTAGGTATACGCCTACGGTCCCGCCGGATTTCTTCCAAAAACTGGATCCGAGTGGGGGTGGGAGGAATTTGTACGAGGATGCCAAGTGGAGTGATGAAGATGTTGATTTGGGGTAGTCAAGGGCTACGACATGTTCGTAATTACAGTCACGGTGTCCAATTCTTTTTTCTATATCTTTTTGCATGTTTGGTGTTCTTTGAGAAAAGCTTTGTGATCCTTGTTAGCTCGAGTGTTGTTTTACTGTGGCTTGTTGAGATGTGAGGCTTCTGTGATGACAGATTTCAGAGTGCAACAAGCGAGAGATGGAAGATCATCACGTCAATTTTTGGTGAAGGATTTTGTATCAATAGTAACTAATTTGCACAAGCAGAAACCGAAAAAAAAAACCACATGATCCACTCAACTGCCCAGCGGTATAAATCGATAAACCACCATCTCAACCATGACAAAACTCCTGGCCATCCACCCAATTCAAGGGCAATGAAGAAGAGTCTGGCTGCCACGACCAGAAGATCAACCAAGTCAAAGACGACGAAGAAGAGTTGATATCTTCAAAGCTTGAATCCGAAGGAGGGAGATGGACCAACTCGTATCAAAACGATTGCCTGCGCTCAGGCATTCTTGTCGGTCGTCTTTTTGCGCATTTTGACCGACCGTGGGGCGCACTCGTTGCACAGGATATTGGGGCCGTAATGTCCGTCATGCCACTGAGAACTGTCGCTGGTTCCACAGACTGCGCAGACATATTCTTCGAGTTGCACAGCCTTCCTCTTCAGCTTGTTGTTGGTTCCGTCATCTGCACGAGCAGGTTCTTTGGTGGAAGAGTTTTCAGTATTTGCAGCAGCCGACGAAGAGGCCATGTTGGAGGCAGCGCTGGAAGAAGCCACGACAGCCGACGAGACGGCAGAAGCGGCCGCGACTGCACGAGCAGCGGTAGCTTCGACAAATGGAGGCTGGGTCTCGCAAGTGGAAGACCACCCTCTCTTGACACAATGGCCACATGGCCGGTCGTGATCGCACTTTCTTCTTTTGCTGTAACAGTTCGAGCAGGACATGGGAGTGGGGTGGCGTCGAGGTCTGGTTTCGCAAGTGGAAGACCAGCCTCTTTTAACACAACGACCACATGGTCGGTCGTGGTCACATCTCGCTTTTATTGCGTAACAGTTTGAGCAAGATCGAGGTGGATGGTCGGAATTGCCTTTCGTCTTTTCTTGCTCATTGTCGCCGTCATTCTCACCGTCGTCGTTGTTTGATTGTTGTTGATCGTCTCCGTCATCGCATTCGGGAGGATCGTCGTTGTCTGTTGGTTGGAGTGGCTCGTCTTCATAACGTTCTTCGTTAAGCCAGTCGGAAAGGTTCAAATCAGACTCTTTTGATCCTTGTTTAGATGCCTCTTTCATAGGCGTGTCTTGCTCGAGTTGCGCTTCTGTGGTCATCCAAGGAGAACAAAGTGAAGGATTTACATTGCCAGAAATCTCCTAATCTTCTTCGATCTCTCCTTCAGCATCCTCTTCAGAGTCTCCACTAGAACCTTTCTAGGACTCTTCTGTTTCCTTGTCGGATGCCTCTTTCATAGTCGTGTCTTCCTCGGACTTCTCGGATCCTGCCGTGGTGTCGACGGTGGGTTCCTTGTCACTAGGTTCCTGTGGTAGTTCTGCGGCTTCAGGCTCTTCGATTACTTGAGCTTCTTCCATAGCCAGTCCCTCAGGCTCGTCCGTGGCTTCCTCGACAGCCTCTGCATTTGATAGCTCTTCTGTGGCTTCGATGTGTTCGATGTCTTCGATGGCTTCGATGGCTTCGATAGCTCCGGTGGCTTCGATGGCTTCGACAGCTTCGACGGCTTCGGGAGCTTCGATAGCTTCGACAGCTTCGACAGCTTCGATGGCTTCGCCTTGTTCCTCGACTGCTTCCACGACTGCTGGAACGGGCAGCTCGTGTTCCTCCGCGATTGGCGATGGAGCGCTCTCTGTAACTGGCACGGAAACCTCTTCTGTTGGCGCAACAGGCTCCTCTGTGACCGGCGCAGGAGCCTCCTCGATTTCGGCGGGTTCTGTGGCTGCTGGGACCTGCTCTTCTGCGTCGGGCTTTGTCGATGGAGATGTAACGATTTCAGCGGGCTCCTCTTCTTGGAGCTCTTCTCCCTCGCTGACCTCACCATCCTCACGATCATCGTCCTCGTCACCATCTTCGCCCTCCTCGCCATCTTCGTCGTCTCCTTCGTCGTTGCCATCAGGCTTTGGAGTAGAGTCGATGTCCATTGCTGAGTCGTCTGCATTTGCATTGAGAGTCGAGGGCGTGGCGACACTGACTCCACCTCCAGGGGTCGAGGTCGCTGCAGCGTTGTGTCCCTCGTTTGGATTGAACATGACCTTCTTCTTACCACGGCCAGGTCCACCCTTTCTGATTCTGCGTGGGGGAATGGGTTTGCGTCTCATTGGCTGCTGTTGTTGCTGGAGCAGATCGGTCGCAACGAAGACACCTTCAGCATTGGCGATACCGACGCCATCGATGACTGTGCCAGGAGCTGCTTGAACAGGAGCAGCATCAGCCATGATAGCGTCATCTGCGACTTCGCCCTCGACGGTTTGGCCTTCGGGAACCAAGACTTCGTAGACCGTGGTGTTGCCGTCTGCATCCGACTTCATGATCTTGGTTTTTCGTGTGTTTGCCGACGAAGCCACGGCATTTGCTGCTTGCAATGCTATCTGAGTGTGCATACTGGGAAGACCCTTGCGACGCTTGGCAAGGAACTCTCTCTCGGGCTTTTCCTGATGAGATGGCACTTGGCTCCACTTCTTGGATTGCCAACCAGTTTGGACGGGTTCGCCCTCTTCCTCTTCTTCCTGCTTGTCATCTTCGGTTGGTTCCTGGGGTCGTTTTGCAAGTCTAGGTCTTCTTGCTTCACGCAGCAGTTGTTGAGTCAAGGCACTTAGCAGGTGCGAGTCGCGTGGCATGGGCAATTCAGGCAAAGCGTTGTCACCGCCTTGGACGACCTCTGTCGGTGGTGGAAGGCCCACTATGGTGTCTGAGGAAATCCATTGACGGACAGGCAGACCCTCGAATACATCAGCATCTGCCTGGGAGCGACCAGAGCGATTGCTGCGACCTCCAGCGCGAAACTGTTGAGCCATCGACGTCAGTTGGGGTTTTTGGGATTTGTTCGGTGGTCGAGAAGGCTATGGTTGGTTCTTCCAGGTAGTAGATTGTATCGCTGCTGGAATGATGATTGTGCAATGATGATGGGGTAGATATGGCTAGATGAGAACTAGAGCCCGTGTGTGTTTTCGGAATAGAGATGCCTTGACTGATATTGACCAAGATGCATGCGGCTTCGAGAACCTCGTAATCGATGTTTTCCAATGATACGTTGGGATTCATGCTCTTTGCAATGGGGACCTTGGGAAAGACGATTGGGGCTGCGGGAGATTGAGAAAGCATGACGCGCGGGAATCTTAGGGAAGGTGCAAGTGAAAGGGAAAGGTCAGACAGAGAAGCGCCGAAACAGAAAGGAATAAGGCGAAGAGTGGGACAGAAAGAGAAGGCACGTACAGGAGCCATGACTGCGTTTTTTTACACTTGCGGTCAGAGAGTTTCAGAGGGCAAGTCGCTGGTTCCCAATCAGGTCCGATACGTCTCCTGATACCAATAGTGCTGCCTTCGGACAACTGTCTCTTATTAACGCACTTTTGCGAGTGATAAACAACTGTTGCTTGGTTGGCGACAGCGCGTCTCCCCCTCACGGCCCGACGACGACGCGACTTGACGGACGTCTCGGGAGTCTCGGCGACCGGCGACTCTTCGGCATACAGCTAGTCTAGGTCTCTAGTATTACAGCAGCAGTGGATGAACAACCACTTAGTGTTGTCGCAACAAGTATGAGATTTCATGTGTGTGGAATGTTCATATTGACTCGAGTAGTGGTATGTTTACAGTTCAGCCCAGCAGGGCGAGTGGTATTTTAGAAAGCATATAGACCGTGACTCCACCTCCATCGCTCCCAAAAGAAGACAAGCTTAGTCCCAGCTAGCATTCATGTTAGCATGTGCTCGAGAGCACTGAAAAGACTGCTGAACTCACCCGTGCTCGGTTTGTCTAATGATGTCGTTTCTGCCGCCGGTCTGCTTGCCTGTCTTGCCGCCCTCGACCACTAGCCTGTCTAGCTGGAAGAACTGGCTGACAACTGTTTGTCNTCTGAAGCGCGAAGTCAGCAAGTGTGACTTGTCTCAAGTATGAAGTGTACCATGCAGGCCATATGCACAGGTATGCAGTAATCGTAGAAGGTATTCCAACACCGCTCTCGCTCTTTCTTTTGATCTTGCTCCAACCTGATACCACTGCGTATGGCTTGCTGCACAAGTTCCTCATGGGCTTGTCTAAGAGCTCACCTTCAACATCTGCAGTTCTATGTTTCCCCTCGACAGAAGCTCTTGGATTTTACTCGAGTCTGATTCGGACATGTGCTGGCGGAAAGCATCCTTGGTGCGACGCACGGCGTACTCGCGAAAGTTGTATGCGGCGAACTGGTTTCCCTGGCGCAAGAGTTTGCGGTACTGTGTCGGAATGCTATTAGCTGGGTGTGCTCTGAGCGGCGAATTGTGGTGTCGCAAGATTCTTTTGTAGGGCAGGACGGTTCGGGTGCGTTCGAGATGGATTGAGCGTACCAGGGAGCGGACTTTGAGTTGTGATGCGCTCATGTTTGGGTATGCGAATATGGTGAGGCGAGAGATTCTTCGACGACTTGTATCTGCGGCAATCGGTCAGCATGGGCTTCGTCTCTGCTTCGTTGTATGCACTAGGTGGGTGGACTCAAGAGCACGAGGATAAGAACGCACCTGTCAAATGAATTGTTCAGCAAAGGTATGTTCGATTGTCAGTCGAAAGTGTAAAACAGTAGGTAGGTATGTCCAAGCAAATGTTGCCGTTATGTCATCCAAAAGCTGATAGACCGAGAGTCCGAATCTCCGTCCGACCCTTGACTTGACAGATGCTTGGCACGGTCTGGATTGATGCCACTGAACGCAATTGTTCGCGGCGACGTGGAAAGGACAAAAAAATGAAGAACAATGACAACTTTGATTTGAAAGAAAAAACCGTATCCTTGCAATTAAAAACATGTTAGACCTCTGCAGAACGAGGAATAAATACCCAAGTGCAATTCCTGCAAATCCCTCTTTGACGCCGTTCCAGGTATACCGTTCCCAAGCCCCATCCAATCCTGTTTCACCTTCAATCGTCCGCCTTGACTGCTCTCATGGTACGAGCCATCTTAGCTGCATCCTTGGTGACCGCCCTTACCTTCATTGAGCCCTTGGGAATGCTCTTGTTATCCATGCTGCGACGAGCTGGCTTGGTCACTCGGGAGCTGTCATCTACTCGAGATGCCTCCCTGTCCTTGTTTTTGATAGACGAGAGTCTACCGAGCTGTTGAACTTTCTTGGAAGGGGCTTCTGGTGTGGCCTTGGGTCTGTGACCAGTCATCCTGGTGGTCACCTTCTGGACAAAACGCCTAGCTCCGTTCTTGTCCTTGGTGACGGTAGTGGTGGTCGTGGTCTTCTTGACTTCGAGGTCTGCAGGAATAATTCCCTGCTTCTGGAGACGTGCAATCTCCTTGTCCTTACGAGCCTCTTCGACTCTGGTCTTCTCCATAGTGTCGTCGACGTAAACCCAGCCCTTGGACATCTGGGGTACCTTGCGCTTCTTGAAAAGCTCCTTGTCCACTTCGACTGCAGGGGTAGCACCAAAGAATTCGCCGACCTTGCGCTTCATACCAGCGGCCATTCCCTCCTTCTCCTTCTTGGTTACGGGCTTGTTGGCATCCTTCGGTCTCGGACCCAAGACACCACGGCAGTTGGTTGCACCACAACGGCACTCCTGAACATTCTTAACAGAGTAAGGNNACTGTGAACTGCGTTAGAAAAGATTCAATTCCTCAGAAGACTGATCTTCGACTTACTCAAAGTTGTAGTCGTAGGTCAGTTCCTCGCCAGTCAAGATACCACGGTCCCCTGCGAACAGCGCCATTCGTGGTTGGCCTCCGACGAAACGCTTGAGCATCTTGCAGTTCGGCTCACACGAGTGGTTGACAAAACGGGCAATAGAGCCCTTGGTCGCATCGAGGATCATACCCTGATCAAACTCCATCTGATAGTAGTNCCTGAAAGAGTGTTAGCCAATGATCAACCCCCATTCAAAATCAAAACTCACGGCCTTATCCTTGTAGTCTTCTCTGATTCTTCTGCCAGCCTCGTTGGGTGTGATAATCTCGCCAGTGTACTCGGTGATAATCTCGTGCGGCTCGTATGATCTACAAGCGCGCACACCAAAGCCTCGGTCTGGAGTCTTGATGACCTCGACTCCGGCATTGAAGAGATAGTATGCCGATTTTCTGTCAGCCTTGTTTGCGCGCTCCGTACGAACTCCAAGTCCAGCAAAGTCACGATTCGTGCATTGATCTCCGAGAGCACAGTTGTTCGAGTCGCACTCGTAGTCCATTGCGCGGTTGAGACAGTGTTCACCGCAGCCAGGCTCTGAAGATCCAGGGAGTGGTGGCGTGCAGATGCATAGAGATCTCTCGTAGTGTGGCTTTCTCCAGTATTCTTTGGCGTCACCGACCAAACGATTCTTGTGCACCTTGCCCCAGTCCTTGGGCTTCTCCTCGCCACGTTGATGGTGGACAGGAGCAAAGACATCGTAAGGAATGGTGAAAGGTCGTTCTCTCTCAAGGTAGGAGAACATAGGCAAGGCAACAAGACTAGTACGCCTTTCGGCCTGGGTAGCATCAGGAAGGAAGGAGGTTGACAGAGGGCGAGCTTTGCCAGTGGGCTTCCGCGAAGGCTTGGGAATGGATTGATCATCATAGCTTGTGAGGCTTTGACCTGCGTATAGACCTTGGGTCTCATAGCGCTTTGTCGGCTTCTTGCTCTTGGTAGAGAAGACCTGTGGCATGTTGATGCTAAAGCTCGAAGAGAGGCGAGCAAGCTTGCTGGGTCTTTCAACACGTTCTGATTGCTCATGGACGGTGTCGTCGTGTTGTTGTGCCTCCTCGCTTGCGTCTTTGGGACCTTCGATGGCCAGTAGTCTGCGGCTCTGTCTGCGGTCTGTCTTGTCGGATTCGCTTGCCTCTCGATCTCGCTTGCCGAGCACGCTCTTCACTCTGCCCAGGGCGCGACCGGTCGTCTCGATCAACATGTCCATCGAAGATCTGTGTCGACGCTTCTTCCTGTCAGGCAGATCGGAAGCACTGTCACCAGGCAGGTTGTCCATCTCCCAGTCCATGTTCAGAGCCTTGACACCGTCGTTCAAGAGCTTGCGGTTCGGAGTATCGGAGGAAGGTCCAGGAGCATCATCGACAAGCGTGTCTCCAGAGAAGTTGCGAGCAGCTTTCTCCAGGGCCATCTCGCGACCGGCAGAAGTACGGCGTACGCCAGAGAGGACTCCGAGGTTGTATGATGCAGGGCCTGACTTGCGACGTGACGATGCACGACGCGTCAGGTCTTCTGCCGCTGTCGCGTTCATCTCTTCCTTGTCGATCGCTGACCCGACATGGTCTTGTTCGGATACGCTGGTAGGGGGTGTAGACATCAGAGCGAGAGCGGCCGATGAGAGCGAGCCCTCACGCGCACTGCCACCAACTTCGATGTTCGATGCTGCTGAAGATGAGCTTGTCGAGCCCGTCGATAGTCGCGGCACGGGCAAGCTCTTTCGCTGTTTGGCCATCGTACGTGGCGGGTACTGGGTGGGTTTTGGTTCGAGGTGATAGTGGTTGAAATCAAGGTGGGGAGAGACGCGAGAAAGAGACGCGCCGACTAAAGAGCCGTTGCTATAGTCACTGAACCGACTCGAAAAAGAGCTCCAATCTTTCGGCGAGGACGAGTATCTCTCTGACTGCTGTCTGACGATGAGTTTAGAAGGACATTGCTCTCCTCGGCAGGTAGGGGTCTTCAGGGATAGTGTTTCCGTTTGTTGTGGCACGAATCGGAGCTGAGTGGAGGATTAAGTTCCCGCGCCTCAGTCGCGTCTTTTGTGGCATTCCGCTCCCCTTAGCAACACCCGCTGTCAGCATGAACATGCGCATGTACTTCATTATCTACGTTCCCGGTTCGTTCAACGTGTGACTGACGTGCCTTGAGAAGTGAATTGATTCGCTGATAGGGGTATAGAGACAAGCTAGATATATATGTACAACCAAGAAGAAAAGGCAGATGGAATAAACCTGGCATTATGGACGTGAGCAATCGTCACGAAGTGCTGCAACATTAATAGGAACTGTGAAGAGAAAGTAAAGGCATGAGTAGGAGGGCTTTCACCTCCTAGGTGTGTTGTTGATCGGAGTCAAGGTTCGCTGTCCTTGGTAACCACCAACATTGCTGTTAGCAGTCCCGCTCTTGATCTCGCTCATCTCCATATCGCCCTGCTTTTCTGACTGCTTGGCAATTCTGGACCGACGCTCCCCAAGGCGTTGATCGCCTTCCTCGTGACGGTGTCTGAACTGCATATATGTCGGTGGACGAGGCCTCGTGAAGACACTGGACCAATTTGCGAAGATTGAGTGCTGGCTGAATGGACGATGGCGATCCTTCTTCTGAAACTTGTGACTGTTGAGATATTCTCTGGTTGTCTCACCCCTGCCCATGAGGAAGAGATGGTAACCCCAGAGACTCATAGGATATGTAAGGATGAGGAAAGAGTACACACACATGGCAGCTGGAACACGCCAGACGTTGAGAGCGTGCCCAAAGTCCGAGTGGTTCCGCTTCATCCACACAAGAATATGGGTAAGACTGGCTGCGAGTAAGAACAGGCCCAAGACTGTGCCGGAAGCGACAAATGTAAGGAAATAGCGGTAGTTGCGCCGGCCCACACAGTTATTGAGCCAAACACAATGGTGATCCTGGGTCTCGATACACGAGTCACAAATGCGACAGTGGTGAGCACGTGGAGGCCGCCAGATGTTGCACGATTTGCAAAACTTGATGGGAACTTCCATGGCGGTAGTACCATTACCACCTGCAGATGGGCCAAAGGATCTAACAGTAACCCATTCTGTGGTGGACGGTCCGATAGCTAGCGGATCTTCGTCCGCTGGAGTAGGTGGTTGAGGATGAAGATTACGTGGGATAATCTACAATATCGTGTTAGCACACAAGATATGAGGATGTCGCCGGAAGAAACTCACCCCGGGTTCGGAGAAGGATGCGTGAAGGTAAGAAGATATACAGATGAAGAAGACATAGGCAAAAAGGATGGGTATCGCCGGAGAAACGTGGTGCCATAGCCATGGAGCAGAGAAGCCAAAGAACAAAGCAGCAGGGATGACAGCAAGGAGTGCAGTAAAGACATTAAGCGGCCGCTGCCGAGTATTAATAAGTCTGCCACGGAGAAAGAAGACGGCATTGCCATTGAAGTATTGGTAGTTTTTTCCGTCGGNTAGTCGGCTTGTAGCCCTGGGTGGCAGGAGTAGCCGGGTGGTNNTTGCAGGTGAAGGTGGCACAGAGGGCAACTTCTCGTGGCCGTCTCTATCGGCGCTTCTGCCATTGGCCCTGCTCGAACGACTCTGACGGCTCCATGAAGGACGCAGAGAGATGGGCGACTTTTGTGCTTGCAGCGAAGAGACGGATCTAGTGGTACCGTCTATATCGAGTGCAGGCGGCTTCCGCAAGGGATATTGACTCTCTTGACTTTTGGCACTGCCGAATGGTTGCAAATCTCTATTGAACTCGTAGTTTGTGGTTGCAGTTCCTCGGGAAGTGGGCAAGGGAGGAGCGTCCGGGTCAATTCGAGGCCTGTTGCTCTGCTCAAGAGTCACGATCGACGCATTGCTATTGCGGGAACGGTGAGTTCTGCGACCGCTGTCGGTACTCGGTCTTGCGATGGGAAGTTGCGGGTTTTGCGGACTCGTGGGCGGCGGAGATTGCGTCTCGTTACGTCTCGGACTGGTTGGAAGGAACGCGCTCGATATAAGGTTTGGAACATGGGTGCGGCGAGAAGAGTCGTTCTGATAGCTGCCACTACCGCGACCACCCAAGGATGGCACGGGAGAGCCTACGCGAGCGGCGGATCGTGTGCGGTAATGTGAGCTGGCCGTGTTCGAGGTGTGGGGACGTGATGGTGGAAGTCCTGCTTCTCCAACAGGACCGGTGGTGGTAAGGACAGTATGGGTGTGTTGGTAGTCGCCGTCCGGACCTTCGTTGTTGGTAGGAAGGACACTGTCGGCCATGATCGTCAAGCGCCGGCGATGATCAATGCATGTCCTGTTGCTGTGTGCCGCCTGTGTTTGTTGTTTTGGTTGTCGATGGCGCACGAGTCCTCCAGATACACACCAAAGCGACAAGATGCTGGACTGAAGAAGAACAGTGCAGCGGCTTGTTTGCTCTGTGCAGGAAGTCGTCAAGTATAGAGTAAACCACGATCAGCGCCGTTTCCAAATTGCGCTGCCCGAGAGTCAAGCCGTCCGTGCCACCTGAACTTTATAAACACTGCTAATTTACCATTATCGTGTCAGAGACTCTAAGCCATGGACTCTGCTTGTATGGATGAGTTTCTGTTCAGCTGAGACGTTGTGATCAGTTGGTGTCCCATTCTGACTCTGTTAGTTGAATGATGGAGATGTTGTGATTTGGTCGTCAAGGTGCTTCCTGTTTTGCTTAGTATTCATGTCGATGGCCTGGAATTAGGCACTCGAGAATATGAAATGTGATGTTGACAGCCAACGAATGCTCACAATACTACATCCGTGGCACTGTAGTGTCAGCTTATAGGATAGATGCTACCTGCTATATACAATCCAATAACAATATATACCTGACGAATTATTGTACTATTCATGTCAAAAAGCATTGCAAGCAGCACGACCCTGTCCCAACAATCGCAATGACCGCACAGCGGAACGCCAAGAGTCAGGCCATTGGAGAGGAGCGGAAGCTCGCCAATTCAATCCGACCGCAAGCAAGCAACCCGTGAACCGCAATCATTGGATCCATCTCTCCACTATACCACACAACCACACACACCTTCCCACACAATGGCCTCAATCATCGGACGCGCCGCTTTCCGCGCAACTCGCCCTCTCCGCGCCTCGGGCATCAACGCCGGCGCCGAGAACGCTGCCTCTGCCGCCAGCCGCGAAGCCGACAAGAACGCCCTCAAGCAAGGCGCCCGCAAGGACCCCGAGCTCTACGTACGTCGACAATCCCCCTGCGCCCGTTGAGAAAGAAAGAAAGATGCTGCGAAGAAGCTACATACTCCAATGCCTCCCCTACGAGAAAACCACACTGCTGTGCTCCATACAGACCAGCCAAATGACAGGATACCCGATTACTGACGAGGCTTCGCATGCAAACAGATCCTGCTCACCATCATGTCCGGTGCCTTCGGTCTTGCTGGCTGGCACTTTTCGCGCAACCCCACCTCTTCCTCATCCGAGAACGCCGTTAGCAAGGCTCCCGACTCCGAGCCCTGGAAGACCGGTGGTGAGGCCAAGTACCAGTACCACCCCGGCGGTGACACCAGCAAGCCTCGCAAGGACGCTCCCTCTGCTTTGAACGAGGTCATCGTTCCCAACGTCAACCTGCCCAGAGTGAGTGTCTGCCAATATTCATACATCGACTTCAGCAACGCTGATATCTTGACCAGNGAGCTTCACGAGAAGTACAACAAGTGGGGCAAGGAGGGCTACTAGACAGCCAGAATTGGCTCGCAAATTGTATAGATACCTCAACTCGAAGCCGCCTTTTTCTTCTGTCACCTCAAATCTCACGCTTCTACGAACTATTCGCTCCAGAGGCACACGAAACTTCCGGGAATCAATGTGCCTGTATTGATTTGTCTGTCTATGATAGAAGCCATCTCCAGGCGAGGAAACACGAATACGCATTGAGAATCAGTTGACCCTCAGTCATTCACTCGCTTGACCTGCAGCTTACGCTCCGTCCATATCAATATCCTTGATGCACCTCATAGTCCACCTGTCAAAGACAGTCATTGCCATAGTATCGGTCCCCCTTGATTTCCTTGGGTATCAATTCTCGCAATCTTCTTCAGTACTTCAGATTCGAGCCGAATCTAAGCCTTGCGTTGGAAGGGCGAACCCCACTAGCACCGACACCGCGGTGCCCATCGAAAGCGTCAAACTTGCTCTCGAAAGGGAGAGGTCTGTAGCGCGAGTCTCTACTAATGCGCTCAGNGGGCTGACTCCAATCCTCGCCAAAGAAGCTGTTGTTGCCATTGGCGCTCTTGTCGATGCACCATTCTGGTGGATCGCAGAATGGAGCAAGAAATCCGCGACGCTGCTCGATAGGGCCTTGAGTGTATTGTGAGAGGCTCTCGTGCATGGAGAGAAACAAGCGCGTTGTGACTTCATTGAACGGTTCCGGCTCTCGGTTTCCACCCGACACCGAACTAGCAGGAGGTGTTCCGATGGGTCCAGGATTAACCATTGGCTGTGTGATGCTAGATGTTTGGTTATGTGCTGCCTTGATGTACTCAAAATGTTCGTTCTGACGTTCGGTAATTGTGAGTCCACTATAGAACCAATCATGAAGCTCCTGCTCGTGGCTTTTCCTGCTGGCTTCGCTCGGAACGTCAGGGCTGCCCATGAAGAACGGACCGTTGAAGTTCTGAGGGCTTGGTCTCGAGTACACAGCAAGCTCTTCAGTCGTCATGCGTGGTAGATTGATGTCAATAATCTCCATGGTTTTAGACTTTGGTGCGAACTCGGGCTCGCTAACAAGAGGATCGAAGGCAACATCCTCACTGCTCGTGGAAGAAGATGCCTCGCCAATGTAACTCGAAGTCGCCTCACCGATTGGAGTACTTGACCAGATATTGTCGTGATGCTTGACTTCCGAGTCTTGCTTGATCATCGATGGAAGCGTAGGAGATTGGCTCTGGAATGGATCGTGAAGGACAGTTCGATTACCTGCATTGGCATTCATGTTGCGAGATGTAGCAGCATCAAATATCTTGTCCAGACATGCCTTTGTGAAACTGCGCTGAGACCGTGCAGGTACTTGATCAGGCGAGGAAACTTGTGGTTGTGTCTCTTCGAGAAAGGTAGAGAAGTTTAGATTGGCAGAAGACGAGTGAAGCTGTGAGGTAACCGTCTGTGGTACGCTCTTTGGCAAGAATGAGCTCAGGTATTGGCTATGCTCATTGATACCAGGCTGTGTCGAAGCAGGTGCTTTGAGATTGGGGGAAAAGAAAGTACTGTTGACAGCATCATGGTCTCTGTCTGCATGGAACGTCCCGAAAGATAGGTTGTTGAGAGCAGTCAAGCCGTAAGGCAGCTTGCTGAGAGCACTGGTCGATGCAGTGTTGAGTGTGGTAGAGGGTAAGAAGTCGCGTTGTAACGAAAGGTTGCTGGATGGCACTGTCACAGGAGTACTGGACAACTTGCGTCTACTGCGAACACGAGAGGCGTAACCTTGTGCCCAAGGCTCAAGCTCTGGTCCAAGCGACGGTGTACGTGCAGGATATTTTTTCTCTGGGTGGCGCTGTTCAGACTCCGATCTGGTTGGAGTTTCTGTAACAGAAGGTGTAACTGCTATTTTTCGCGCAGGGCGATTGACAGAGACCTTGGGCATGTAAGCTTGCAATTCTTTGAGACCGAAGGGTAGCTTCATCGTGGACGCCTCATGCTGCTTCGCAACCGCTCTGAAGTAACAAAGACTATGCTGAAGGAGAGAATGTAATTCGTTCTCGCCCTTCAGACGATGGGAGGCAAGGGTACCCTCAGTACGCCTGCGTGAATTGGAGAATTGACCGATGTTGAACCACTGGTAATCGGATTGTGACCACTGCTGAGCTGAGATGTCACCATTGGGATGCATCGCAAATCCGACCTGACCTTCTCTGTTTCCGACATTTCCCTGGAAGTAAGCAAGGGGAGGCAGGTCGTTGCCGAAAACTTCGTTGATTTCCTGCCTGTTGAAGGAGACGGTGATAGCTGACAACTTGTCATCGACTTTGACCTCGTGCGCATTCAAGCCAACAGCAGGTCTAGATGAGGGCTTGGTCTTTTTGCTAGTGACGAGCTGAAAGTCTCCATCATCTGCACTGAGAGGAGCAGAGTCTTTCCGAGATGGCTCAAGGCTGCGAGAGATAGAACTGTCGCGCGAGCCGGGTCGGAAAACTTTGGCGTGGACGTCCAATGGGCTTTCCCTTCTGGATGCGCGACTCGTCGAGGTCACATCGTTATCGCTTGAGTCTGGGTAATCAAGATCTGGCCAATGTTTGGGGAGCCTGTGTCGTGTTGTCTTGGGGTCGATGAGCTTGCTCAAGGGAATGATGGGATCGTTCTCGATGATCCTCTTGCTCTGTCTTTCGAGCCTTGCTGTCGCCAGTTGAGCGAGACGAACCTGGTCCTCGGAACTTGAGTAAAGATAAGACATCTTGCCAGCCTCGCGAGGAGTCAAACTCTTGCTAGATGACTTGGGCGAGGGTCCGGGTGAAGAAGAAACGTATGGGTTGGAGGCAGGTTCTTGATGGGCCCTTGCGCGCTCCAAGTCTTCGGCCTTGACGACGTTGATATGGCTGAAGGGGGATTTTGGCTTTGAAGAGCGCAGCAGTAGGCGATCTGCCGGAGTACCTAATGGAAGTCGACGCTCGGAGATGTTGTGCAGAGTAGGTGTGGCACGCCTCTGCCAAGCTGATGACAGAACGAATGATCAGCGCTGGTCAATGAAGAAGAAGGTGGCAAGCAGCCATTGCACTTACCTCGGGCACGGCGGCCGGAATGAGTTTGGCTCGCCAGGATGAGAGTGAGTCTGTAGCTGTTGTATACAGAATGGTTCGAGGACGCCGCTTTGGAAGACGAGACAAATATGCGTGAGCCGAGTTGTGAGCAGTTTAGAATATGTCTACCCTTTCGAGACCAGCGTGAGGTTGAGCTGTTGAGTGTGCGTAGAACAAAGACACAAAAGGAAGGAAGCAGAAGTGTCTGGCTGGTCGCGACTTCCTGCACAACACTCTCGACTTCGTTCAGTTACGTGTTGCCCTCTCGACTTTCATGTGAAAGCGAAGTTCGACTCGCAGTCCCCAATCATAGGGCATGAGGCTGGATGCTCACAATTGTTTTATTCGGTAGCAAACGATAGACGACCAACACCAGAGAGACAAGCTAGGATCAGATGCAAAAGTTAGCATCTCCTGGGAGCATTGAGAACAAAACTGTCTGTCCGTCTGTGGCTTGTCTTTGATATCAATGCTGTCTCAGTCGACCCGCCTGCCTGGGTTGTTTGTGACATTGCCTGTTCACTCCAAGTCACCTCAAGCTTCTGCTCAGAACTTAGCACCAGTTGCTCGCGCCCAGTCCTGCTCTAGAGTCCATCGCTGTACATGATACAAAAAGCATGTGTATGAGCATTATCATGTTGATGATTCGCATTGGTATATAACGATTCTCGGCCAGGATGTCTGCTACACAAGCCTTTGGCACAACTGTGGATTCTCGTCAAGACACATCTAGCCCGGCGGAGCATCCTTGGACAAAGTCAAGCTAACCATGGCAAGCAGCTGTATTTGTTTACCACAGAATTCGCCAAGAGAGAGCTAGTGAGTGATGTCTGGGTTAATTGATGCAAACAGTAGAGAGAGACATGTATGCAGAGCTCAAGCTCGCATGCAGCATCAAAGGATGTTTCATGCCGATGAATTGCCGCAGGCCTTATCTTATCTCGGAGGACTGTAGGATCTCATGATCTCCATTGCTTCTGGAGGGTTGCAAAAGAATGTGAGACGCTCTGGCTCTGGCATCGCAGGTGTTCTTTCCCAATGAATGATGACGATGATCTTTACCCTGCAACTCCTGTTCTCGACGAGGACATGACGAAACATTCAAGTTCCGAATTGCACCTTCACGATCTGACCATCGAATTATCCATTTATCATCAATCATCCTTGAACCTGTACCCTACAAGACAGTATACACTGCGCCAATGTTCAGAAGACCAGCTACGCTTGCTGCTGCGGTTCCTTGTGCTGTCTTGATATATCTCAGTCTGACGCCTGCCGGACACTACCTGGCACGCAAGGAGCTGAAGGACTAGGAGTCACAGGGCCAAGAGACTGAACCTGCAGCGACGAAGCATCACAAGAATGGAAAGCCACAGGATCACGAACATGGGAAGATTCATGGACCAAAAGAGTATCAGCAAGAGCATGTTGAAAAGACCGAAGGTGATAAAGAGCCAAAACGCGCTAAGGCTGGCAGCCAAGCCGATCGCGGGGCAATGGCGTAAGGTTATGGCACGCGTTAGCGACGGCATTGCCGACTTGCACTTGCGCATCCTCTCCACCACCAACTTGTCTCTCCCATCTGCTCTACTCGTTGCGCACCTTGGCCTTGTACACACCTTTGACGGGCGCATACACCATCTCTCCATCAGCCATGAACCAATTCCAGCCTAGTCCCTCTTCGAGGACGACCTCGACCATGCAAGCAATGCCCGATTCGAGGTCACAGAGCTTCGAGGAGATCTATGGCCCACCCGAGAACTTTCTTGAGATTGAGGTGAGTCGCGTCGCTGCAATCGTCTGCTACGGCCGCTGACAAAAATGCGCTCATCAGGTCTGCAATCCGCAAACCCACGGCCTGACTCCCTCATCGCGCTACACGACCTACGAGATCCGCCTGAGCACAAACATCCCCTCGTTCAAGCTGCGCAACAGTAGCGTGCGCCGCCGTTATTCAGACTTTGAGTACTTCCGCGATATTCTTGAGCGCGAGAGCGCTAGAGTCACCATTCCCCCATTGCCCGGCAAGGTCTACTTCAACAAGTTCGACGACGCCGTTATCGAGGAGCGCAGGAAAGGTCTGGAGAGGTTCCTCAAGATTGTCGTTGGCCATCCTCTTCTGCAGACAGGAAGTCGCGTGCTCGGAAGCTTTGTCCAAGGTGCGTTTACTCTGTGCCTGCATCGAACACATCCGCTGACACGTACATCTNNAGATCCCAACTGGGACCGCAGCGCCTGGTAGATCTGACCGCCGCCTTTTCCTCCATCACGACGAAGCCTCAGATTCCCGCATCCTTCAGAATACCCTTTCCTACTTTAATGATGTCTATTGTCCTTTTCTCCTGCGGTTCAGCGACATTTGGGCGTTTCCACTCCTCTTGCTCTCGAACACACCGCCTCTGCTTGCAGATGTACATTGTACGGCCTGCTCCGTTCTCAATCGATCATGTTAAAAATGCGATACCATTAGTTTTAGCCAGAACAGACACCTCTTTGAGAACTAGATCCGAGCAGCAATATCCTTTGTGCTACCACTGCCTCTCTTTCAAGCCTGCCCAGAATCTCTTTACCAATTTCAACGTTCTTTGTGCTCTTCTTTGCCTTCCAAGTTCACCACAAGTCGAACAAAGCCATTGTGTTTGACTTCGGGTCTACACATATACGCACACCCGAGTCCAACTCGTCCTCTCATTTCTCACCACACTACCACCAAATCTACCAAACACCGCTTACAGACTTCTCGAAACAGTTACCATGTGCTCTCACAGCACTACCTCCCCACCCACTCTCTTTGGTCGCCCCATCAATGACCTTTGGTTCGACTGCTCCAGATGCGGTGCTCGTATGCTGTACTCCAAGGTGACCGGCTGGATATGCACTGCTGGGTGCCACTACTAAACTTTCTCGAGAATGACAGGAGTTGTTGTAGGTAAGTGGTGCTTTTGATATTGTTGCTTTGCATGTTTGGAGATGGTAGTTGGTGCTAGTCAACCACTCAATCTTAGATCTTTTCTTCCCTGATTCGCTTTCTGTATTAAAATGTTGGTACGTTAGCAGTATTTTACCATAGCTCACACATATGAAGTCACTGACAAAGGTAAGTGCACTTTTCTGAAAGCGTAATTATAGACAGAGCAAGCACAGAGCAAAGACAAGAAAAAGCACATCCCGACAGCCAGGAAAATTGTGGGAGGGGAGTAACGTAGAGGAATTCATTTGCGTATTTAGTTTTCGTGTCATGATCAGAGTGGAAAAGTGGAGGGGTATAGGCTTATTTGTGATCATCAACGCATTTCTCCTGCCACGTCGGCTGCCTCGAGTGAGTCGCTGACTTCTCCGTCTTCTGTTTCGTGTCTTTCGTCATAGGGGGTTGCTGTCTGCGGGGTTGTTTTCGTGACCTCAGCTGTTGTTTGAGGGCGGGTGTGCTGTGGATCCATTGCGAGTTCCTGCACCGCTGCCTGTTCAGGCTCTACTTCTTTAGTTGTTGCTTGCTCGACAGATGTCTGCTTGTTGTCTGGATAAAGCTCTTCTGACTTGTGTTCCACATGCGAAGCTGTCTGAGGTTGCTCTGTGTATGCGGGCATGCCGTGATCTGCTCGCTCAACAATTGGTGTGCTGGGCATACTATCATCTTCCACAGGCGCAGCAACGACGAGTACATCAGGGTCTCCGCCTGTTTGCTGTCCCGATCCAGCAGGTACCACCTTGGGCTGAAGAATCTCTCTGCTTGCGGGTCTAGGTCTCGCGGGTAGTGGTGGAGGCTGTCGAGCTTGCTGCTCGCCAACATGATCAGGCTTCTCTACTTCCTTGCTTTGTTGTTGAGAGGCCGATTGTGCTCCTACAGGTTTGCGCTTGAGGTTTGGCAGGTTCAAGCCGGACGATGCCCAAAGACTTTTCTGTGGTCCGGGCAGAGGGGTACCAGGTGGTGGCAAGGGCATTCCACGGCCCATCGGTTGGGCTAACAATGCCGCCTTCAGGGCGTTCGGATCAGGCGGCTGCGACGGCAATGACACCGATGATGATCCACTACTAGCCGATGATACTGAGAACCTCTTGCCCAAGCCGAAAGAGTTTCCTGACGTTGAGGACGAAGACCCGTTCTGTCTGTTCAGAACTTGCCAACCCCATTTCTTCGCAGCATTGGCAGCCGTACTGAGATGAGATGGACTTGACCCCGAAGGGACGGACGTGTCCAAAGATTTCACCGATGGTGATCTTGCGGGTATCGTCGAGGCGTCCGCAGTGGCAGGTGCTTGAGAAGGCTCGGTTCGTTGTTTCGTCGTATGCTGTTCTAGAGGCTCAGAACTCCGGCGCAAGATGGAAGGATCTGTTGGAGCCTCTTCTCCTTCTTCTTCCGGCGTCGCAAGGGTTGAGAATGTTTCGGAGTCGATAGGTAGGATGTTCTCTGTTTCGCGAAGTACCTTTGGCGATGTAGCCTGTGCTTTTGAGTTGACTTCTTTTACCATTTCGACCGCATCCTTTTGTCCTTTCTTCTTTGTATGTGACCTTACTGCCTCAATATTCGAGCCCTCTGTGCTAACCAAGGGCGTCGCTGCGGCAGAGAACGAGTTTTGACGTAAAGTCCTAGGCTTTCCAGGTGGTGTACGTGGACGGAGTGGTGGTGAGGATGGTGTCTGAAATGGGCTTGGCACGGTAGTCGTACTGGTTGATGCAGCTGTCGGATTCTCAATGCTCTCCCCTAGAAGAGAAGTGGCTGACCGTCTTGCATTCTTTCGGAAGTTTAGTTTTTGCACTGGTTCTAGAAGGCTAGGCATGCTCAAAGTCTTCGCTCCGGTCTCAGCGAGGGTGTGGATGATGGTATCGTCAGAGTCTGCATCACCAGCACTATTCGTGAGTTCGTGTGCGGCGGTCTCGACCAAGCCAGCATCCGCATGTACAGCGTTCTCCATGCCGGTAGGCTCTTCATCTGAAGGCGAAGGCTCGAATATGCCACCTCTGTACTCTTTCTTCGAAGTGTCCAGGAACGGGCTGTCGTCCCAGTTGGGAAGAACAATGGTTTCACCAATGACCTCTCGAATCCTGCTCTCAATAGCACGAAGGATAACACCGTAGGTGATCTGTCTGCTGCTGACGATGGGCTGGATACTCATTTCGATTTGAGGCATGGTCTCAAAAGTTATCCAGATACGGTTACTCGGTGGAGGCTTGACACGGATCAGAAGATGACCGCTAAGTTTCTTGAGCTCGCCTGCCATGATCAAGCTGACTTCACGAGCCTTGAAGCGGGTTCCGAGATCGATGCGTGCAACCGCTCCCATCTCGATTTTGAAGCCGCCATTGTACCTCACGTCCAGCTCGATTGTCATATCACCATTCACTGTAAGCTCCTTCAGCCTGGGATTGCTAATGATTGGGGCGCTGTCGCCCATGTAGATGTCCATGATGTCGATCGAAGCGATCAGGTTTGGCTTTGGTACACGAGATATCTTCTTGTTGATCTTGGCACGGATAAAGTTCTCGATGTCCTTGGTCTTGTACATGGCGAGAAAGATACGGCCGACAATGCCATTGATCCAGCGTGAATGAGCGTCAGCGTCAGACGAGTGTAGGTTCTGTACGAGTTTGATGATGTCTGGAGTTTCGAATTTCCGAGGAAGCGGAGGTGGGTCAGTATTGATGATGTTTGACTGTGTGTGTAGCAAGGCATGATAAAAGTCCTCCTTCTCGGAACAGTTGTCGGAGAAGAAATGGAAGGGCTTCGACGAGGGAGCAGTCTCGCCGACCAAAGGTTTTCTGGTCAGGCGTATGCAGTTGCGCTTGATCCACAGATCACCCTCGGGTACGGGCTCTCCTCCAGCATATACATCAATGTCGTGGTAGGCAAGGGAGATGACATGTCGCACTTCGACCTGCTCGGAGTCATCATACAGCATGAGATGACCGTGTCTCAAGACAACGTAGAAGACATTGCGGGCTTTCTTGACGGCCTTGCCGTCGCGCTTGTCACCCTCGATAGTTGGAATCGATGTCTTGCCTCGCTCAAAGATGCTTCTGTACATGCTCTGGTAGACACTCGGACTCTCTGCTATGAGGACTTCGCCAGCCGGGGTGGATCGCTCTGGAGGCTTGCCATTGATGCCGCCAGGGACATACTCTCTGCAGACGGCGAAGTAAGCGGCAGCCGTGTCGAGTTCACTGTCTTGTTCCTTGCTCTTCTCGCCGACTTCGTCTATCGTCTTTGCAGTGGCAGTCGAGTCTACATGATCGGTGTTGGTGGCAGTCGACACGGGAGCAACGGGTTGGGTGAATGCAACGTATGCGAAGGCGCCAAGGGCAAGGGCGAGCAGGGGGATGAAGGTCAGACCGCCGACGAGGTACGCCAGCAGCAGCGATTTGAGAGTCATGGTGTTTGCTGCATGGGTATAGCGGGTTGGTTAAGAGGCTTTGGATTGCATTTTGATGGCTTGTGATAGAAAGTAAAGCGCGGTGTGGTCTATGTACAAGAAAGGTCGCGAGTCGTAGTTACACCAAAGTCGCATGCCCGAGCTTCCGCACCTCCCCAGAACGCCCGCGACCCCTCATTCGTCTTCTGTCCTTTCCCAAACGCCCTCATCCCTCCTCATTACTGTAATTACCATGGTATCGACAACCAATCCCTTCGTCTATATACAATACCGTCGGTCGCAATGTGTGTTGTCAGTTGACCGAGTCTTGTGCCTTGAGAGCTCGTCTGAAGAGCTCATGGCTGGAATGGCATGTTGCTTTGCAACTCTTACTGGGCCATGTCGAAGAGCTCGCTGCTCAAGAGGTCGTCAATGTTGAAGGTCTCGGGGAAGTCGTTGCTGCTGGGAGCAAGGTAGGTGCCGATGCTGTTACTGGCGAAGGCGGCGTCCTGGTTCATGCTGAAGGGATCGAAGTCAAGCGAGCTGGATTGGAAGGGGTCGAACTCGTCCATGAAAGGATACTGCTGGTTCGAGAGGTCGTGAACGGCTTGTCTGACAGGACCACTGGCGCCGACGGCATTGTTGTTGTTCTGATCCAGAGCGCCCTGGATGGTCTCACCCCGAAGAACAAGTCATGGTCGTCCTGCTTGTTCTGNCTGGTAAGGCGACTCAGCGTCGGAGAAGGCGAAAGGAGGAGATGATGATGTGTCGTTGGGCATGGGTTGAACAGCCATGCTGGCGAAGGTGGTAGCCGAGCTCGAGTTGCGAGCCATGTTGTTGTTCTGCTGGACGTGACTGGCGTGATGGCTGCGAGCGACAACTTCCTCAGGAGCCGACTCGAACATGGGCTGAGCAGCAAAAGCGAGTGCAGCAGTCGAGCCCTGGTTGCGAGCGACGTCGTTGTCATTGTGATCAACGTAGCTGACACGCTGGCAGTGAGCGACAATCTCCTCGGAGGACAGGTTGGTAGTCAGAATGTTCTCGGGGAACGAAGAGATGTCAGGAGTGTACATGCGCTCCAAATTCTTGACTCCAGCGGTGTCAACGATGCTCCAGCCCATAACGCCGAGGTAGTCGTCTCTGGGAATGACGCCGATCAAAGGGCAGGTGAGCGCCAGGAACTTGTCGAGAGGCGCAGCATCCTTGGTGTTGCTCTCGCGGATGATTGAGTAGGCCTTAGCGAGGATGCTCCACTTGGCTTTGAAGGGGTCGTTCTGCCACATGCGAGTCANAAAGCCAGAGATGTCCTTCTGCTGGAACGACTTGAAGATAGGAGAATGGTANNACCTGATGGACTGGTCAGAATGATTCGTGCGCACTTCTTTTCGACGACCCAACTTACTTCTGAAGGCCATCCAGGAGTTGAGAGGACGAGTAGGTGCGATGCTGACGGAAGATGAGTGCGCAACTTTTGAGGTAGCCGACTTCTTTGTGCGCTTCTTGCGCTCGGTGACGGCGGAGACAGGAGTAGTGGTAGTCGAAGCAACGGCAGCTCTCTGAGAGGTAGCAGGGCGCATCTTCATCACGGCATCGACGACCTCTGCAATCTGTTCAGGCGAATACTTCTCGAGGAGCAGAGCCATCGACTCGGGCATGACGGCAGACATTGTTGCGTGATTTGGAACCGAGGGATGTTTGTGTAACAAAGAATTGAGCGGAAATGGTTGTGCGGTGGAATGTGGAAGCGGATAAGGAATGTTTCAGGAGAAAGACAAAGGAAGTTTGAGACTTGGTGAACACAGGGGGCTGGTATGCGCTTCAGAGTGAGCGGAGCTTCAGTGAGTGCTTTTGGTTCGCATTTTTCACTTCTCAAGACTCATCTATTTCTCTCTCACTTCCCGCGGACGCCTCGAAAACAAGTTTCTCCGACTTTTACATCACTCACATCACCACGCCCACGATCAATCGAATCACGCTTGGGAAAATTGGTATGGGCAAGGACATTGAAAACTGGCATAGGCAAAGACACTTTATCTTCTCAACTTCCGAATTTCAACTCCTCAAGAGCTCGCCTTTCCAAGGACCCAGCGACGAACAATGTAGCATCTGTTTGCAGCAAAAGGAGTAACAACATCCTTTCTCTCCAACATACCCAAGAATCTGCCGAGGGTAGCCTTCTCTTCTGGACCCTGTCCGTTGACTTGTTCGATTGCCTNGCTTTACGTTAGTATATTCCAAGGTTTGAAGACAGGTTCTCTTGTTACCTGTGCATAAGGGCGGTTTCCAAGATTGTGCTGTGCTGGTGTCAGTCTTGATATTGTCAGAATGTTCTTCTTGTTCTCTGACTTACGAANACGTAGCGCTTCAGTCTTCAAGCCTGTCGGGGTGAGAGTCATCTGACGAAAAGGAGCGAGCTTTTGGTGCAGAGNGCTGTTCATACTCTGTCAGCACTGCCTCCCAGAAAAGTCATGAGTGTGACTTACTCCTGCAAATTCTCTCTCTTCTGGGTAACGCTGNNCCGAAGTGTTAGCACACCACTCAATCTCTTTCTTCCTGCGCTGATCATGTAAAGATACCTGATGGAAGTAGTTGTTTGCTTCTTCAAACTCGTGAGCCCATACTGCCAGGATTCCAGCAGCTGCTTGAGGAAGAGTCTGGTATGAGGTGCGGATGACATGGCGATATTCTGGGAAGCTGGGGTGCGAAGGAGGGCGAGTCTCGAAGGGAGCCAAGAAACGGGCAACAGCATAAGATGGCGAGCCTGGTGCGAGGAACTGACTCCAAGGTGACAAGTGTGCTCTGCGATGGGGGTTTGATTCTTCGGCAGTGTCTGTGATGGTCTCCTCCTGGACTTTCAGTCGTACCTGATCTCGGCGCTTGATGGCGTGGATGACCTTTGCCGTTTCTCCGGTCAAAGTGTACATGGTGGCCAGGAAGTCTTCGTACTCGGCATTGGACGCAAAACGGGATGCATCGTTGCGGAGGATGCGATACTCAGCCAGAACTTCCTTGAGATGCTTGCAGATCGTGTCACGATCGAAGTGCTTTGGTTCGAGGGCATAGACTTTCTGAAGGCATTTCAAGTCTGCAATGATGTTCTGGCACATGATGCGAGTTTCCAGATGTTTCTNTTCCTGCACCAGCTGTTGGTTCTGTCAGCGGTTGGTCTTGAGTCGAAGCGCAAAGGCATGATTCTCACCAGCTTCGAAAGCAGGCTGTTCCAGCTCGTTCAAGGTAATGTGGACAATCTTGGGATCCATTTTGTTTGTTTCGTTTGATGAGTGCATCTTGGGAAGATAGCAGAAGAAAGGATTGTCAAACTTCGTTGTGAGGAAAAGAGGTATTTGCTGACTACTGCATCAATAGGAACGCCTTGCTATTGTTGTGAGTTTCTGTCACTTTATACCAGCCAGCCACCTTGAGATTGTTCTTCACCCGATTTTTATTCAGTGCTCAGTGTGACTTCCACTGCCGTCAGTCTTTGTTTTTCGTCTATGATCACGAAGTTGTTTCACTTTCTATCTTCCACCATCAGATTCATTACCACCAACCACTCAGTTTCGGCTTTCCCCTTGATATGTGCTCAGCAGCAGAAGATCGAGAAGACTTAGTACCACGCCATGGTCCAGATTACAAGTGTCGCTGCTGGTCGCACCGAGACTGTTCTCCTATCCGACCTCAGAGGCCGCCTCGGCGACGATGACTTTACTGCTATCGATCAGCGTCGCAGGTACGTCTTCTGCGCATCCTTCTCGAACGCGCACTAGGGACTTCACGTAGCACTTCCAGAAATGTGCAGTAAAATCAAGAATGACACTGAGGATGACGCTGCCACTGATCTGATCCACGTCAGTGTCCTGTCTCCTGGCTCACACAGCCATTCAGATGAAACTACTATGTCTTCGCCTGACTCTCACGCATCCCCGAGTCTCCGAAGAAGGGCACCAAAGTCAGCCGCCCTGCCAATGCCTTCATCCTTTATCGCAAGCATCACCACTCAGACATCGTGGCTCGCAACCCTGGTCTCCACAACAATGAGATCTGTAAGTTGCTTCTTCTGCGCGCAATTTCTCTCCATGATCAAGAACTTACAAATGTCTACAGCAAAGATCATTGGCAAGATGTGGCGTGACGAGTCCGAGCCTGTCAAGAAGCAGTGGAAGGACCAGGCCGAGAGCGTCAAGCGCCAGCACCTTCGCGACCACCCCGACTACCAGTACCAGCCTCGCAAGCCCCATGAGAAGAAGCGCCGCATGACCAAGCGCAAGACCATGGCTCTGGCTGCCCAGCAGAACACTCCTTCCACTTCAGCCTCTGCCTCTGCCTCAGCATCTGTCGATGCAAACATGCCTGCCGCCTTCACCACCTACTCGCCTACTCCATCCACAGTTGGCCCCTTCTCTTCTGTCACCTCACCCGCCCAGATTGTCGACCTCGCCAACTTCGACGACCCATCTCTCAGCTACTCTGCCAATGGCGACCTCGCTTCCTTCACCTTCGACCCCTTCCAGCCCAACCAACTCGACCTCTTCACCAACCTCTTGGACGACCACAACACCGAGATGATGTTCGGTCCCACCACCGTCCGCGCTCCTGCCGCCTGCACTGCTCTCCCCACTGCCATCAACAGTGCCATGGCTGACGGCAACGCCGGCGCCTCTCTATCCAACCCCACCTTCACCAACAATGACCTCGCCATGGCTCAGTCAGACTTGACCGGCTTCGAGTCTTCGCTCGAGGACATGCTGTCCCGCGAGCTTGAAACCATGGAGGGGGATGGCGGTCTTGCCGCTGCTGTCGAGAACGGTTTCCAGTACAACGACCTCGAGTCTCAGCGCTTCACAGAGTTCTTAGAGCAGATGCCTGAGCACATGTGGGGTATGGAGTTTGTCAACTGATCTGCTCTTGCTTTGCAACATCAGCCATCTTCTGCAAGCATGGTGGTTGCCGATTATCGTTTCTTTGTTGTCGTTACAGAAGGGAAGGATAAAAGGAGGAGCATAGGAGGAAAAAGGAGTCTTTGCATGGTCGGCGTACTGCGCATTGCATGTTTTCAAGCTTTTGTTTCTTTCCATTTCATTTCGTCTTTCTTCTTTCAAAGCAAATACTGCTTCTTCTTTCCATAGCAATCAACCACGACTAATACCTCTTTCTTGTCTCTCATGCCTTGAAGTCGCTGCACCATATGAATGTCGGGCATCGCCATTGTGTACCTTTCTCCTTCGTACCTGAAGGCCCCAGCGGTCTTGCACACATCCAGAAGCTACGCCCCTGATTCTCTCCCTTCTTCTTGGTCTGCATGCTCTTACATGGCTCTTCGTGACTTTCGCACAATGGTGCTGCTGGCTTGCGAAACAGTGTCTGCCAGGACTCCTTGTTGACTATTGGGTCGTATACCATCTCGTCATCATCACCGAAAGGAGGTAGAGATTGAGCTTCGAGCGCTGAGGGGCTATTAGAAACCACAGGACTACCTTGTGCATTAGCAGGAGACGTCAAGGCTTTGACGCTGAGCGAATGTGGTGTGGATGTTGAAAAGGCTGTTTCGGACATGGATAGATCGCTCACTCGCTCTTCTGCATCTCTAGAATCAACGGTCTCGATTGTATCAGGTCCACTTCCGTTTGCACTCTTGACCGGCTCTTCCGGCTTGGGCTTTGATTGGAAGAAGCCCTTCAAACTCTTTTGTCCTTTGGCAGGAGCCGCCTTTGATGTGGAGCTAGTAGCGGGCTTCTGCTTCTTCGTTGTTTGAGATGTAGACGTCTCTGATGCTTTGCGTTTCCTGTCTGGCGAAGGGGAAACAGCGATCTTCGAGGAGGGTGCTGCTACGGAAGCAGATTCATTTGTAGCAGGAAGCTCATCGGCGGGTTGCAAGGGCTGGGAAGTTGATATTGTTGCTGTCTGGCTGTTTGAAGAAGCAGCTGCGAAGGCTGAGGTGCTAGGAGCGTTAGGTTTCTTGAACATGTCCTTGATGCTCCTTCTTTGGTAGAACTCTGGCATGAGTCTGGCACTGAAAGGAGGTAGATCTTTGATGTTCCATTCCTTCTGACGAATGCCGTTGTTGAATACACCAGAAGGGTTCATGATATCGACCAGCTTTACTTCTGATCGTCCGTCATCGCCTTCGACACTGACAACATCTTTGAACTCGCCATAGACCGGGCAGTGATCAGAACCNNCTGACTACAATTAGCCTGTGCATGATAAGACATGAACAAATGTACTAACCATGAGACCTTCTTGGATATCAGCATGAACAAACCACTCACGCATAGAACCGCTTGCCAGAACAAAGTCAATGCGACTTCCGAAGTTTCCAGGTCTTGCATTGATCTTCTGTTCCCAATGAGTGTACATGCCTTTTCTCTCAGGATGAAACTCTCTGGTGGTGTCAAGCAAGATAGGCTGCTCTCGGCCTTCATCTCTGTCGCCATAGACTTCACCGCTGATGATGAGCTGGTTGAAGATACGACGATTGGGAGTACTGACGTATTCCTCACTCGTCAAGCCGGCCTTCTTGATATCCTCAGCAGACGAGGCGGTATCGATCAAGCCTCGAGAAACATTGAGATCGCCAACCAAGACAACCCGCTTGCCCATCTTATTGAGCTTACGTATGCGGCAGTCCAGAGCACTGAGGAAGGCATAACGAAAGTCATCCCGGAGACCATTCGAGTTGGCGGGACTGTAGACCCCAAAGAGAACGAACGCAGGGAACTCGAGACACACACAACGGCCTTCGGCGTCCAGAAGGAGAGGATCAACGCCGAGCTCTGCAAGTTCCATCTCGGAGAGATATCCTCCGATCTGCTGAGACTCTGGCAGGCTGCGAAATTGAGTTGTAGAGTTTGGTGGCGTCAAAACTCCGAGAATTCCTTCTTCAGCTCGGATGGGAGAGCAAGCGGCGTTGCGAGTATAGATACCTACACCTGAATAGCCTAGAGCACAAGTATGAGAACTTGTCCATAAGATATGCAATTGGGATAAGCGAACCTTNNTCTTCTGTTTGGGCAAGCTGAAATAACAGTCCCAGCCATCGAGTATCACCATGTCGTCACGCAAATCCTTCTTCTGAATCTTGAGTTCTTGCATAACGATAATGTCGGTTTCGAGGATATCGAACATGGCCGGAAAGGTCTTTGTAATGCTCCATGGATGGTAAGAGAATGGATTGCGAATGCCATTGACATTCCAAGTGGTGAGCCTCATGATGATGGAGGAAGTAGGATCAATCGCACGTTCACATATAGGCTGAGCATAGTCGAAAGGATCGAATCATCGACAAATTGTATTGTTTTTGGTCAGGAAAACTCCAGACACGCGACTTCCTCTTGGAGGACGTGACGGAGGGTATGACGTGCGGCAAGGGCAACAGCCGTCACAGCGGAGCCGAGCGGAGCGGAACGCCAAGATCCAGCCCGCCGGGACGTCGCGCTGTGCGTGACCCGACCGTCAATCAGGTGTTCCAGCAAAAGCCATAGCAACTGAACTCTCCACTCACTCACCGTCATATACCGCAATCATGTTCACCACACGCGCCGCTAAGCAATTGCGCTCTCCCATCCTTCGCCAGCTCGGCCGCCGCCAGCTCCACGGCGCCGGCCAGACTGGTTTCCAGGGCGCCGCCGACAACGCTTTCAACCGTGAGCGTGCTGCCGTCAAGGACCACGCTGCTGCCACCAGTGGTACGTTTTGAGCTGGACGCTGCATTGCGCATGCCAATTGGCCTCGAATTGTGCTGACTCAATACCGCAGATCTCTGGCGCAAGCTCTCCATCTAGTATGCATCCTCCAGTGCCCAACCTCCCATTGTCCTTTTCTACGAACGAGAACGAGATATCCTCCCCCTCCCAAGGCTCGAAAAAGAAAGAAAGAAAGAAAGATCAAAAGTTCTGACCGAGAATCTTGCAAAACAGCATCGTCATCCCCTCGATCATCCTCGGTGGTGTCAATGCCTACCGCCTGTGGCTCGAGCACTGGGAGCACCAGTCCCACATGCCCCCAAAGTCCGAGCAGCCCGAGTACCCCTACCAGAACATCCGCACCAAGAACTACTTCTGGGGCGACGGTGACAAGGTGAGCTTCACCCGACCAACGGATACGAGAGGTATAGCTAACAAGTGCTCTCTTCAAGACCATCTTCTGGAACGACAAGGTCAATTACCACAAGAAGTCTGACGAGTAAATCATTCTCGTTCGATATCTGGAATGAACAAAGCGTATATCTAAGACCCCTCCCAATTTTTGTCCTTTAGCCAAACGCTCCTGCGCTCAGAAGAGCCGTAGAACCCGGGAGTCACCTCGCGCCAATTGTACAGATAGCAGAGGCCATGCATCTAACTATTATCTAACGTTTCGTTTGTCAGCTATGTCTGTGTTCTGTCAACTGTCTGCTCGTCTAAACCCCCTGCCCTTGCGTCGCCAATTGCCTTCTTTCGGCTTCCTGGACCGTACTGTTGTATAGACGATCCATCTCTTCAATCATGTCTTCGTCGTCTCTGTGTTTGTACAGCATTGCTTTCTTCATGAGACTCTCCAGAATGCCGTCTAGGTCCTCTATCTTGCGATATGCNNTGTTTGTGTCTTGTTAGTCTTCTGCAACTCGTCTGGTGCTTGGGCTACCTGTACCTTCGTGTGCTCGGTCAAGGTAAATGAACGCAGCATCAATGTGATCTGAGCTTTCCTTCAGGTTCGTTTCAGACGTCTTGCCAGCGAGTCCGACACAGGAATCTGTGAGAATCGAATACAACTGTGCAATTGTAGCTGTGTTACCGCCTTCGAGAACCTGTTCGGAATTAGCTGACCGCAACCACAAAGACTTTGACAATCATCGACTTACCTGCGGCATAATGGCATCCACCAGACTTCTCGCGGCACCAAACTCGCCAAGGTCAATGAGAATGACACAAAGAGCACCCACGGCTTCCCACATTGCCGGCATGATCATAGCTCTCTGAGCTGACGAAGCTGCCCGCATAGCGATACTGAAGCCTTTGGTCGGCAATCCTGCCTTTGCAAAGAGCCGTGCCTTGAGGATGAGCAATTTGATACGACGTACGATATCTGNCTCAAGGTCAGTCACGCGAACTGCTGAATCACGCGACAGGGGTTTCGTACCTGCACTATCTGCGGCCTTTGCTTCGGCTACCTGCTTCTCGATGCAGTCAAATGCACTAGACAGTTTGCCCTGGCGCATCAGTAATTCGATCTCGAGGACGTGTGTTTCGAAGATGACGCCTGCGTCTGCTGTTTGTCTTATAGGCTTTAGCTGGCGAAGAAATTCTTCGGCGACGAAGAAGTCGTNTGCTGATGCTGGTCAGTTGAGAGACGTTAGATGATTTGTGATTGAAACTCACTGATGAATGGCACGTCTGAGACTGATCATTGCCGCGAATGCAGTGAAAGTGTTGTCCAGACGTAATGTCTTCTCCCTTGAAGGATCGTTCTGCCTGAGAAGCTCATATGCTTCTTCGTACTCACCCAAGATGCTGTGCATATGCGCATTCTGCAGCACTACATTGAGTACATCAGGTCTTGAGGCGTCCTGGCGAAAGATATGGTACATGACCTTGCAGTAGTGTTCTGCTAGAGGCATTTGTCCTAGTCTGTTGAAGATGGCCGAATGGAGTCGAAGCTGACTTGGTATCATGCTGGCCACATTGTGCAAGCTGTTGAGATAGCTGGACTGGTATATCTGTTCCAGAGCTCTGGCTACACTGCCGCCGCTTTCGACGTTGACTTCGGCTTGGCTAAGCAGAGAGCTACTGAGAGTGGCCCAATCTTTGTTCTCGACTGCTTTCTGCTGCAAGAAGGTAATGATGTCGCTTTCGTTGCCTGCTAGTTCACTGCCCTCGCCACCATTCTCAAGACGAGAAAATTCGGGATATGCTTTTCGGAGGTGGGCAAGCCAAGAAAGACTGAAGTGCAAACAACGAGCGTCTTGGTTCTCACGAGCAGTCGCAATACATTCGTTCATGGCAGATATTGCCTCGCCGTAGCATCCAAAGTCTGCGTGAAGGACTGCAAGATGGAGCAAAGCATACTGATGGTATGTCTTGATGTGGTCTGTGCCTTGGCTCTCCATAGTATAATCAAAGTAGCGATGAAGAAGCTCGATGGCTTTGTTGTATGCACCGCTTCTCCAAGCATCGAAGAAACTGTTCTGGTCAGTGATGTCAACATGATCGGAATTGTGCATAAAAACATACTTGATGAAATGCATGTCTGAAGGTTTGGACGCCCCTTGTTCTACCATTCCTCTCAGTTGAGCTTTCATCTCATCCGACACCCTGCTACCNNAGAATTTTTGCAGCTGTCCCAGCTGAAAGTGCATCACTTTCTCCACATCATCCAGACTTGATGGTACTGCGGGTCGACCGTCCTGTTTGTTCATACGGTCCAGAAGAACAGCCGATGCACTAGCTTGATCTGGCTGTAACAAGTTTGCTGATGCTGCATCCGGATAGTAACTGGCATAGGGCGACTTGGGATTTCGCTCAACATGGTTGCTCTTGGTGGGTTCGCGGAAGACAACCAGATCCTCCCAGAGCTGGTAGGCATCACTGAACTGCAATCGCACAGATTCCAGATGACATCTTCTCGCGAATTGGCCGATTGGACTAGTTGGACTGCATACAAACTTGGCCTTGCTGCCCTCAGCCTGTTCTTCTAGCGCAGACGTCACCGAGGTCTGTTCTTGAAGGAATGCGGTGAATGTTACGAAGTCGTGAATGGTCCACAGGTGGTCGACGAATAAATGGTACAAAGACCGTCCTGGAACAGCAGATTCATGCGATTCGAGTAAAAGCTCGAAATCTTCGATTGATGGCGGAGTCAATGGGGTTTGGTTGGAAATGTTGAGGGGTGACCTGTGTATGGTGTGCTTGGAAATGAAGGACAGGAGCGGTATCGTACTTTTCGATGGGACACTTCCATCACGATATAATTGCACCAGAAGAAGTATGCATATCTTTGATGGTGTAAGGAATCGCGACATCTTGAGTGGTATTTGTGTCCAGTAGTCCAGACGGTGAGAGCGTTATGCCTGCAAGACTAGCGGCTCGACTAGCAAAAACCTTTCTGCATAATATACTGATTTCGATTACGAGCCGTGTAGATGTTTTCGTAGTGACTTCCCTGTTCGAACTGGCGTTGTTGTTGGCAGGAGCGTCGCGTGGGTCCAGCCGCGGTTCATGTTTTTGGCGCCCGCGAGATGGGCTTCGACTCTCAAAACACAACCAACCAACAAAGATGACCACCCAGGAGGTCGTAACGATCGCAGTTCGCAGTGACAGGAAGAGGAAGAATTATAGAGACCGTGATTCCTTGATTGTTCATCGAATGGTCACTCTTCCATGGTCATGTAAGTGTACACGACAGGAGACTTCAAAAGCAGCAAATTTTGGGTCCACACATTCATGCGACTGGTATCTCACATTACTACCAGATTTTAGACTCGAACTTAGAAGGTCCAGTCCCCAAATACTAGCTGAATATACCTACAGCTCAATGACCACCTTCTTGGCACTAACACCAGCCTTGTTCTTGTCCAGACCTTTCTGCACGCTCTCCAAACCTTGGCCGACGACAAGGGGCTCGGGCAGGCACTTAAGATCTCCACTCTGGAGGGCGCCGGGAACAAACTTTTGCCAAACAGCGTCACCGACTTCTTTGTGCTGGGTACCAATGGTAATGGCAAAGACGCCCTGTGCGTTGATATCAGAAGGCTTGTCTTGAGGAGGTGGGAGGACAGTGGCCATGTTCTTGCTACCGCCAGCCTTCTGCAAGACCTCAAAACAGTGCTTGAAGGTCTCTGGATGGCTGATGCTGTCGTAAATACCACTGAACTCTGCTCCGGTGTCTTTGATGGCGGAAACGATGTCATCAGCGACCGAGGAGCCGTTGTAGTCGATGACAGCCGTGGCACCAAGTTTGGAGCAGTAATCGTGGTTGTGCTTGGAGGCAGTGGTAACGACCTTGACACCACTGGCTACAGCGAGTTGAATAGCGGTTGAGCCAACACTGCTGGAGCCTCCCCAAACCAGGATGACCTTGCCTGACGACTTGGGTGAGGCAGTGGGATAAGGAAGCTCGAGGAAGCCCTTCTGGTAGAGACCGGCTGATGCTGTTGAGATAGCCAAGGGCAGAACGACAGCCTCGGTGTATGAGGTCTGCTCGGGAATCTTGGAGGTCAGGATCTCAGGGCATGCTGAGAAGAGCTGGAAGCCCGCGTTCTGAGGCTTGCCAGTGCCGAGGCCAATGCAGTGGCTNNGTAGAAGGCTGTCAGCTCGGGAGCGATTTGCGCGGGAAGATGGAACTTACGAGAGGACTCTGTCACCCTTCTTGAAGCTCTTGACATTTGATCCCACCTCGTAGACCTCGCCCGAGACATCGGTACCAAGCACATTGGGATAGCTCTGGATGAACATGCCAGAGTCTTGAATCTTCCAGTCGACAGGATTGACGGCCACAGCCTTGTTCTTGATGACGACCTCATCTGCACCAGCAGATGGCATAGGAGCGTGGTCAACCTTGAGTGGGTTGGCTTTGGCCTCTGTGAGCCAAGCGGCCTTGTTGGCATTGTCTGACATAGTGTTGGCCATTGTGATATGATTGCGATGATAAGGAGTTGATTGATTGAATTAATTCAGCTTCCGACAGATATTAAGAGATATAGGTCGGAGCTCTCGCCAAAGCTCAGTGATTGTGTAAGCAGTTCATTGTGATGTCAGTTGCTGACAGCGTGGGGCAGGCTTCATTGGAGGGTCGAGACGCTGGACTCGGCCTTCGGATCAGCACTGCAACCACCATTATTCATCTTGGACGCCACACACTCACCTACATGACGGGCCCGTAAGTCTGCTATCGTAAGCACATGGACAGTCGTTGCGCAGTGAAGCTGATATGGCGTGCAGAGTTGTGTCCTCGGCCGTCGTGTTGCCCGACGCGACCCCTTCATCACCACGCCGCTCGCCTGACCGGTCGCAAACTCCAGAAGAAGCACGCGCCGGAACAAAACGTCGTCACTCATCTGCCGACCATGATTCGCCAAAGCGACAGCGCCTGTCGCCCTCGCCCGACAGATCCAGAACAGAGGATCAAGTCCCACCTGCTCGCGAAAGACGCCCCGTCAAACCAATCGATGAGAAGAAGCGCACTCAGAGGCTGTTTGGAGGTCTGCTAGGAGGATTAGGCCAGACAAGACCCGCCAACTCGCAAGCAGCCAAGCGTCGAGCCGAACAGGAAGAACGGCGCCGGCAGAAAGAGCAAGAGCTCAGCGAGCGGCAATCTGAAAGATTAGAGCACCTCAACCTTGCCAGAAAAATAGAACAACGGAGGATCGATGAAGCCAGCATTCGCATCAAGCATGAGAACTTGAAGGCCATGTCCAATTTCTTGACTACTTCGACCGAGCCCAAATTATATTTCAAACCGTGGGAACTGCTACCGGAACAAGAGGATCAAATCAAACGTCAACGAGAAGATGTCGACGTCCAGATAGACCAGGAGCTTGACGATTTTGACCAGGTCCGCCAACGCTGGCAGAACGAGGATACGAACGGAAATGCCGATCGCCAAGAAAACACCCCTGCACATGCTCAGAAAGCACCCAATGGCATGAACCATACAGCGGATCCAGCGAAAGAGTCGACAGCAACCCAAGATCAAATCGCAATTGCAGATCCTGACACGGAATCGGACCCCGTCGGCACAATCTCAACCGATTCAATTGAAGAACAGGAAGCTCGAGAACGAGTGGCAGATGATGCTGATCGACATAGGAAAGAAAGCATAGATGATACGGGCGATATCGTAGTTGAGGCCGATGAGGACACGGTCATCTACTAATCTGACGAATATTCCTCACCCTTATGTTCCTGACCACGTCACATGGACGATCATATGGCGTGTCTAGCCAGCCAGTGAAATACGCTCAAGGACTGGTCTCTTTTCCTGTCGCATTCTTATAAGCAATGAGCACCCCTAGGTCGGTCCACCATCGACTTTTGCTCTCTAAGGAGTGCGCCATGACGACCAGCTCCACCATTACTGTGTCTGGACGCGCCTGTTGATATTTGGTCTTCATTCTATGTTGACCCGGGTAATTGGTCCTTGAAAGAGCTCTTCAATACTAGATGGCACTGTCGCAGCCTCTTGTCTCAATCTCATACCTCTGGTGATGATGTTGTTCTTCGTTGCCGGGTTCCAGGCATCTCGACACGAGTTGCTCATGTCCACCATCCATACTCCACTACCGTTAGACTCCATGGAAGAACGGGGATTTCATACTCGATGGTATTGTCTCAGTCTGATACAGCTTCCAGCAATGCAATCGTCCAGTCTTCGACCACCAGTCATGCGCCAAATTTCTCCAGGGTATCTCTGACTCGCTCGGTATGGCTGATTGCGACTGCCGAATGTAGTTTATTACGCGAGCCCCGAGCAGCAAGATTGATCTTCATTTGCGAACAGACATCGATATTGTAGATCTCCCGGTCAATCTTCAAGGAAGCATTTCCAGATCCTCCTGTTTCTATTTCGAGGGCTTCGCCGGGTATACATGGTTTCGAAACAGCCAACAATACACGAGCTCGACGGGCGTTTGTCTCAGTCTGGGGGCCGCTACAACGGTCAGGTAGTTTCCCACGAGGGCTTCTACGGTGCCGTTGAACCTTACTCAACTTTCCGAGGGTCCACATCGCGGATGAGTACCACTTTCTTCTGCCAACCCTCCTCGGTCTACCAAGCTTGATGCCTTTCTTGTGTGGTCGTGACCAATGATTAATTTCAGTATGTTCAAATCCTTCGACCCACTGTTACTCGGTGAATGTCGACGAGTGAGTATAGCGCCTTGGACAACCAAAGTAATCCCTCGGAGACCACTACCTCATGACTCGATGGTAGATATCCCTTGTCGGACTTGTTGTATATAAAGATATGGTCCTCTCGAGGTAAGTCGGCTTCTCATCTTCTCATCTCTTCTATTCTCCACCCACCTCTCCCTCTTCTCTCAACCTATCAATCTCTCATCAACACAAACCGACAAGATGCGCTCCGCTGTCATTGTCTCCGCCCTTGCTGGCGTTGCTTTCGCCGAACACAGATCTTTGATCGGCCGTGATGGTACCTGCAAGCCTCAGCCTGCCGGTTCTGGCCCTGTGGCCAGCCCAGACACCGTGGAGGGCTTCTTCGCTCTGCCTGAGCTTCAAACACTCTCAGCCAATGCTCCTACTCCTGATGGTTACACTGCCGCTTTCACCGGCCTGAATGCTTCCCTCAATGCCAACAAGTACATGGGTCTGTGGACTCTCACCGCATACGACACCATTGGATGTTCGGCAATTTGCGACAAGACGACTGGATGCGTGTCATTCAACATGTACAGCGAGCGTGACCCTACTCTCGACCCCAACCACAGCAACTGCCCCAACCCTCAGTCTCTTACCAACTACAAGTGTACACTTTGGGGCGCCGAGGTCTCTTCTTCTCAGGCCAAGAACTTTGGCCAATGGCGTAACGATTTCCAGGTTGTGATCACGGGATCTTCAGCATTCAACAAGATGCCGGCTCCTTCTGGAGTTGAAAACTATGACGGTCCAACACAGCTTGGTGGGGCTATAAATGCTCCTCTCGACAGCCAGAAGCACGACACCTACATGGGCGTTCGTGTCCACCCCTTCAGCAAAGACCAGGAGTACGACCCCAGCGTTTGCGCCACTGCCTGCACCTCCCAGACTGCCTACAACAAGGGCCACCCTGCCAGCGATGGTTCATACCAAACCTGCCGCTTCTTCAACTCGTGGATCCAGAGCAAGGACGGCGTTGCCTACGAGCTGCACTGTGGTCTTTACAACCAGACCTGGTCCCCTCAGTACGCCACCAACTACGGCCAGTACCAGGGAAACAGCCGCATCACTGTTTCCAGATCTTACAGCTACACTCTTTCCGAGGTTGCTGCATAAGTTATGCTGATGCCTTCTTTGGATGACTGTGTCGTCTGTTTTTTCTTTTTCTTGTTTGTTTTTGGATTCTGTTACCATTAGCGCAGCTTCTTTTGCATTATTGTGGTCGATGTTCTCTGTCGTCGACACGATTTTTAATTGTATATATCTATAACTTAATCGTTGGTCACATTATTGTATTGTTCTTATACATTTCTATCTTCATCACTTCATTACACAAATGCCAACATGTCAAAGCAACCTTCCATTCGGCCTCAAACTTGCAATCAACCCTCGCACTCATAGTAACCTCCTCGGGCTCAAAGAACAAATCCGCAATCGCCGGATCTAAACCTGCAACCGGTCTCCTCATATCCATAGCGTTTTCCTGCACTTTCATCACTGCATCACCATCGCAATTTTGCCATTGAGTCTCTCTGATCTCCACTAGCCAAACAGCAGACAACCCCAAAGCTTTTGCATAGTCTTTTGCTCGTTCCAGTGCATCTTCCGCAGCCAAAATGCGTAATCCACTGGCATGGGCTTGTCGTGTAGAGCTTGTTACCACCCACCTCACTCCATGAATTTCTGTACACGGCAGCTGTGCCACTTTNNTATCTGCAAAAACTTTGCCAATTTCGCAAAAAACATCACTTATGCGTATGTCGAAAGAGACACTGGTTTCAAANNCAACCCTTTTGTGCAAGTTTTTCGCCCAAAAAAAAACACCTTGTGTATCTGTGGGTAGTTGCGAAGATGTTTTTTTATATCTTTCATTTGACCAGTGAGCTACTATAGCTGTNNTTTCGATTGCGTTCAGGGAAAGGAGAGGGTTTTTTTCGCGGAGGAGATGTTCGAGGCGGCGGCAAGAGAGTTGGAACTTTGTTCCGGATACAAAGGTGCGGGAGGGNNGTCCAGAAGAGCGGATTTGNNCCACGTCCAGGAGGGCGCGTTCAGCTTCTATGGGGATGATGGCGGTGCCGGTTACGGAGATTGTTATTGGTGTTGTCATTGTTGTAGGTGATAATGGCGTGGAAGGTATGTATGGATGGGTAGAGAGGCTTGGTGTGCGGTAGAGAATGGAGAGAAAGAGAGCAAAAGATCATGCAAGAACATCATTGCTGACAAGACTTTCTTATGAAGAGATGTGAGCCTTCATGACTCGAAACTGCCTACCTATACTTGTAATCCTCGATCTCTGGCTGTACGATACCTGTGCACAAACGAGGTCGGGCTGTCCTATATCGATTGACAACCAAGATCTGAAGCTGAGCGAGACATTGCCGTTGTGAATCATTTCTTTCATGCCTTGATCTATCGGCTATCGTCGCTTATAGGCTATATCCCATGAACCAGAAAGTTCTGATGCAAGGTTGGGTCGCGTGAAAAGAAAAAGGTCAGGCGTGCTGCTTTGTGAGAAAAGCATGGTTGAATCGAAGATCTGAGACAGAGAAAGAGCCGACAAGCCACTGCATGGAACACTCGACGACTTGAGAAGTGACCCTGGCCACAGATATGCTCGAGTATCAATGTTCGAACAGAGAAGAGTAGCCGACATGAACCTGAACGTGGTCTCTGATGTGCTGGAGAGGGTTCAAAGCCCCCGATATTTCCTTTCAATGTGAGTGGGGTTTCTGGCGGCCCAATGCTGGCCTACCTTTTTGTTACAAAGTTCTTCCTCGCCGTATATTCTTCCCGTAGTATTGTTACATCTAGACAGAAACATGCTCCCTGAGCTCCCCCCATAGTCTTGCGCCGAATCTCCAATGCATTTTAATCAATCCCCGGACACGCACATTCACAGCTAATATTACACACCCGAGTCAGTGCCCAGGAAGCGAAGGACAGCCTCGTACATGCCAAACATGATGGCGGCGCTGGGAACGACTCTGAGCATATGCGGCACCAAGCCACCGTACAGAGCAGCCATACCCTCCTCCTTCCAGACCAGCTTGAAGCACTGGGCCAAGCCAGTGTATTTGAGTTGGGGTACGCCATCAATCGAAGTGGTGACAGGGGCTTGTCGCAGTCGCGTGCGGACGACCTCGTGGGGATATGTGATAAGTGCAGCGACGAACTTGGCGCTTCCGGCTGCACCAAGTTTGAGGGACCAGGAAATGGCCTCGTCCCAAGATGTCCGTGGGCGGCCGGCGAGGGCGATGCGCTCTTCTCGTACAGCGATATAGCTCTTCATCTTCTCGTAGAGAACCCATTGTAGTGTGCTTTCCGTCACGCCCAGGTAGCTTGCGCTCAATCCTCTGTACAGTCCGCGGATGCCTTCTGAGCGCACAGTTTGCATGGTGCAGTCCAGAGCGTTCTTGTATTTCCTTCCATCCAAGCCACTGCCAGTCTTCTCGGCTCTCGATTTATCCAGTTGCAGTCGCGTCTTTACCAGCCAAATTGGATTGGTGGCTGTTCCGGTGAGCATACCAGATCCAGCAGCAGCCAACAAATGCACCCAAGAGGCTTCCTTGCCGTCGTTGAAGTTTTGCGACAAGATTCTCTTTCCGTTTCCATATGCAAAGAAGTTGATGGCTCGTGCTGGCACGACACCAATGAGATTGGGACCGAGACCCTTGAAGAGAGCGCGGTAACCTTCAGTACGAGGGATGGCAGTCAAGATCTGGAAGGTTTCTCGGATGTGGAGGATGGCAGTTCGGGAGTAGGAGAGTTGCGACAAGGGCGGGACACCGCGTGCGGCGCGAGCGGCTGTGAGTTGTGATTGGTAAAAGTCGGATTGTAGGCGAGTTTTGAGGACATCAAGAGGACAGGTCAAGGTAGCGGCCGTCATTCCACCCAAGCTGTGGCAATTGGATCAGCAAGATGGAATGCGCATTCGGAATCGGGTGTAAACTCACCCTCCGGCGACGAAATGAGCCCATGATTTTGCGACGGGCGGCGGTGACGTTAGTTGAGCTCCATCTTGTGCTTTCTGAGGGAACGCGTCTCCAGTTTCTCTGGATTGAGGTATCGGACTTGGGTCGACTACAGCAGCTTGCGCGGCGGCGATGGACGGGTGGGCCGTCATGAACGAGGGTGGTGTGCGATGGGTGTCGGAAGAGCACAGGGGATTGCGGTGAGAGAGGGTGTCCCTGTCGTGCAGAATTACGGGTCGATCTTGTGGTGGATGGATGGTTGATGTTGGTGAACTGGCTGGTCCAGAAAATTGCTCGCATCCAAAAACCGGAGGCAAGAACTCTCCGCATCATTGCAGACCGAGCCTGGCGAGTCATGCATCACCACCAGGGTCTTTCCTCTTTCCAAGCTTATCAGATCATCTAAAGCCCATCATCCATCTTCCTTCTCTTTCTCACACTCTCACACGACCACCACACATCCCCAAACAGCATGCAGTGTACGAGACGATTACTAGCTCCTCCGGGCTTCTGGAAGCGAAGTCTGCTGGAACTCTCGAGGCTGTCGAGCATTGGTCCGTCTTCTTCCACCACACCTCTGCTATACCGTCCCCAGTCCAAGAACTGACATGGTCGCAACGAACANGCTCTCAAGGCCGAGGCCATCAATCGTCCCGAGAAGCCTTTCCCGCTCGTCACATTCAATCAACCCGACTCGCCAGAGCTATGCAAAGTCATGTCGGACGAAGACATGGGCGGCTTCTCAAAGGTCCACTTCGATTTCGTTCCAGCACATGCACAAGACCCACCACACATTCGTTTCCACGGCACAATCTCGAATGAGCTTCCCGCCGATAGACCACAGATCCAGAGGTCTGGATATGCTGCTTGGCGCACAAGAGACATGGGTCGCAATCTGTTCGGCAAAGGCTTGTGGGACCTCGACTCGTACAGCTACATTGCTCTCAAAGTCAAGAGCGACGCTCGCAAATATTTTGTCAATGTTCAGACAGAGTCCATTGTACCGACTGATCTGCACCAACATCGACTCTACGCTCAGAAGCCTGGTGACTGGGAGACGGTCATTGTGCCCATCAGCGAGTTTGTCCGCACAAATCACGGTATGGTCGTCGAGCCTCAGAGCGACATGATGCGTCAAAAGATTAGGAGTATCGGCATAGGCTTGATTGACCGTGTCCCTGGACCTTTCGACCTCTGCATTGCAGAGATCTATGCCACAAACAACTCTGGTGGCAAGGACTTTAACAAGAAGCTTGCAACAGACGACCAGGACTTGGCCAGCGACGGTTTGTTGCTCAAGAAGTAGTATATATTCCCACTTTCGCATGCATGGTGTTTGGAGTCTTTGAGCCTCGACCCTGGCTTTTTTGTATATAACCAATTGAGCAGATGCTGCAGTTGAACTTAGTATGTGGTTTCAAGAACGCATCCTTGAATATTGTCCGATCCAAGAAACCATGATTTCCCAATAACCCAGAGCAGCAAGCATTTCCATGCATGTGATTCCAAAGCCAAAAAGTTCCAGCCCCCCAGAAAGGGAAGCAGCGAGCACAGCATCTCCCTTGCGCACAGACCCCACACCAAAGGGCCAACTCTCTCTCCGCAAAAGCGATAGCCAGCTGTACTCTACCACCACCACCTCCCTGTCGCATCAACACCAAACCCATACATCCCACCCTTCCGTCACTTCTTCAGTCACAAACCACTCACAACTACAACCGCAATCATGTCGTCAAGCCAAATGCAAGAGATCATGGAGATGCCCCGCGAGTTTGTCAAGGACGGCACCCAATTCATCAACCGCTGCACGTACGTGTTCTTGCCTATTTCCTCTGCCATCTCCTCCACTCTGCTCTCCCGCCCTCTCTTTCCACGCGCAGATACTGACATCGTTTCTTCTCTGCAAAAAACAGTNAAGCCCGACAAGCGCGAATTCCTCAAGATCAGCCAGGCCGTCGGTGTCGGTTTCCTCGTCATGGGCGTTATCGGTTACGTCGTCAAGTTGAGTATGTTGGCTTGTAGCTCTTCTATATCTCTGTGGAGTACGGTAGCTGACAAAGAGGGGTTGTAAACAGTTCACATCCCCGTCAACAACATTCTCGTCGGTGGCGCATAAAAGCTGCGCATACGTTCCATCCCTCCTGAACCAACACCCCCCCCCTTCTCCATATCCGAAAACCCGACAACAAGGCGCACCCCTCATCCCACGAGACTCCTTGTTGCAACAAACCTCGAAAGAAAGACCAAACCAGCTTGATACCTTTTTTTTTGGTTGGGACACACCCCGCAGGCAGATCTCGTCCCCAGGAGTTCTTGCCTTGATCATATTCCGATTGTACAATTTTCCCTTTTCACAAGAGCAAGGACATTTCTGGCGTTGAAAAAGACGGCCTCTCCTCCAGTTTATTTTTTGTTTCAGATACCACGAACCCGCAATTCCAAAAACACTTCAAAAACACTTCAAAAACACAAGTCACATGAACAGCTCTCGAGGATGCACAATTGGCAACACGCTGGCTTTGTAAAAGAGTGAATACAGCTTGGATCAGTATATACAGCTCGCTCTTTGCGACAACAAGCAAAGAGAGAAAGAAAAGGAGTGTTCCCCGAGATTCTGCTAAAGAAGTACAGTCCTCCAAGCACCAGTAAAAAGACCTCTTCTATTTCTCCGTGAACGCCAAAGATAGTTTATCAAGGGATTTCCAGCCAAAATCATCGAGATCATCGGAAGAGGTCTACTCTTCCTCTTCGTCGTCTCGAGCCAATTGTGCCCGCGTAACAAATCTCGATCGTCGTGAGGATGTGGTTCGGCCAGCTGTAGCAGCGACGCCCTCGTAGTATCGGCTGTCTTGCTCGAGCTGTGGGTTCAGTCGTGCTCCCATCTTGGGTTCTCCCTCGTCCGAATCATTGCCGTCGTTCCAGGTATGTACTGTGCATGTTCCTAGGCCGTGATCCCATCCATTCCATGAGGTTGCNNTATATGTAATGTCAGTAAATGGATCAAGAGTTGTAAAGATACCTGACTTACCAGCAACGACCGGTGCAGTGGGATGCCAACTAGCGTCGCGGACAATGGTACTCCACTGGCTGCGTCCACCACCATGCTCCCAGCGATCAACATATCGCTCGTCTCGTTCGGGTCGTGAGTTTCTGGTTGCTTCCAGCACGTCGATCTTGCCTGCTATCGTGGCGTCCATGTTCCAGATATAGACCGAGCCGTCATGACTTCCACTGTAGACATACCGACCATCTGTGCTGCCTGGTGGTGAGAAGTGACATCTGATGAGCGTCTTAAGCACCTTGTGCCCTCGGAAGGTGACCAGACTGCAGTCGTGGGGGTGAGCTTCATATTCTTCTTCGTCGTAAGGTGCGAACCGATAGTCGAAACCTGTCGTGTGCTCTTCTGGGTCGATTTTGTCGAACCTCTCCGTCGACATCATCATACGCAGATCCCACAACTTCATCGTCTGATCCTTGGCGTTGCTGAGCACATATCTGCCATCACCCTTACTGTCAATATATGTGATACCCTCTGTGTGACCAACAAAGGCACCGGCTTCACGGCCATCACCCATCGAACGTCTATCCCAGACTTTTAACGTCGTATCATCTGATCCCGAGTACAGAATATGTGGCGAAGTTTTGTCTCCGTAACAGACAGCGTTGACGTCGTCCCTGTGACCATGAATTCGGAGTATCGATTGCCGTGTCTCAATGTCGTATACATAGACACTTGAATCTGAAGTACCGGCAACAATCTCGCGTCCATCACCAGAGTAGCGGAGAGACCAGATACCAAAATGGCCCCAACCACGTCCAGTTCTTCGACTCGTAGCTTGTCCCATGTCGGCAAAGTCGAGTATCGTGGGGTCCATAGTGTTGTCGGGATCTGTGGGCGAAAGACACACAGCGCTTCTGATAGAGCTGTACGCAAGGAACCTATTGTCCGGACTCAAAGTTGCGTCGGTAATAGTCCATTGACCGCCATAATAGTGCGCCGTCTTATAGTACTTCCATCTGTACGGATTCGAGGTATCGTACATACGAACTTTGAAGTCCTGCGCACACGAGAAAAAGAAGTTGCCATCGTCTGAGAACTGACCAGAGTAACAGCGATGGTTGTAGTTGATGATACTGTCGGCCTGAGTTGAGGGTATCATGGTCTGGGATATGAGCTTGTTGGCACTCTTCTGGGCACCGTAGCCGCCTACTCCGAGCTCGCGCATCATGTTCCGGTATGCGAGCTTCCTCTTGCGACCATAGGTTCCTCGTGGTCGCTCGGTGGTGCCGAAAGTACCAGACTCCATCAGTTTCTTTCCTGCTTCGCTGGGAACCTTGGGGTAGCCTGAGCCTTCTCTCTTAGGCCGTCTAGCCCTTCTGCCCATGGCGTGCCATCCGAGATATGAGTCGTCCTCGTAGTCGTCGTCATCGTCATCGGCAACAAGGCCGCCCCGCTGCTGGCCGACAACGTTGGCAAAGAGTCCTCTGAGCCCTGTGTTTCCGAGAAGTTGTAGGATCTGCTGTTGCGTGACTGCAAGCTATCAGCCGACTTGTACTTGGTATCAGCATCAAATTGCCACTAACGAGCNGATAGTTTGTCTTGCGGGTTGTGGCCGCGCCGTCTCTGCTTGTGATGATTCCTCCTCGTTCTCATTTGATGTTGATTCAGCCCCTGCTGATGTCTCTCTGCCTTCGTCGTCGTCATCGGTCGTCTCAAAGTCTATCATGACTGGCCCGAGTCCCTCGTCGGCATCNNTGCTCGATGTAAGTTAGCTTTTGCCACAACCCTCAAGTTCTGGGCTGCCAGAGGGATTCATACCATAGAACTCGGTCTCCTCTATGTCGTCTGAGCCAGCAAAGTAGATCTCGTCCCCAGTTGCATATTCGGTGCCATCGTCGTCCTCGAAGTCCATGTCGTCATCGTCTTCCCAATCATCGTCTGCAGCCGGTGCATAGATTGGAGTTTGTTGTGATGCCGATGATTCTGACTGGCCGCGAGGAGGAGAACTCATCTTGTCTGCCAAAAGAGTCGGTTGGTGAACAAGTGAAGGTGATTACAGAGCTCAAGAATCGAGTCCGACCATCAAAGAGCCTCGGAGTGGAGAACGGAAGCTTATCTGACTCGAGGATGGACTTAACGAGTAATCTCCGTTGGACTCGAGTACAATGCGGGTATGGATAGTGCGACGAATTCGAAGAATGAATGGACTCGAGTCTGTGAGATACCTCTGAGATCTCATGAATCGACACGAGCTGCAAGAAATAAAGTCGATGATGCGGGAGAGGTACATTTGGGGAGGACAACGCAAGAGGCAGGAGCGACGCACTTCCGGCTGGCCGACTTCCGAGAACAACGTCCATCGACGGTCTTCCCAGATAGATATCATCCTGCACATTGGAATCAACTTATGTGTGTATCTTGTTTGTGTTTCTTATCAAAAGACTACGTGTCTTCGGTGTTCCGCAAGCCCTTTCATCTCCTTGCTGCTAATCGGAAGGTCAAGCCCTTCACAGGCATGCTTCTTCCAGAAAGCCAAATGTCGCAGCGAACGACTTCGTACATCTTGGTCTCGTAGAGACGCAAAGCTCTTTCCTGGTTCTCAGACTGGATCATGAAGGCATGGCCATTCACCCGAGAGTCGCTGGTGCCGTTCACCAGTGCTCGGTACTGGCCTAGGTCTGTGATCTTACCATCCAGTACATGAGCAGGCTGTAGGCTCGATAGATCGGGCTCGTGTTCGGATTCCAGTACTCGCTTCGGGATCTCTGGCTGTGCGAGAGTGCCGTAAAAGAAGTAGAGAACTGGATATCGTTGAGCGAGGTCTGTGATATTGTTCAGACGATGTTGTGGCATAGTGGTGTCGTCGACGCCTAGCTTGGGCAGTGCTGAGTGGTCCTTTGCTGCAATATTGATGCTTATGAAGCAAGACTCAAAGCCGGTAATACCACGATCGCTGAGACCTTGTCTGATGCGACGCTCTTGTCCGACGGTGACATAGCAAAAGCTTGCTGAGGAGTCTTCTGACTCGGCTTTGATCAGTTTAGGTGTGAACCCTGCGATATCTCGAACATCTCCCGGGGTACTCAGAAGACCGCCGAGAATCATGCCGCGTAGGGTGTTGTTTGGTGGCGAGTATGGACTGGTGGTCGGAGTACCTCCATTCATGACTCTCGAGCGACAAAATAGAGCATACTCACAGGCCTCGCGGTCAAAGCCATGTGCTTCCTTTGATGTTCTGAGCTCAAACCACCGCTCGTCGCTGAATCTTTGGCGGTCTATATCTGCTCGGTAAGCCTTGATACTGTTCTCTGCATCTTCGTATGTCATGGAGAACAGTGTTTGCCATCGGTCGAGATCAACTTCGCTTATTTTATTGACATCAAAGTCGAAAGCGTTGGCTCTCATCCTCTCAAGCCCTTGCAACAAGAAATCCGTTTCCATCATGTCGAATCTTGTGTTTGTACGAGTGTGTCCTAGTGACAAAAAGTTCGGGTGCGAAATATGGAATGAGTCAGTAGAGGAAAGCAAACGTGAAGCGACTATGGATGCTCAGTGGTCAAAAGGACAAAACTAACCCATGACTCACCATATCAACACGTGCGTCTGACTCTTCGTGAAAACAGCAACTCGCGACACAATGACACAGGTTACAAAACCCACATGCGAAGACGTATCCGCAAAGTTAGCCTCGTGTCCATAAGCAAATTTGAGATGTAAAGACAACAAAGTACTTCGTTGCCGTTACACGCGCCAAAACCATCGATCAGCAACTATCTCTGAATGTGATAGAGGGTCTTCCTCACTGGTTAACGTCCCAAGAACTTACATGTTCATGGTAGCGATATACATAATTTTGTATCTCGGGTAGCTTAAAGACAGGGTCATACCCATACCGGAAGCATTGAGCAAAAGAAAAAAGGAAAAAAGAAAAGAAAAAAGCACAAAGCACACAAAGGACGACAAGCATGCGAAAACAAGCGTATAAGGGCACAACAGCGATTCGCAGTATGCAACTTTTTCTCTTCATTGCCCAAAGCTATTTTGTTCGTATACAAAGGGAAGAGCGCGATCGCTATGAAAAACGGAAGGAGTCATCCGCGCTCGCTATCAAGAACGCCAATGACCCAATGATTGTTTCGTGAAAGAACGAAAGAAAAGGACTAACATAGGACCAAACTCAAGCTTTCACTTCTTCTCTTCTTTTTGTGCGGCGGCAGCGGCCTTCTTTTTCTTNGACCGCGTCTTTTAGCGTCAAGAGCCTCTCTTCAGTGATTCTGATCGCATCTTCCACTTGCTTTTCTTCCAGTTCGTGGTTGCGAAGTCTGCGGCCCATTTGCTTGGTGCCCAGCACTTTCTGTCTGTCATTCCTTTCTTGTGTGGCACCGCCGATGGGAATACCATTGCTAAGGCCAACACGATCCTCGAGCCAATCCCAAAGCTCGCTTTCTTCTCTACGCCACAGCTCCTCGTACGCGGCAAGTCTTCCAGGCGAGTCGATGGCGAAACCCATTCCCGTAGAGCGAGGTCGAGATGGGAAGAGCCACGTCCAAGCCAGAAGCAGAGCCAGTATAGTGATGATGACCTGTGCCGAGAACAGAGGCTGGAAGATGCTGACGATTGGCTCCAGTGGTCCACGAACAGGTTCGAACAGTCCCCAGTTGGCTTCTTCTGGTACCTTCTTGGACGCGATTGTGACACGTTCACTCTCGACCGGTGCACCGGCATCCGTTCTTCGTTTTCCTTTGCCCTTACCGCGTGGGGCGCCCCTCGTTGTAGCTTTCGCAGCCACACCAGCGGTGAGCGCAGCGACCAGGTCCTTAACGTATTGCGTCTGACCATCATTCGCACCCTTTTCAATGGGTCNCTGTTATGCATTAGCAACATCTTCTCAGTGGAGGCAACGATACATACCCTTCAGCCAACTCTTGCCAGTCCACTCAACTGTACAGTTGGCAATTAATCTGGTCGAGTTGTTGGGTCCCCACATCATGCAGTATCTGGTCTTCGTGGTGAAGATACCTCCGCTAGGTACATCAGGGGTCGCAGTGCTGCAGTTGACACTGACACACTTCTCTAGATCAAAGTTGTCCACAGTGGCGGTAACAATGCACTTCGTTTGTCTTGGTCCAACAGGCGCATTGAGAGGCTTGATGTACGAGTATGTGAAGGTTCGGTGCGTATCGTCCAGTCCACCTTTCTCGTTCTCGAAAGAAAGCTCGCGAGACTTTTGGTCGTCGACCAACCACTTCTTCATGAATGTGCCCGATGCTGGGCCCCACATCAAGGAATAAACCTTGCCTAGTGGAGCGGGTATCGTAAGGTCGGCCAGTGCTCTATCGTAATGGCTGGCATCATCTCCACACTCAGTAGGAGCATGCATGGCTGGTCCGGGGAAGTCGACGGAAGCAGTCGCGCCAGGAGCAACCGACTCGACGATCTCTGCACCTTTCGTAGGGCCGTTTGCTGAAGGAATACCAGCCGTGACAGGGACAGCGGAAGTTTTCCTGCTCACAGCCGGATCACCAATCTCGCTACCAGCAATGCTGCCACCAGGTTCGTAGAAGCTACCATCGTCATGATCTTCGTCTTCGTCGTAAACATCATCTTCAGTTGCTCCATCAGTGCTGTCCCTATCAGAAGCTATCGATTCAGCACGCTCCGTCTTATCGCCAGTGCTGGCATCGTCTATTGCAACGCCGTGCAGAGAGCTCTTCAGGTTGGGATGACTGATTTTCCAGATGCCGATAAGGAGATCATAAGTGGAGTCTCTGGCCACCAAACTGGCAAAAACATTTCGAGCATGTAGAGTTTGAATGACGATTGCGTTGGGGAAGATGACGGCGGTGTTCTTCTTCTCCACTGACACAACCTCATCGAAGCTGATGACCAGATTGGTCACCCAGCCGAGAATGTTGCTGGAGAAACAGATGTGACCTTCCGAAATGTAAAGCCTGCCATGAAGGAGAATGTCACGCTGTAAAGCTGCACTATAGTCCTCGATCAAGTAGTCATCCTCTGGTACGCTTCGGAACAGCTGATGGAAGTCTTTGTTGCGCTTGCTGCTGGCTACAGCAAAGCCGGTAGTGCGATGACCTTGACCCAGGGCAGGGACAAGAGTGGCGCTACTAGCAGAGACCGCAGCAGCAAGAGTACCACCTGTAGCGGCGGAGCTACCACGATGTCTCCTGCGGCCACTGAGCTTACTTCTGACCGAGCTGGCGCGCTTGACGCTGTCGAAAGTGCCCGAGGTTCTGGGAGGTGTTTGGAAGCCTGCATCCGAACCATCACCCGAGACCACGGACAGAGGTCTTCCACCTGTTGCCTGGCTCACTGCCTTCTCTACAGGCTTTTCGTAAGCAGCAGAAACAGCGCGGTTCGCGGCATTCTCTTCTTGCTTCTGGCCGTTGCTATTCAGGTTGGGCGAAGCACCTGACAGATCCACGTTGGAGGTCATTGGGCTGACCTCTGAGCTTTCTGCACTGATGCCGAGTTGATCTAGACTAAGATCGCCTCTACCAAGAGTTTCGACTGCAAGTTGGCGCTTGGTACCTGGCTCAAGTTCTGGTGAGCTAATAGTTTCAACACCAGGAATCACTTCTTCCCCGCCTATGGTGTCTGCTTGATCGAACGGCTGTGGCTTGTTCTTTGGTGAAGCGATAGAGGTGTTCAGACTGGTACTGAGCTGATTTGCAGCGTTTTGGGCAGCGTTGAAGACGGAGGAGAAGAAACCAGATGAGGTGACTGGTGCAGTGATTGTGCCTCCAGGTGTTTTTGCTTCCTCAATGTGCGGAGTCAAGGGAGAAGCAGCGAGCTTGCTCGATGTAAAAGTTCCGGCTCTTTTACGTCTCTGAGCGGCAGCGTTTACGTATGAGGGCGGAGAGTGGACGGAAGAGCTGAGCGATTGCGCAGAAGCATTTGAGAAATGGGTCTGAGGTTCAGTTGGAGTTGGAGGTGTCACGAAAGTGGTGGGAGGGTCAACGGTATTGGGAGGTGTAGAAGGCACGGTTGTGATGATGGTGGGTTTGCGCGGCAGCGATTGAGGGGTTGTGGGACGCGGAGAAGACACGGTGGGAATATCGGGGTTGAAGTCGAGATCTGGGAAGGCCTCATGTGTCTCTGTGGTTGTTTCGGCCACAGGCTTCTTCTTGGGCAAGGTAAAGGCGCCTTTGAATCTATCGACAGGCGATTTCTGGCGGTTTTGGGTGGCAGAGAGCGACTGTGAGGCAGCGGGGTTGTCAAGAGATGCGGGGCCAGCGAGATTCTCAGCAAGATGGGGAATGTCGTCAGGCAAGGGGTTGTTGGTGGCAGCGGCGTTGATGAGAGGTGAGGAGAGGGTCAAGTAGCCGGCGTGGGACTGGTGAGGAGAGAGGGTTGGTCTGACAGGACTGGTTTGAGGCAGGGCAGTCAGCAAGCGAAGAAACGAAGGCCCTTTTGAAGGCTATGCAATGTCAAGAGCTGGCCGTATCGCGTATCCAGCACGTGTACGGTACAATACGCAAGGGAGGTCGGGGCCACCAGGGTCCTGGGTGATTGTGATTGCACGGCAGTGGACGGACGACTAATGGACCACCTTGTTGCGATCGGCGTTACGACGACACACGGCGCTCGGACCCTTGGCACATAGCCCTCCTTCGCCCTGAATAGCATCACGGTGATTGGGAGTGTGTACTTACGCTTGGTCGTCCTCGTCCTCGTCCTCGGTCAGTAGACTGCTATGTCCACTGCCCTGGTTCCCCAGAGAAAGCTCGCTGGGGTTGGGAGAGATGGCGCGCTGACGCTCCTGGAGCAGGTCGCCGGATGCCGAGAGGAGGTCGCTGTCTTGGGTGCTGCTCTTCCGCCGCGACTTCTTGGACGACGGCAACAGGCCACGCAGGCCTTTGGACGACTCGTCACTGTTGCGACGCAGGTCTTGCGACTTGCGGGCTCTTCGTTCTTTGACTTTGGCGAAGACGTTGTCAATGGACGGCTTGAGGCCCGAGACATGGTCGTCCATGGGTCCGCTTCCTATCGAACTGTTGGAGTCGTTGCGGTCGGCGTCCTTGCGGCCTCGACGGAGGTGGATTGACAGGTTGCGACGAGGTACATCGGTAGATGCCATGGCTTGGTTGGGTCAAAGTCTATCGTGTTTGGTCCGGCATGCCGGCGCCAAGGGTCGAAGAGAGAGTGTATCAAAGGTTTCGTGAAGATTGAGCTGGCGAAGACGGAGGTCCAAGGTAGGACGGTGAGGCGTAGGTCAAGGATCAACAGAGTGATTGCGGGAGCAGGTGAAACAGGTGGAGATGGCTAGGTGGGCTATAGATGGTCGGCTAGGAGAACATATTGCACTACCCAGATGCGCTGCTCCATCAATCAAGTTGGAGTTGCGGGGAAGCGATTCATGCAGGTGACGTACTTGCTATCACATGCCTGCCCAGTGTTTCTATTTTGCCTATTCCGTCCTCCCTCCCTCTGTGCTGCAGATCAGGCACCATGGAGGAGGCTCCTTTGACTTTGGTAGGAATGCGAGTAACTTTCATCGAGTACCCCTACTAATTCCATAACCAGGCGCACTCGCACGCGCGCAAAGCAGCTGTGGAAACGTCAAAGTCACATCTCGCCGTAGCCGCTACCGAACACCTCGCTGCCGCCGAACAATATGCCAAAGCACAACCTTCGACCTCCGATCCCGAAGCCTTGCGTGTGCTAAAGCTCCTGGAAACACATCACCGCCAGCTAGCTCATATCATCCGCTCAAAACATACCATCGCAAAAGCTGTACAAGACGCACAACACGCCGACTCTCCTGAATCAGACAGCTCAGTAGCCCTCACCTCGCCTTCCGTCGTGCCTTCGTCTGCTCCTACGCCACTCGCCAGAATACATCCATCACGTCGCGAGTCCTCACCTGCTCTCGCAAAAGATATAGCCACACGCAGAGGTATCCCACAACAGTCTTCTTCGCTCAATCCTCGCAAAACCCCTTCTTTGGCACCGTCCAACGCCACCTCTACAACCTCTGTCGATCGCCGTGCCCCTCATATCCCTGCCAGCTCAGCCCAATCAAAGGACCAAGACGATGGCTTCTCTCGCTTCTACTCCAACTGGACCACTGGGCCTCTCTCCCGCTTATCGTCCATGCTTGCTTTCACAGCCCTGCCTTTGACAGACACGCCCGAACCAGATTCGCCTACCTCCTCACGTCACCAGAAGACAAGCGCCAGAGCCTCGAACGACCCTGACGTCAGGTCTCTCATATCGCCTGCTGCCTTGAACGCTCTGCAACAGCATGGTCATATCGGTCCCGGCGAGAGCTTCTACGTTATACCCACGAGTGGTGGTACGGCTTCATATGCGAATATTGTCACGCGAGAGCAACGCTACGCTCGTCGCCAGCACCTCTCCAACATCAGCGAAGACGACCCTGCCGAATTTGTTGATGCACAAGAGACGCAACCTGCAAGGCTTCCAAATCGCGGTCTGATATCGGAGCGAGAAGAAGAACTACAACTACAAAACGATACGCTAAAGCAAGCTCTGGATCATGTGAGCCATCGGTTGCAGGCATTCGAGTCACATGCTCAAGATGCTTCCATGGCTGCATTGACACACAGTGTAGCCAGCGTGCGAACAACCCACTCTGCTGCTCCATCCAACGCATCTAGACAATCAGACGATGAGCTACAGGCTGCTTTGAAAGAGATCAAGAAACTCGAACACGACAATGCCAAATTCAGAGCTTACTACGCCAAGCTGAAAGATAGTGCCAAAGCAAGGAGAGCCGAGCCTAGGGGCTGAGGTCGATCGCGTCTTTCTTATTTACGTTCTCCAAAGATACCCTTTACTAGATACCCCTTTTACATACGATTCCAATGACACCACTTCTGGAATTGCTTTCCAACTCGTTATACAGATCATGTTCTTGAGACGTGCTGGATATGCTCTCCAATAAATCAGTCTGTCCTACCTTTCGTGGCTGGAACAAAAGAGTCCAAGAGTACAGACTCTTGGAGGAGAAAAACTTCGGAGACAGTTCATCGAGGAGATCAGCTCGGGAGGCAGGACGATAAAATTCATGAATATGACAGTATGAAAACAATAGGGGTATCGACACTAACTATTACCTACCCAACCTCCCAATCAGCGACGACGAGCTGACTCTTCCTGGTCTCAAGCATCATCATCGCCTTGTTGCTTGTTCCTGCCCCTCCTAATCATATCCGCCATACTCACCGGCGGCTTCCTCCTCTCTTCCCTCGTCCGATACGGCAACAATCTGCTTTCCCTCAACTCCCTCTCCAAACAAGCACCTAGCCTCTCCAATATCCATTCAGTCTCTGATTGATGTCCCATCAATGGGCTGGCTCTGCTTAGCCATGACCACCTATGATCAATGTGTTTTTGCTTCCACTCTTCTCTGGTTTCTGGCAATCGCAATTCTTCAGGAACTAGAACGTCTCCTGAGAGGTCGGAGGCATCGGCGTCATTTGCCATGAGTTTGAGAAAGTATTCCCATTCGCCCCATTCGTAGCGTTTGGGGGGTGAGGCGTTGAGGTCTTTTAACAGCCGTTGTGTCTCTCGTGCAAGCAAAAAGTTGAAAAAGTGGATATCACGCTCTAGCGTGTCTCCATGTTGTTCGGCAGATAGAGCGTCATCGAGTTCTTCAGCTTCGAGGTGTTTGGCCATGCGGTCGGCTATACGATCAGTGATGGTGATGTGTTGGTCTTCATCATCCGCTCCCGCACCCTCTGCCTGGCTTACACCACCCGGATGCAAGTCATGATGGCTATGGTGAATAGGGTGAGTTGCTGTGAGAGAGCTCCACGCGGCCTGTAGAGCGGATCTTATGCCTTGTTCAGAGGGGAGGACGGTCAGAGAGCCAATCCATTCTGTTACGTTGGAGAAGAGTTGAACCACTGTATCTCCCATGTCTGAGATGAGGATTGTAAGAGTGGGTACGGCTAGCAGCGACCAAAGGATGAAGAAGGCTTTGCTAGAGTTCGACGTTGGGGTAAAGTCTCCGTAACCAANTCTTACGAACACCAGAAATGTTAGCACAGCCCAGACATCATATAGTCGTATCGTCGACTTGATATCGACGTAGCCTTGACTTACCGTAAGTAGACACGCATAGGAAAAGTACATAGTCTGGAAGTAAGTCCATCCCTGCTCTTTCTCTGCAACATGGAAAATAGCAGAACCGGCTAGCCAGAGTGCAAAAGCAGCCGTCGTGGATACGAACAAGGCAATCCATTTGCGATCTCTCTCAGCACACTCTTGTACCCGTCTCATCGCCTTGAACTCTTGTTCTCTCTTCTGAGCAGCATTTGTGTAGCTCTCGACGAACTTCATGGTTTGGAATCGGCTGACGCGCATTCGTTGTCTGCCATCGCCAACACTATTGACGGCTCGAAGACGCTTTTTCTCCATCATTCTGGCGGATATCTTCTTCTGACCTCGTTCGAGAACTAGTGTTCGGATGGAGCCGACGACGAGACCGAGGATGACGATGCCACCGATGGCGTACGGGATAAATAGAGATCGACCGGAATGCGTCTGTGNGTCTGAGAGGTCTCGAATCAGCTTTTGTCTATTTCAAACCTGGATGGCAGATCAAACGTACGAGAAATCTCCAAGACCGACTGTGAGCAGCGTCACATCTGCCCAGTATACGGCGTCCAGATATTCCCATTTCTCGATGTGGCTGAACACCAGAGCACCGAGTAGGAGATAGGTGAAGAAGCTCATTGTCTGCAACATCAGAGTCCGTTGTGCAGCAGTCAGTCGAAATTGTCTTGCATAGTGCCCTTTCCAAGCACCATAAACAGTCAAACACATCAGAGCGGAGATGATGAGATATATGGCAGCAGCCATGATTGCATAGTAGAACGCTGACGTCAAAGCATGATGAGCAGCAGGTGCGGCAGGAGAGTCTGTAGGTAGTTGATAGGTATGCGACACAGTCAGAGCAATAAGATCCGCAATCAGGAGTCCAGAAGAGATAGTGAAGCCAACGATTGTAATGGGTTGGGCTATCGAGAATCGCAACCGATGGGTCATATTGAGCAGCAAAGATCCGTTTGCGATGAGAGCAAGAGCCAGAGAGATTGCATTGATCGCGAGTAANNCCTGGTAATGCATCGTCAGAAGAAATTCCCATGTTCAGATATATGCAAAGCACCATTTCGGGTCATCGATGGTAGTCGAATTAGTGACGGTACCCCCGGGTGGTATGTAGACTCTCCAACTGGAGGACAAGGCGCATATCGAAAAGGCAGAGGCCATAGGGCCGAATGTGCCGGCAATGAGAGGACATGCTGTCGACTCGAACCAATACCGACTGTGATATGTTCTGTTAGTACAAGATACTTATATCTCGGAATAGACTCACTTGGGGTTGGTATAATCTCTTTCCTCTCCAAGATCCCCAGAGTCTCTTCGCTTTGCTTGTGGGTCTTGCTTATCAGGAGATCCCGAGTCGAGTTCGTCCGCTGCCTGCTTGATAGGCTTGTCTATGGGGTCGCTCATCCTCTCGCAGAATCAAGAAAATGTAAATTGAGTCTGTGAAGACATGCCCTGGAACGATCGCGTTGCTACGTTCATAATACAGCGAAGCTGTAAATATAGCGGCTGGAGTAGGATATTCAGGAAATGTTGATCAAAGACGGCTCGGCGGAGTGTGATCAAAAGGCAAGCCACCTTCGTAGCCAGTCAAGCTTCATGCCAAGGTACGTAGGCACATGGTCAGAGCGTGTGGTGCTCCACTGTGGCGGTGCAAAAGAACTTGATGAGCCAGAGATAACCCTGTACCGTTCTCTCAAAGACAGTATACTTAGAAGGCAGTGCCGCTTTATCCACGAGGAGAACCTACTCGCCTAGTGTATCTCAGGAGTGTCTCCAACAATCTCACTTGGATATGTCAATGGGTCTAAACAAGAACAGCAGACTCATGATGGCTTCAGGATGCGAATTGATACCTTCGGCGGATCATCCCGCTCTAAAAAGCCCGTGCATCATGCTAGTTGAACGCAAAATCGAAGACAGCATTAACATCTTCATGCTCAACCTCTTTTATACTTCAGTAAAGAACATCCACAGAAGCAAAATGAGAGGACGATCATCAAGGAATGCACTTCGAGCTTCTCGCTCTGAATAGTTCTGGCATATACTGCCCTCAATACATCACCGCCAAAGAACAATAACATGCACAAATCCAAGCTTTCTAACAGAAATCTGTTTGACAGCGCCTAACAGTCATAGGCAAGTTGATATGTTTGATCATGGCACCTTCTACTGTGGCCCTCCGTGTGGTAGACGCTACGCGGTGGACTCCTCGAGGAAGGTATGCCGGCCATGTAAGACCTGCCTTTATGAAGACAATCACGCTTCCAGAAAAGGGCCTGGGCAACTAGCCAAGCACGTTCTTGGTTCTTGTAACTCCTTACTCTTCCTTTGTTGCTTTCGCGCCTTCCTTGTCTTCTTCGAGGCTCAGAAGTAACTGGCAAGTCGGCTCTGGCGAAACGAAACAAGATTGCAAACTTCAACACAGCAGTCGGCAATTGATCTTGACAAAGAAGACAAACTCAACTCATCTGCTCGCTTCTTACAGAAGCAGCAGCCGTCAACTGGTGTCTCAAAGAGGTGTTGCCTGCTTGAAGCGCATATTTAGGTGCCTTCACGCGGATTTGGGAAATTGCCGGCTCAAGCGAGCGCTCCTTCCGAGCAAACACAACTCGCACTCGAAGCGGTGCTTTATTCTCCTTGCACCTTCCTTCTTCCGCTTCTTTCAGTCCATCACAAACATCAAGACCGCCCTTCCAGAGTAGTGTAAGTACCCAACCACCCCTCTTCTCTTCCACCTCACCCTTCTATCTATCTTATCAACTCAACCCACTTTCCCTCCCTTGGTGCATCTCAAGCATCAACATCACTGACGTGCTTCTTGACTGCAGCCTGACAACGAGTGCTTCTCGACTCGCTGTCACATTCAACACTTTGCACACTTCGTTTCACCCGCTTGTAAGTCCTTACCCTTCAGCTCTACAGTTGCCCTCGCACAACTTTCCTTGTCCATCTGCTCCCTTCCACCTCAACCCTCTCACCTTTCTACCATCACTCGGTCTCTGACGAGGACTTTGAGGGTTGCCGACTCACTGTGCGTATCTCAACGATCTCTGTTCACCTCCGTTATCACTTGCTTCATCATCATCACCTTCCCTCCACCGCTTCCCCTTTACATAAACTTCCTTCACCATCTTCCTCTGACATCAAGTTCCTCCATCAACTTCCTTCGTCAACCTCCTTCATCATTTTCATTCATCTTCCATCGACATCAAGCCATACCACTCTCAGCTCAGCTGAATCATCAAGCGTCTTGACTAACCACTCCCTCCGCATCAGATCGTTGCATCTTCGCAACATGTCAGACACCGGTTTCCCCGAAGCCCCTACTGAGGGTTTCGGCCAAGTCCCCGCTGCCTCGGCCGCTGGTCCTAGCCCTGAGGATGTCACTGCCCTTCGTACTCATGGCTGGACTGAGAACGAGAAGCTCGACTACGATGCCTACAACGCCGCTCCTACAGACATCACTCCCACTTGGGCCACCACTGCTCAAGTCTACGAGTGGAATGGCGAAGAGGGTGACGTTAGTCCTCCCGACGCTGAGCTGGAACAGCAGCTCTTTGGTGAGCGCCACAGGGCCGGAACCTCCCTCGATCACATCATGGACTTCATTGCCAACGTCGAAGGCCCCAGACAGTTCAATCCCATCGGTGGCGTTAGTCCATCCTTCTCCTGACCAAAAGATACATGGCACTGACTGCTTCACAGNTTTGACACTGCCGGTCTGCACCCTCAGGTTCTGGCCAATGTCCAGCTCTGCGGCTACGAGAAGATTACCGTCATTCAGGCCTACTGTGTGCCTATCATTCTCGCCGGTCACGATCTCGTTGCTGTCGCCCAGACTGGCTCCGGAAAGACCGCCGCTTACCTAGTTCCTATCATCTCCAAGTTGATGGGTAAGGTCCGCAAGCTTCAGGGACCTCGTACCGTCGCTGGCAGCCGCGTTCGCGCCGAGCCTTTGGTTGTCATCGTTGTCCCTACCCGCGAGCTCGCTCAACAGATCTTTGATGAGGCTCGTCGCTTGTGTTACCGTTCCATGCTGCGCCCTGTTTGCGCTTACGGCGGTATCCTCATGGGAATCAATCTTCAGGAGCTTGGAAAGGGTTGCGATCTGCTCATTGGTACTGCTGGTCGTCTCAACGACCTGATGAACAAGCCCGATATCCTCTCGATGAGACGTGTCAAATTCACCGTCATTGACGAGGCCGATGAGATGCTCACTCCTGATTGGGAAGATGAGATGGCCAAGATCATGGGTGGCGGTGGTAAGTGACTTAACCTCGCATGCTTAAAGCTAATGCTAACTGGTTTCCANGATGCCAACGAGGACCCCGACCACGCATACCTCTTGTTCTCTGCCACGTTCCCCAAGGAGTCCCGTAAGGTGGCTCGTACCTACATGGACCAGGATGCCGTGCGTGTCCGTATCGGCCGTGCTGGTTCGACCCACAAGAATGTCACTCAGGACATCATCTTCGTTGAACGTAACCAGAAGAAGCAAGCTCTGTACGATCTCCTTATGGCTAGAGATCCCTGCCGTACCTTGATCTTCTGCAACAGCAAGGGCGCTGTTGAGGAGCTCGATGACTACCTCTTCAACCGCGGCTTCCCTACCAACTTCATGCACGGCGATCGTTCTCAGCTCGAGCGTCAAGACTCGATGCGCATCTTCAAGAGCAGAGAGAAGGGTATCTTGATTGCCACCAACGTCTTTGGTCGCGGCATCGATGTTCCCCAGGTCAACCACGTCATCTGCTATGACCTGCCTGGAGTTGAGTATGGCGGCATCTCGGAGTACATCCACCGCATCGGACGTACTGGTCGCATCGGCCACAAGGGCCACGCTACCTCCTTCTACAACGAGCGTAACGAGGACATTGCTCCTGCCCTGGTCAACATTCTCCTGGAGACCGACCAGCCTGTTCCCGACTTCCTTGAGCAGTTCAAGCCTGACAGTGGCAAGGCCGAGTTCGAGGACGACATCACCGATGAGGAGGACGAGGCCTTTGAGCCTGGCTATGTCGCCGCCCCTGGTGCTGGTGCTGGTGCTGGTGCCTTTGACGAGGCTCCCGCTCCCGCCGCTTGGGGCGCTGATTCTTCAGCTCCCGCTGCTGCCGAGGCCGACCCCTGGGGTGCTTCTGCTGCTGTTTCCTCTTGGTAGACGGCTCAACATTTGAAGGACATTTCCATCATGTCTTTTTTGTACTGCATCAAGGGATGCTCATACGTGCCAGTAGGATGCTGGTAGTGGCCCGAGATCTGCATGAACTCTAGCTAACTAGATAAAAACAATTGAAAGTGCATTGACTCTTCTTCGTTCCAATCATGACCTTATATTCGTGCAGCTGTGGATCTGAGTTTTATGCTTCTTCTCCCTCATCATCCAGGGCGATTCGTCTCTTCTTGTGGCCACCTTGTCCCATCACAAAACCAGCCGGTGCTGCAGCCTTCATCCTTCTGATCGTCCAATGCTCTCTAATCTTCTGCCATAGTCCCTATCTGAGAAGTATGCTCATCTACAATCTGGAATGGTCTTCAAACAATGTGACACCGCAAATCACAGAGACATAAGCAAGGGCGTCTTGATCTGCATCATCTCTACTTTGAATGTAGGTGTGGAGTTTTGTTGAAGGCATCTAGCCGTTCTTCATTCGTCGACTACAGCCCATGGTAAACATTGCGCAATTCTATAGCATATCACGATACCACACGTCTAGGTGAGAGAGGGCGGGTTGTAAGGTTTGCCTGCATTGATTCTCGGCCATGACCCATAAAGATAATGAGGGAGGGTCTGAGAGTACGTGGGCGAAGGTACAAAGTCGTGATTCTCACATTGGAATATCTACGAATCTATGCAGAAGGTAATCGTTGCTCTCATGGGGAAGGAGAGCCATCGATACTTGAGGTTCTTGAAGGCAAGACCCGAACGTGGAAAAGGAAGGAAGTGTCCTTCATTGCTCTTTTTACAGCTGGTTTTAATACACAGCGACAGAAACAAGAACAAGAACATTGGCAAGATGATCACAACACGCTTTTCAACCAGGTAAAATTAGAACAAAACGAGTTTGAAACTAGCAAAGCATAGAGTTCGGGGTATAGAAAAAGAAGAAAAAGCAAGTATTCGCTACAGAAAACAAAAGAGCTCATTAAAAGGGATAGCATCAAGTCTGCAAGAAGTATCCAGAGCGAAGAAGAATGGAGAAAAGAAGACAGAAAAAAGAGGCAAGTCATCAGCGTCGCTCAAAAGGAGTAAACACCTCAGCCAAAAGGGAAAACAAAAGGAGCAAATGAAAAAAAGGGCGAGTCATCAGCAATCACCCTCAGAGAGTAACCACCTCAGCCAGAAGAAGAAAAGAAGAAAGAAAAACGTGCAGAAAAAGGTAAAACCAAGGCCCCGTATGTGTGTGCGTGTCCATTGCGTGATGTCGTTTTGCGCTCCTCCTTTTTCCCACCTCATCCGAAGTCGTGAAAATAAGAACCACCATCTCGAGTATGCAAAGAGTCATTACCACCATCTAGGCTCCCAGTTGACGCCGCGCTTTGAAGAACGGCATGTGCATTGAGAAATGCAAGGAAAGAAGAAAGAAAAAACCAGCGAAGAAAAAGGTGTGATGAAGGCGGTAGCAAGAACGAGCAAAGTGATCTGTGCCACGCCGCCATACTGCTTCCACCACACAAGAAAGAGAAAAGAAAATCGTTGTGTCGTGTTCGGGTTCGGTCGTCAACCTTGATCAACCGAGTGTGTCGCTCGAGCGAGGGCGGAAGATGATCTCTTCATCATCGCTGCTGTCCTCGTCGGTACTATCTTCGTCGCTGCTGGCATCGTCGCTCTTCAGGCTGAAAAGGCTAGCGAAGGCAGCGCCGTCCAAGATGAAGCTGTCATTGTCATCCCCATGCTTGTACTACTCAGCAGTGGTGCGACTGCGTTCATCTTCCTCGAGGACGTCTGAGAGACGAGTGGGATGATGGTGTCTGCTCTGAAGAGCCTCCCAATCACTGCCGTAGCCAGCGCCCTCATAGTCCGCAGGCTCAACACCATGGTAGCCAGCAGGTTCAACATCCTCGGCAGTCGAAGTGGCGAAAGAAGCCATGGCCTCGGCGCTGCTAGTGGGTGCGCGAGGAACGGGAGGAGGAGGCATGCCCACGCCGTAACGAGCAGCAAGCTCGCGTTCATGGGCGACATCAGCAGCAGTGTCGTATTCCTCGGAAGAGACGTGGCTGGTGTTCTGGCCAGGGCCACGGTTAGGGTTGCGATAGACGACAGGACGGCCCTGAGCATCACGACGGACAACGCCATGCTCGTCAATCTCGTACTCAGTACCCTCGGTGGTGTCTGATTCATACGAGGGGCGCGAGCCCAGATCGTGGGTAACTTGGACTGGTTCAGCGGCAGGAGTCCTGGAGCGCGCAGTACCGCTTGCAGGCGAAGAGTGAAGGTAAACCTTGCCGGGAGGCTGCTGGTAAAAGAGCTCGGGCTGTTCATTGACTGCACCTGCGATAGCGGCCTGGCTAGGCTGAATGACGGGGCGGGTGGTAGTGACATTGGGCGAAAGGGGTGAGATGCCCTGAGGAGACAAATCGCGGCGCTGGTGATGAGGGGAGATGGCGGTACGGGCAGTTGAGGTCGAAGCGGGAGTGCTTCCAGAAGGGTAAGGTTGGCGGGCATCAGACTCGATTTGCTGAAGCTCAGGCTCATGGTGAAATTGCTGGCCAGCTCTAACAGACTCAGTGAAGGGATCGGTGTTTGTAGGCGATGGCTCGTCATCGTGGTACTGGATGTCGGGAACGATGGGCTGGTACTGTTGTTGACCTTGTTGAGTCTGGGGAGACTGCTGGGATCTTGTCTGATGGTACTGAGAGCTGTCGGCAACGTTGGCACCAGTGGTGGAAGGACGCTCACGACGCTGGTGATCCTGGTCGTTAACGGCATGCATAGGGACGACTTGAATACCTCCGATGTTAGTGGGGATGCCTTGACGTAGGTTGAGCATGATCTCCGTATTCGTGGCCTCCATATCACCAAGACTCTCCCAAGCACGTCTGGCTTCGGCTTTGGCGATGACCAATTCTCTGCGGTCTTCATTCGCGCGTTTATGCTCCTGCAGGAATTGCGCCTGCTTCTGTTCGATGGTGCGCTCTGCTGACTGTACGAGTAGGCGCTCGGCATTGATTTGACCCAGCAAATCCGCACGATCTTCTTGCCACTTTTCCTGCTCGGCCTTCATCTCGTTGAACCATCTCTTGAACTTGCGCTCAGAGCTGGCACGAAGACGCTGTAACTCGACCAGTCCATGAAAAAGATTGGCGCCGGCGGCCGAGAGATCTTGGATCTGACGCTGCAACGCAGCGGCAGACGGGTTGGTACCGCGAATCTCCTCAGTGTTACCCTCAATCTTACGGAGCCAGTATGAGGTGAGACCTTCCCAGTGTGATGACAACATCTCCCATCTCTCGAACGCATGGGGGAATGACGAGTGAGTGCCTGCCTGTGGCATGTCTTCAGATTCGACTTCGTTGGGCTGACCGGACTGTGAAGGGTTGGGCGCTGATGATACGCGTGCTTCAGATTGTGAGATCGTCTGAGATCTTCTGTGTCCAGGCGTGGGTTGTGACTTGTGGCCTTGCTGCGCCGATTGAGATTGAGATCGTTGCCTGGAGGGGACGCCACCTCGAGAGTCTTCTGACAAACGAGTCGAGGATGGAGCGGCATCCTGGCCTGCCATGCGCTCCATGGCGGCAGCAGCAGCTCTTCTGCGTTCCGGGTCTGACGATCTCTGCTCGCCTTCTCTCTGGCGACTGGCTTCTGCTTCTCTTCTGGCTTCTCTGGCAAGACGGTCTGCCATGATGTTGCGAGGTGTGCGTATCGAGGGAGCGGACCGGCCACTGCCCTGATTACTGTCACCCATAAGATGGGACATCCTTTCCTGCTCTTCTTCCAGGACAGGTGTGAATGGATGGGGTGTTCGGATTGCTTCTTCAACTGCGTAGAGAATCGCAAAGTGTTGACGACGAGAGATGCGAAGAGCTGGATGAGGCCCGAGATCTTGAGGATTGGTCGAGGTCGGGTGTCGTTGCGCACTTCGCGGTCCGTGAAAGCTTGCGTTCGCGCTTTCGAATGAAGGGGGTCTATGCCTGTTCACACGGGATCGAGAGTCGTTTGGGTCGTTTGCTCGTCGTGGGTCTCGGCGTAGCCTTGGACCACCACTATCCGGGGATGTTGACGTCTGTGACGAGGTACTGAAGCTACTCTGGTCTTGCGCTCGTCGCTGCTGCCTCTGCGATGGTGCCAATGGGTCGTGAGGGTCGTGGAGATCGTCAAAAGAACTGCGCCGTTGATGCGACAGTTTGAAGGCTGGTAGTGGATCCAGAGCCGCTACTTTGACCGTTGCCGCTCAATTCCTTTGGCTGAAGCCTAAACTCCTTGTTTCGCAAGCCACTGACTGGCACAAGTACTTGCACTGATGCTGTATCGACGTTAAACTGCCTCTGTTGCGACGCTTAGTATGTATGATGACTTGGTACAAAGACATGAAAGAAGGTTTGGGCAAGAAAAAGTGGACCGGCAATTGCAGAACATGGGCATCAGCCGGGAACATGATTTGTGGCCCAGACACTGCTTTGTCAAACAGGGATAATATTACTCGAGGGGCTGGGTATGGGAAGCAGACTTGGTAGATCGAAGTGGCAGGAAACATGCAGTGGCTGGAAGCAAAGCACGGTCATTACCGCAGAACAGACAAACGCACCTTGAAGCCTTGATATATTTAGATACTTTTGATCTTTTGTCGGTAGTTCCTGCTGTAGGTCACAAATTACAATATTCGCGACAACAGTAGGCTGATTTGCAATTGTTGGAAGTCAATCGAAGCCTGAGAAGGTGCGACTTGGGTAGCGTTTCAGGTGCGGATTCGAAGACCGGCTTTTGGAGGCAATGATGCTGGGGCTGGAACAGATCTGGATCGGAACAAGAAGGAAACCTGACTCATCAATTCCCTTCTCATGGTCTTTTGGCTATCCGCAGAACTCTGGAGACCAGATTTGAAAAGGATATGCGAACTGTAACACCGCAGCAGGCGTGTAGCGCTGTGGATGGCCGAGACTGGGGAGTACAGTGCGGAGGCTGTTCAGTCTGCTCAGCAATTACGAGTACTCGTAAGTGTCTGCGTCAACACAAATGTCGATATACCCGGGTTCGGTATACTGATTGGCGAAGACAAGTCAATGGCGGATCTGCCTTGGGCTTCAGAAGAGAACAAGAACCTGGTCGCTGCCAACGCATCTGCTATGCTTCTTCGGCTTGGCCCGTGACAGGCAAGTTTCTTTCGCCAGGGCTCGCCCGAGCTCTTGTCGGGCATCCTCGCTTCCGGCATACCTGAATTGGCGACGACATGGTCTGGCAGAGATGAATCACAAACAGTCAGGACTGATGTTCTCAAGAAGAAACAAGCTAGAGAGAAATGTTCTGCTCCAATGGATACCAACATGAGCAGCTCCGATTCTGGTTTCACTTGCTGGCCAATCGTTGAGGTATGGCAAGTATAGCCGAATGCATCTCGCTCGCCAATTCTTACCTGGAAGCATGTCATTTTGTGAGGGCAGCAATCTTTATCCTCCGTCACGATCACCAACAGGAACATGTCTATACTTGGTTCTCAGATAGTCTTGCATTGATGAGTACTCTGAGCTCTTTGTTCTCCAAATCTGAGTACAATATTGACGATTTTGTGCTGATTTATGAGCATGGTTGGAATCTTTTGGTAAGAAAGAGTCATATCAGGCCCTGTATCGATGTTGAGATGATCAGCAAGTAAAAGGATGTCCCACAGCGCCAGAAGCGTAGGCCTCGATCACGGACTTGATGATCGCGTATAGTCCACCAACGCAGATGAAGCCGCCACAGATCAGGGTGCCAAAGCACACCAAGAACATAGGCCACTTCTTCCTGACGGATCTCCAACCATCTTCAAGATAGTGGGTATCATACCACCAGAATGCTCCTGCAAGACCATAGGTATACCAGGACGCAAAAGCAGATGCGACTATACCGCCCAGGTACGAGAAGANACTGTTGGAATGGTTAGTCAAGTATCAGACATATCTTCGAGGAAATCAACGTACCGGCACACCTGTTGCCAACACGAACCCGCAAGCATTTGCAACAGCAAGCAGTAATATCCAGACTCCCCACCCCAGCATCGTGTTCTCTGTGAGGTGCCTACTGTTTCTAAACATCCTTACAAACACAATCTTTGCAGCGAAATGATTATACAATGCCCCAGCAACTAATATGTTCGGCAAAAAGAGTCCCCATGCCACTTTCGCCCAAGTTTCTGATAGACTCAGGAACGAGGGACTTTGTACCGTGGAGCCGAGATAGACATATGATACCACGGCGAAGATGACATACCATGTCGTACTGAAGAGCTGAAGTGCCCAAGCTGACTTCTTGGAGTCGCTTGGGACTTTCATCTCGGATATGATGGTGAAGAAGATGAAATGGCCGGCATATGCTAGGACNNTGAGGTTCTCTGTTAGCAGTGAGTTTCGTTTTTTCGTTCAAGACTTCTTACCAGGGTTAGTGATGGCTAAGAAGGCTGTGTAGAATGTGTTCGGAGCTGTAGCAACTACCACGCGATCAGGCGTTGGTTCGACACCAGCACCGATCATCGCAACCAGAGTTGCGACCAAGACCGAGATACAGGCAGCCACAGAAAAACCTTGTAATCCAGCACCGAAGGTCCTTGGGACAGCAAAAAGAAAGGTGACACATGTCCAGATGCCCAGATATGACATCGCACACATGCCACCCTGACTCAACGTCTGCAAAGCCAGCTGTCCGAGCAAGCTCATACTGCCCACTCCTGTGATGGCAAACAGAATGGTTCCAGCACTCAATACCTCTCTCCCTATTGCCCCTAGTCCGAAGGGCGAAAACAAGATGAATCCCGCATCGCCCATGTTATGCACTTCCGGATGATTAAGTTTGAAATCGATGAGCAGGAACGACGTGAACAAAGCCCAGACTCCACAGAAGACAATGATGATAGTGCCAGGAACGAGACCGACGACGGCGATTGCCTGAGGCAGGGTCAAGGTGCCACCAGTCACAATTTCCGTGATCATGATAAAAGCCGCAGACTGCCAGGACAGAGTCCGATATTTAATCGAATGGTTTTTGTCGTCTGTAAAGACCTCACGCTCATCGTAACTGAGATCTGAGGCAGTTGTGTTTCTGGCCATGTCTGATTTCCTAATAGTGGTCATCATGGTCGATAAAAAGGTAGACAGCGTTTAGGCGCAAAGATGCGGAGAGTAACCATTCATAGCAATGCGAAGGAAGAACTGCTGTAGATAAGGAAACTCAGAGATCATGCTGCAGGGATAAATGCAGTTGGATATTGCTACGCAGCACAGATACGGACGCGGGATATGTATTGCAGCATGGAGGTGCAGGACAAGACTTGGCGTGGCAGATCTCGTTATATAGCTCGCTTGAAGTCTGGCTGACTGCATATGGCTTGCATTGGAGCATTCCAGCTGCTCAGCCTGATTCCGAATTCCTATCGCTCAGTCAAAAGGTTTCAGGCAGAACCCTAGTGGTGTGATTCGGCTAATCGTCATCTGAAACGATTAGACATGACACACATTGGTCCAACCCTCTTTTGCATATCTATGTTATAGTATTGCAAGACACTTCATTTTCGACAACCATGCCGAATCTCCCTTGTGCGCAAGCTTGTCGTACGTTCAGCTGTGCAAATACATGGTAGTCTTCAAATTGGAGTTAAGACCATAGAAAGCCCGTTGAATGAAGTCTCTCCTTGGACACTGATGCTAAGACCATGCATGTTGGCTTAAGGTACAGACAAAAAATACAGGGAAGTGATGAAGATGGTCCGTTAAATCGACGGTTTGATTGAGTGTGGACATCGAATTGGTTTGACAATAGTCGACTGTTCTGTTCGTGATCGGGTGGTGTTGGAGTTTTTTGCATTGCCAGCATGACTCAATGAAGTCAGTGGTTTCTTGAGCCATTCAGAAGGGGCGTTGCTGCACTGCAATTTTGGGAAGGTGCGAATGATATCCGACTCATGCGAACTCATGTACCTTGAACCAAGATCTCGCTTGCCGGTCCTTGGGACCGAGAATATTCGCAGGGTCTATCGCTCGAAGATACGAGTGGATCTAACTGCCTGGAGAACTCAAGACTCGTGTATGTGGCAGGATCATGGCTTCAGAGCATCATCTGGGCTGCCCTGGCTGGCTTGCTTGAGAGCATCCAGACGCTGCTTGTTTCTCTTTTGCAGTATCCTCAAGGTGTTCTTCTTCTCAATGTCGGCCATCGTGTCCCAGTTTGTGATTCTAGAGATTGTGCCGTCCTTGTTGACGACCATGGGTCCGAGGTGATCGAGGGCCACGCCTTGACCAGAGCTGACGTCGAGTTGAATACCGCCAGCAGGTGGTTCAGGCAATCCCAGAGGTGTTTCCTTCTTCTCCTGTTGTTCGTGCGACTGCGCATTGGGGTCTGCCATCTTGTCGTTCGGGGTAGACGAGTACGGCTTCGAGAAAGGTGCGGAAGTGGAACGGTGCAGTTCAGCTAGGCTGGTCAGTCGAGCGCGTGGGAAGTATCTGAAGAGCTGCATCGCAAAGAAGATGACAGCGAAGCAGGGCAGCACCCACGTTAAGAACGTGCGACGGTTCATCGATGTGTGATCGAAGACTCGCCGACTCGATGGAAATGCATCGAAGCTCGTGCCAAGAATACCATCAAGCTCGGCTTCACCTGCAGTCGACCCGGCTGAAACTTCTTCGAGTACATATCGACATCAGTTCTTGTTCGTTTTCTTATCTGCCATCTTTCACTCTTGGATGCCAGTATCACTAGACAGAAATTGTTATTGGATATCGTCTTGGGCGTATTGGGTGACTCGGCAGTATACTCACCAGCATCATGTCCTTCTTCTCGAGGTTCAGCACGCCAGTCTTCAAGAACACCGGATCAACCGCTCGCGATCATCTGGCCTCCGAAAGAACATATCTGGCATGGATGCGCACCGGTCTCGGTTTTCTTGCTCTCGGAATTGGTGTGGAAAGATTCAACCAACTTGACCTGGCCGAGATCCTGCCTACCAAGCACAAGAAGCGATTCCACGAGAACAGGAGCCATAACGACAAGTCAGACGCTCTCGTGGGCGCTTTGCTCGGAAGTGGGGCTGGTAGTATTGCGTACGGAACTACCAGGTACTTTTCGAATATGCGGTTGCTAGAACAGGGGCTCTTCAAACCTGCTTTCCATGGAGCTGCCTTCTTGGCCGTGGGTGTTGCTGGAATCGCTGGAGCGGTCTATTGGTCTACCGTCAGAGAGAGAATGGCAAATCAACATCCTAGTCGCGCTTGATCGCAGCAGCCAATGGGTTGGGTGGATGAAGAGGAACCGCAGCATCGGATTCGTGTTGTTGCGTACGTCTTGAGAGAGTGTGGAACATACAACACCGCGAGCTTTCGTACAGACTCAATCTTGGTTTCCCCTTTCTTTCGGTCATGAGCAACAAAACCTCTGGTAAGTCTCTTTCGCTGGGCATACCTTGCCTAGCACTCAGGTTCCTGCATTTCCATAGCCATGTTCATCAGAACTGACACTTTGGAGCAATAAGTACTCCCATCGCTATGGCAACACCCAAGACACCTCCCAGGCTCCCATCGCCAGAAGACGAACACACCACTTCTCCAACCACGGGCTTCCCCAAACGTCGCCGCGCCAAACATCTGAGAGCAGCCGTGTACTGGGAACTCACAGACCGGCGCCACTANCCCCCTTCTCCTGGCACGGGTCTCACAATCTTCAGCCCGGTGCCCTACCCCTACAAGCCCACAACGAAGCTACCAGGCGCCAGAGACGACGAAACCAGGGTCATGCATCTCGACGGCACAATCGATTCCGATGACTCCGACGATGCTAGAGAAGACGACAAGGAACGCTGTCACGAAAACGGTTATCCCGTCGCCTCCTCACCCACCTTCAAGAAGCACGCTCGCACAGTCGAAGACCAAGCAAACGACACAGAACTCGCTCATCACCTCAATGCCCTCGACCTCGACGCCGACACTCGCAAATCACATCACTTGACCGCCAAACACTTGAACAGGAAAGCCAGAATCAGAAACTCCAAGACTGTTCGCGGGTTCGAGTTCCCTCAGCACCCTGTTGGCCGTGTGCAGAAAAACAAGGAGTTGAACATGTATCAGCTGTCGAAGTGGGCTGGTCGGGATGCAGAGAAGAAGAAAGTGGTTGTCAAGCTCTTGCACGACAGGGGCAGAGATCGCACCGAATCATTGGGACTGTATGATCCATTCGCCAGCCGCTAGGGGATCATAACGAGAATACATGCATCTTTCCGTCACAACTATTGTACACCTGTCCCTCGTGTTTGTATTGTGTAGTGAATCAATACACTTAGCAGACAGGTTCTGTTGGAAAAAATGTGGTCAGCTTCGATGAGCAGGTTCTCTTCCCGGTTAGCAGATGGCGCTGTAGTGTACTATAAAGTTGCACAGTCGTTAATCGAACTAGATGTGTGGCCACAGGAGTAGCCTCAAAATGATATCTCTCCTTGGACAACATTAGTTCCCCAAAAGTGTCGTGTATTTTTCCATGTGATATAGTCTGGTCTTTCGCCAACGGGGACGACACTGTAGCAATAACAAGGTCACCCTCATCTTCAGTCGCATCTCCGAGTGACAACATCCATGTCCCTATACTCTTTGATATCATTCAAATGCTTAGCCACCGTACATATACGTAAATGGTGGACTAGCTTAACAAGGTATCCATTTCATCCGCTTCCACTGGCAAAGCTACAATGTCCCTGCGTCCTAGCATAGGGTACTCGATTCTTTCTCGATATGTTTGCGCTGAAACGTTCATGTATCATCTATCCAAGGTGTTTCATTATCATAATTGAGAACTGCTCCACATGTATAGTCTACCCATATGCTACAGAGTGTAGACGAACTCGGGATTCTCGCGATCCGTGAGATCCAACCATTCCTGATTCTCCAACTTGACGTACGAATCCGATGCACGGATAGCTGCTCTCTTCTTGTTTTGACGCTTGCAGTACCAGTAGATAAAGACAATATCAACAATACAGAGGAGATAGCACACGANTCTGTGAAAAAAGAAGAAAAGGTCAGCTACTTGGAGACATTGCAACGATCTTGGTGAAATACTCACAATCACAATTTCTGCAGGAATATATCTGGGAGCATCTTTCGGACGGAAGGTCTGAGGGCCAATGATGTTGCCGACGCAGTAGCCGATCAGGTAGAGAGCAGCGACTGTTGTCTTCTTCGTCCATCCAGCGACGTTGGTAGAGATGAGACTAAGCAAAGCAACAAATGGCGTAGGCGAGGCTTGAGTGAGATAGTATCCGAACAAGCGTCCAATATTATTATGCAGTGGCAGGCAGACGATCAATAGCATTCCCAGAGTGGAGATCCAAAGGCCGGAGGTTGAAACCAGGAGACGGTTGCCGTATCTGTCGCCTAGGTAGCCACAAACGATAAGTGCGATCACTTCGACTGCACCACCAGGAGTGCCGTAGAGGAGAGATTCTTCTGCAGTGTAGCCGAAAGATGTGATGAGCTGGGAGAAGAAATTGGAGATACCACNCTGAGTTCACGAGTCAGCGATCATGTGGTGCAAGTCTGGCTCGGTATACGTACCATTAGGAATATCAGCAACCAGAGCATAGAAGACAAATGCCCATGTCAGAGGATCCAGCAATGCCTCCTTGAGCTGGTACATCTTGAAGTGCTTGTTTCCAATACCCTGCTGATTGCATCGGACACGCTCAATAGCGAGAACGCGGTCCTCTTTGCTCAAGAAGCGTGCGTTGAGTTGACTGTCCGGAACAAGCCATAGAAAGATGAGTCCGACACAAATGGTCAAGCATCCAGTAACCAGGAAAATGATCTTCCAGGGCTCAATACTGGACCCGTGCAGGCGTGTTCCTTTTGCAATACCATAGGCTACCAGACCACCGAAAATCTGGGCGAATCCATTGAATGAGAACCAGATGCTTGTGCGAGACCCTTGCTCTTTCTTGGTATACCACTAGCCAACAGTCAGCATCTTGAGCACAGTGAAGACAATAGCATTGTTGCACACCTGAGACGTCAACAGGGCAAAACCGGGCGTGACAGCAGATTCGGTGACTTGAAAGGAAAATTAGCTTGCTGGCATGGTGGATTCATTGTTCCAACACATACCTCCAAGCATGAAGCGTACAGCAACGCCACCTGAGAAGTTTTTGACGGCAGCGAATGTGCACAAGGTCATACCCCAGAGAATAATGTTCACCGCTGAATATTTTCCCAATGGCAACCGTTGTAGTAATCTATTTGTTGGGTACTCGAAACTCAAGTAACCAAAGTAAAACCTGATGCGTCTTAGTATCTGGGCTCATTGGCGGTGAAATTCGCGGACTTACATCGAACTAAGCCATTGGTAGTCAAGTCCTTGTAGATCTGTATCTTTCTTCAATCCCATAACCGAGGCGTACGATAGAGTGGTCTTGTCCAAATAGTTCAGTCCATAGACAATGCACATGANCCTGAACAAGAGCGTGGTGTCAGCACGGGCCGTATGTATTTCTGGACTGGCTATCCGCACCGGCATCAAGTTCCAGTCAATCTTCCGTAACAGGCGCTTGTTTGTGGCTTCATCCAGCTCGATGACTTCACCCGGATGCGACATGAAAGCCTTCAAGGCCTCATCTGCGTCTCCAGCATGTTGTAAGATTGATTTATCCACACTGCCATTGCGTATAGCATCCGCGAGAGGTCCAGGCAGGTCCTTCTCGGCGTCGAAGGGAACGGTCGACTTCTCGGTATCTGGCATAATGTCGGAGGTTATGGCGATACAACAGTGTTGAGAGAACGAAAAGCAAGCCTCATGGAGGCGGGTACATGGCAATACTTATAAAGAGAAGGGTTTGGGGTCCACTGATAATGTACACAGATACCGGCGAGTAGAGCGGAATATCATACCCCATTGAAGTTACCTTATGCTACCTTGCCGTTAGATAGGCACGGCGGAGGAGCCAATCGAGGTGAACAGATCAGCATGATGCGTGTGGGGAAAGAGAGGTGATAGCCATGTGGACCGCATTACTCGGCCAAGCTTATTCCTTCTTGGGAAGGAGCCACGCCGGGTACTTGCCCGCTGCTTGGCAGGTTCTTCTCGCTTTGTTTGATACAACTCTATCTTGGTTGACAACACAACAACAACTCGACCTTCATCATCGATATCGAAGAAGATCATCACTAGTAAGTGAACGACACTGCATCTTATAGCTGGATCATGATGGCTTACTTCCAACCAGAACCATATCACTTTTTCCGAGGTATCATTCCAGCGGTCCCAAGTCATCCACCATCAGTCCCATCGAATCCATCATTTCCATTCACCCCTTCATCAAAGCCATTACTTTTGGACCACAAGTTCAAACATGCTTCTGGCACTTCCCTTCACTGTACTTCTGGGCACTGCTCTCTGCTATGCGGCCAGAAATCCACTTTCATCGTCTTCGAACCACAATCTTCCTCGTGACGATATTGACCCAGACTGGGCATACTCGATGATGCAAGGCAGCAAAGAACCCAGCATTTCCCAGACAATGGCATGGCCTGATTAGCGCTCAATTGGCCTGCTCGGTGGTGCTCCCTGGCCCAACTTTGGAGGTTTCCTGAAAGAATGGAGATCTCGTGCTGCTTCCGCTGAAGTTGGTTTCGACCACCACGCCTCAGACGACGATGTTCTCGGTAGTTCTTCTCCGGAAGCCGATGATCTCGATGATTCTTCCCTGAATACCGATGCTTCCGACGACCAAGCTTCAGAAGGAAATGTTATGGCTGCCGACACAATCTGGCCCATCCCAGACTCCGGCCCTCCAACCACGTATGGGGAGGGTCCAAATTACGCTGGCGACGGCACCACACACAAGATTGCGGCAATTGTTGGTGGAGTCATGGGTGGTATCCTGTTACTTCTGATAACTGGTCTAATCTGGCTCCTGATCCGCAAGCACCGCATACGTCGACGCGTTTTGAGGGACCTGGCAACAAACGAAGTGCCAGTGGAGGCAGTATACCAAGTGCCAGTGGAGGAAGTTCCTTCGTCCTGAGGATGTGAGCAACCTAAGCAACATTCTGCGAGAAGATGAGTCTGAAGCTATCCTACAATCAAGTCGTTCTGTTATACCCATTGACCATTATTCTATCTTCTATATGTGACCTCCCTTCTCTTGTGCCGAAGCACGTAAGATATCGGTATAGCAATACACAATAGTCTGCGATAGTGTCCAGTGAGAGATGGGATTCTCTGGTTCCATGTTTAACCTAGAAGCTTTTGTGTCTTTTGATAGTTCAAATACTACTCTGTGTTGCAGTGGGAAGAAGAGGGAATGTCACAGATCTTTGCGAAGATCATGGAGCAACCCTGACAAGTACCCCACCACGGTCACGTCACAGACCTCTTGCTTACAAACACCCAAGTGACCTCAGTCTTTCAACCTCCAACACACGACTTTCTTTCTCATGTCCCAGCTACTATCAAGAAGAACTCTATCGCACTCCAGAAACCTCAATCTCAACCGTGTCAGAGCAATCGCCAGAATGAGCTCCTCTTCCTCCGACGCTTCAGCCCACTTTCCCCCAGCTTCACTCCGCAACATTCTCAATGAAGTAACCTCGCTTCTCCACGAGCGCAATCAAACCATCGCTGTTGCCGAGACCGCTGCTGGAGGTCTGCTGTCTTCGTCTATCCTGTCTACTCCCGGCGCCTCCAAAATTTACAAGGGCGGTTTGACATTGTACACCCTACCCTCAAGGATCGCCTATGCAGGATGGAGCGACGAAAACATTAAAGGCTACTCGGGACCAACACCAGAGATCGTTGCTGGATTGGCCAAACATGTCAGAGGAGAGCTGAAAGCTGATTATGTGGTTGCGGAGTCGGGTACTGCTGGACCTACTGGTGGAGAAACGAGAAACAGGACGCCCGGATATGTTGCGCTTGCTGTGGATTGTGAGAAGGGCACGTTTACTAGAGAGGTAGAGACGGGCTTGGGAGGAGATAGAGTGGGTAATATGGTGAAGTTTGCAGAGGAAGGGTTGATGTTGATCAAGGATGTTATCAATGGGGATGCTAAGTTGTGAGTACTTTTCAGAAGGCTGGCATGCTACTCGTCATCAGAGCCTTGCTTCTTGTTTCCCGAGAGCTCGAGGTACTGCTCAATCAAATCCTCGACCATGTCTTCCACTGGCTTGAGCTCGATATCAAACACCCTTTCCGTCTTTTCCTTGCTGCAAACCACACTCTTTGTAGGCACGTCTGAAGTACACGGCAACAACCCTTGAGCAACCTGCTCAGGGAAAAGCTCCTTGGTAATCCTGTTGACATCATTCCACTGCACCTCCTGCCCAAACAGATATTCTCCGGCGGGAATTCTGTCCTTGTTGAGAGCGGCAATGTGGATGGCAGCTACATCCTCCACATGCACCACTGAAGCCACCTCGGCAGGTGAACCTGCTGGCGCCAACCCCAATGCCATTCTCAAGAACAGCACGTTGGATGTAGTCATCAGATCCGTGGGCGAAGTGGCGAGTTCATTGCGTCCTTGCACATATGTCGGACACAAATTAACAACATCAAACGCCGGCTTGTTGGTTTGCATCCACTCATTCGCCCTCAAAAACGCACAAGTCTTGGAAGCAACATACGAAACCAAGACATTCGCATACGGAGGCGCTATCTCCGAGTTCAGAGTTTGCTCAGTGACAACTGTATGCCTTTCCACAGGCTCGCAAAGCAATTCCGGCGTAATGAAAATAGCGCAAGAAGAAGTGACCACCACTCTCTTTACACTGTTGGACTTTTTGGCGGACTCGAGTGCGGAAATGGTGTTTTTGATTGCCGGCTCCACCATTTGTTTATATTGCTCTTCGGCCGTGAGAGCGAGGTTTGTAAATGGCAATGGCGAGGCGGTGTGGATCATGTAATCAGCTCCTTGGGAAGCTTCGTCCAGTGCACCTGCGACACTGAGGTCGGGTACAATGTAGAAACTGCATCGGGGTGTTCCTCTGGTCAGAGACTTGAAGCAGGGGTTGTTGCGAAGAGTGTCGGCTTTGGCGGCGCTGCGCACGACGATGCGGATATTGTAGTCGTATTGCAGGGCTTCCTGAAGAATGGCAAAGCCACAGAAACCAGTGGCTCCTGTGAGAACGATTGTTTCGGTAGACATGGTTGAAGGTGGATGATATGTGAGAGACTAAACACAAGAGAAGAGGGAAAAAAAAAGATGGAGGAAAGAAACTTGACTTTTTATGGATATCTTGAAACTCGTGGATTCTTCACATGGGGTTAATCTATTAGACCTATCGCCGTCCTTGCTCCTTATTGCCAGTATATAAAGAGGTGAAACTGGTGGAACACTCGAGGCTAGCAATCAGATTGAAGTCAATCCTTCGTGTCGATTGAGCCGTTCGCGATAACCAGTGATCGTCAAGGGTTCAAGGTGGACAGCTCCAGAAAGTCGAGCGCCAAGCCTTGCCGGCCGTGTGCTTCTGACTCGAGAATGTGTTTCAAAAGTCAAATATAACACTCGGGTACCGATCTCGAGAGTGAGACAAGACGAGATTTGTCAAACAGAAGGAATTTTCGTTCAAGGGTGGATCTATACTCTCTAGTCAAACATCTTGGACATGGCCTGCTGAGCCAACTCGACTCCGAGGAAAGTGGCAGCGTTGGCGGGGACAGCACGAGCCATTGCGGGACCGATACCAGGGAAAAATGCCTTGTAACCTCCTCTTCTGTAGAGCTCCTTGACGGTGCCTCCGATGGTGGGGTTGCCTTCTGCCGACTGCAGACGACTCTTGACGGTGTCGACGGGGAAGACGGGAATCCACATGGCGATACCGGCGGCACCACCTGCAGCCATGACGGCAAGAAGACTGAGCTCGCCGGGTGTGCCGTCTGCGTTCTTGGGTGTGAGCGAGCGCTTGACGGTCTCGTAGGCTGCAAAGTATGCTGCTGATCCCGGAGCATCTCTGGCAAGTGTCATGGCGCTGCCTCTGAAGACGGACCTGATACCACCTTCCCTGTAAAGTTGACGCACAACATCCACACCTCCTGCGTACTTTGGCTTCTCGCCAGGAGCCAATGTCTTTTGACCCTGGATCTGCAGCAGCACCTTGACACGCTCGAAGGGGGCGGCGATGGCGGTTGTGGGAACGGCGGAGAAGGCACCTGCGGCGCATACTTGGCCAACCGTGAACTGATCGTTGTGTACTGTGCTGAATGATCTGACAAGCTTTTTGCCCAAATCGTATCCCTGGCTTCTGTCAGTCGCTGTCGGGTTTCGTTCTTTTACATGATGTGATCATACCCAGAAGCTGACGGCGACNNTGTGAGGTGGTCAGTGATGGTGTTTGTGAGGGTTTACAAGCAAAGACTTACACATTGGAGTCACTCCAACCAGAGGAGCCGAAACACCAGCGTACAGACCNNCTAGACAGTGTGAGTTGTTGAGGCAGCCGTGGTGCGGCTAAGGATAGCATACCCTGACAAGACCTTCCTTTGCAATTGTCCTCCTCACGACATCCATTGCGCCGCTGTAGACACCGGCTTGAGCAGTCTGCAAGCGCACCTTGACCAGATCGAAGGGGTGTCCCACAACAACCGCGCTCACACCACCAACACCGCCCGACACGAGCGATCGCAAACTTGCGAATGTCTGTTTCGTCGCGACGACAGCATCTTGCTTGAGCTCTTCCGCCGACGGCAGGTCGTTGACACTGGGTACGCTTGATTTGGACATGGTATGATGCCGAGACGAATGTGGAGAAGCTGCGGGGGTGACAGCTGAGGATGGAGCTCACCCTGGGGAGTTTGATCTTGGAGAAAAGAGGAGGAGCAAGGAGAAGAACGGGTCTGGCAAGAAAGAAGAAGGCCGGGATGCCAAATAGTTCGCGCCGATGATGCTGGGTGTGCCCTTCACATGTGATGCAACATTTCTCAAGCTTTACCGACACCGAGTCCGGGGAGCCGAGGCTGATCCCAACCTGCCGGCCGAATGGACGCCGAACTCAGTCAACCAAGCACGCGCAGCACCGGATCTACTGCTTCTTGTTGTATGAACTGCCTTCTGGAACTAGATTGAAAGCAAGCCACGGCTCTTGACAGGATACATGTCAAAGATACACAGAAATCTAATCTTGGCTCCTCGTGTCTATGTAGGCTATCCTAATATTGTCTATTGACCATCCGTCTACTTGATCTCGGCGTAGCGAAGATAAGGCTTGAGCTCGCGCACGTTGTTGAACTTCTTTCTTGCATCCTCAGTCGACACCGAAGGAGGGACAATGACATCCTCACCAACCTGCCAATTGATGGGTGTAGCAATGCCCTTCTTGTCGGCTGTCTGAAGAGAGTCGATGACTCTGAGTACTTCGGCGCTGTTTCTGCCAGTGCTGGCAGGGTACATCATGGTCAGACGGACCTTCTTTGAAGGGTCAATGACAAAGACCGAGCGGATTGTGAAGGCAATGGCTGCTTTGTGGAGATCCTCCTCGTTGATCATGTCGTACAGGAAGGCTACCTTGCGGTCGTGGTCGGCGATGATGGGGAACTGGAGGCTGGTGTTTGCGATCTCGTTGATGTCCTTGATCCAACCCTCGTGCGATCCGAGGTCGTTGGCGCTCTGTAACAGGCATTAGCTTTGCTTTGCTCGTTCTAAGCTCTTCTTACTACGTACCAAGCCAATCATCTTGACACCGCGAGCATCGAACTCGTTCTTCAACTTGGCAAAGGCGCCGAGCTCAGTAGTGCATACAGGTGTGTAGTCGGCTGGGTGCGAAAACAGAATTGCCCAGCTGTCACCAATCCACTCATGGAAGGACTTGATGTCCCCCTGAGGTTGTCAGTATCTTTCTGGACCACACATACAACATGAACTTACATCAGTCGTCTTTGCGCTGAAGTCAGGGGCGACAGAACCAAGACGAATGCGAGGCTGTTCCTGACTTGTGGCAAGACCACGGTACATGAAAGGTGCAGCTCTGGCACGAGCGGCCAAGGGCTGGCATGCTGATGCGCGAGACAGGGCTCTGGGTGCTGATCTGAAGAAAGAGGCCATCGTGTCTATGTCCTGTGAGTTGATTGTGCTACAGTTGCTTGGAGCTCGACACCAATACTACAAAACTTCGACCACGTTTTACGTCATGCTCGCCCACCCGATCTCGGCTTTCGCTCCGGAGCTCGAGACTTCACCATGAGCCTTTCGCCTTTCACCTTTGTTGCACAACGACCATCTTGCTTTTTGATTAGAAACCTGTTATGATATTCAATGGGCGGTCTCAATCTGTGTGCGACTGCCGGCTCATGCATCTCATCGGTACATGGCAGGCGGAAAGAGATACCGTCCGACTCTCTCTGCCGTGAATCTCGGAATACCAAACGAACCCACAGCGGAACGAAACCGCATATCAAGGTGGGAGGGTTGTAAACACAACCCCGCGGCACTTCCTTTTGGGGTCCTCGGTCAAGTACATTGTTTAGTGCTGTCTCTTTCTCAATTCTTCTTCAACTCCAAATCTCTGTCTTTAAGTAAAAGTAAAGGAACACAGTCACTATCTCCCTCATGGCTGCACAGAAAGTTGCTCTGATCACAGCTGGCACAGCAGGTCTGGGTGCTGCTATCGCTCGTGTCCTAGCACCAGACTTCCGAGTGGTATGCCATCCCAGAACTCATATTAACGTACCCTTTCTGATCTTATCATAGGTGATCAACTACGCAAACAACACTTCTCGCGCCGAAGACGTCCTGAAAGAGCTCAACACCATCCCCAGCACCGTCTCTTCGCAAGAATCCCCTCGCTTCCACGCCATAAAAGCAGACATTGGCAATCGCGATGCCATAAGCTCTCTCGTCCAGGAAACAATCACCACCATGGGCCGTCTCGACGTCGTAGTGTCCAACGCCGGCTACACACGCCTAACAAACTTTATGAACTTTGACGAACAGCACTTTGACGAAGACTGGGACAAATGCTTCCTCTACAATGTAAAAGCACACATGTGGTTGGCCTACGCATGTCGCGAACACCTCGATGCGACTGAAGGTGCTTTTATCACTACAGCGAGTATTGCTGGTGTCAAGCCCAGTGGTAGTTCGCTGCCGTACGCGGTCACCAAAGCTGCGAGTATACATTTGACAAAGTGTTTGGCGAATATTTGTGCGCCGAAGATTAGATTTAATTCTGTGGCTCCTGGGTTGATGCTTACGGAGTGGGGGTTGAAGTTTTCGGAGCAGAAGAGGGAGGCGCATAAGAATAACACAAAGTTGAAGAGATTGCCAGAGGTTGATGTAAGTGGATGTGGAGTATACATTGAGATGTGACTGGTTGCTGACTGTCATTTTCAGGATGTCGCTGATCAAGTGCGAGCAATTGCACTGTCGAGGAGTATGACTGGACAGAACGTTGTGATCGATTGCGGTTTGACGAGCTGAGTGTTATTGTGCCTGTGGATATATCTTGCGACAAGACATCAATGCGTACAAGACGTATTCAAGTGCACTGAACATCTATTGGTCGTCACAAATCTATCTGTATCTATATACGATAAATAAAATTTCCGCATCAAAAGACCTTGCCAACATCAACAGCATCGACATGTCCACCTCTCTTCTCAAATACACCTCTGCTTTCACCCTCAACATCCCGATCCGGACTCGCTTCTTTGCCCTCCACGACTTCCAGAGAATATATCGACTTTGATATCAGTGCCTCCTTTGTAGGGAAAATCTTGCTCAGCGCAGTGTAAACGACGACACTGCATACAAAGCCGTACAGCCAGTCAAACAAATAAAGATGTTTGGCTCCTGCAGAGATGGAGATTCCGTTGATCGAGTTGGCAAGACCTGGAAGATTGGGGCAAACGGCGGTAAGGAATGCAACTAGGCCTTGCCAGTTGACGCCGTAGATGTATCTGTAGCGTCCGTGTGGGTCGTAAAGAGCTGGTATGTCTATGTGACGGCGTTTGACGAGCCAGTAATCGGCTGCTATGATGCCTATAGCAGAAGAACAGGATGTATCAGTAAATGCTCCTCAACCTGTTATGAGATAATCGGATTGAGGCTTACCAGCCATAGGAGCAAGGAAGACCGAGTACCCAGACATGAAGCTGAGAAATGTTTCCGCATCAGACAGAATCTTCCATGGCACCATGACCCAACACGATACAACAGCTGCAATGACGCATCCACGCCTGATGTTAATGTACTTCGGCGCCATGACACACAAATCGTTAGCTGCAGAGATGGAGTTGCCAGTGATGTTTGTTCCCACCTGAGCAATGAACCAACTCAATGCAGCAAAGAACGCCGCCGCTCTTCCAGCATGTCCGTTCTTGAGCCATTGCTCCACGATATTGAGAGGATTCCAGTAGAATTCGCCATAGACCACTTTGGATGCTGAGGTTGTGATGACACCGAGGACACCGCATAAAGTGAATAGTATGGGTAAAGCTGGTAGTTGAACATATTGTGCATGGTTCGGTTTGCCATCTGCACGACCTTTGGCGTAGCGAGAAAAGTCTGCTACATTTACAGCGAGAGTTGCCCATACTCCTGTCACGGAAGACGTGCAGCTTAGCCAGAGGTAGGTTTTTGCATCACCTGTTACCGTGCCTGGTTGTGAGAATATGGCACCACCGCCACCGGCTTTATGAACCATGTATCCGAGAGTTGCGATGGCTGTCACCGGAGCTGCGATCAATTTGACGATAAACAGATAGCGTAGTTGGGTAGGTGGTATTAGAAGCAAAGGTAGTTGGATTATCCAGAAGAGGAAGTAGGCTATCATGCCAGAAGTACTGATACCGCCACTCTTGGGAAGCTGATTGAACGTGAGTAATCGACGGCTAGAGGGGCAGATTGTTCAGCCTACTGTGTTGTTTGGTCCACCCCAGTCATAGGAAGCAAACGAAGGCCAGATCGCCATGATCATGATCTGCACAGCGAGAGCGCCGTTTGCACTTTGTATACCCAGCCAAAACATGGCCAAGATACATCGTGATGCAATACAAAAGTAGGCAAAGTAGTAGCCAAATCCAGAGCGAACGATGACACTAAACGGAACATGAAGGTGGGCACCCATTGCACCGTTGAGGACAACAGGTATGGCTACGCAAAGAGTTCCGACGGCCATGATTGGTATAGCATCACGCCAGGTCAGACCGACTTGAATAATCGAGCTGGCAGTCTCCCAGGTGCCCAGGTTGATAACGTCAGTAGCCCAACTTCATCCAGCATCAGCGATGTGTAAGTGATGGATAGTAGCTTTGCTTACTANTGCTATCCAAGTCCACATGTCCCAGGTCTGGTCTGAGATGGGCACAGGGTCCATATCTTTGTTCGTCCAAACATATTCGGGTGCAACTGTCGATTCTTGCTTCGGCAGTGCCCAGGCTTCAAGAGTCGTGCATCTTTTCCTAATCGTGTCCCTCGAGGGAAGACCTGCTTTGGACGTTAAGCTCATGTTGACTGCTGAATATCGAAGGTAGAGGAGAATTGCAAAAGAGAAACAGAAACGATACTTATGCCATGATTGCACACAAAGGTGGTGGTATCTTCGTCAATACTCAGCCGAAGACCAGTGCCGCAACCCGAGACTAATTCCTTATCTTTGGGGTCGCAAAATCGTTCACGAGGTTCACAGGCTGAGCTTCAACCAGTGATGCTCCATGGTTTCGAGAAGGGGAAGGTGGGGATGCTTATCTCAAAGGCTTGATTGCCTACGCTCTTGCTTTTGCTCACCTTCACACGTTCTCTGGCCGCCGCAAAGGAGAGCAATATTACTGCAGTACAGCGCCGCATGTGGCCATGCTCTCAACGACAAGCGTAATGAATCATAGATACTCTAAATGTTGTCGGTTTTATGGAAAGAGTTGTCAAGAAACTCCTTATCCGCTTCATGTTCCTTTCGAATTTGTTGCCAACGCAAAGAGAACTGTCCGCTTGCGTTCAACAAATGTCACCTTGCTTTCGACACTCATTATTTCCACATGATCAACGTCGAGAGCCATTGCTGGAGGTATGAACAACAAAGCCGCCCAGAGACGCAGAGCTCGGAAAATCGGTCAAGGATCGTTTGTTGCAACTGTAAGGCCCGTGCGCCTATGCCGCATATTCTGCATTTCCTGCAACCTGCAAGCACGAAACCTGCAAGCCTACGATCAGAGTCGGCCAATGAAAGCAGTATATTGTAGCTACGTACCTCAGACATGCACCTACATGCATGACACCCGGTATTAGCCCAATCAAACGTGCCTTATGAAGCCCGCCTGTAGTCGAGCTCTCCTCATGTTCATGGAGTTGGACCTTTGCCTCGATATGGAAAATTCTTCACTGACAGGCTCTTCATCAAATCAGCGAAGGGAACACTCGTTTGCGTCCAGCGACAGTACAAAACTTATGTGCCAACAAAGTTGTGTGAGATGCACTACATATCGCCGTTGGCCATTCGATAGGCATTATTGGTGTACAACGTGGAATGGGGGCTCGAAGCAGGGGGCCTTCCGCATAATTGATTACACGTAGCCAGGCGGATGACGGGGCGCAGTCTGCGACTTGTCATCTTCTTACATTAAGCCGATACTCCCCAGTCTGATTCTCTCCATGAAAGATTCTCAGGCAAGGTCGCAAGCCTTCATTGAGGACTACGGCACACAGAAGGATTTATCGACAGCTTCTAAGTCATCAAGATTTCGATAAGAGCATTTGCCTGAATCGAGCCTGGTGATGGAGTTGAAGTCTGATCTTGATGGTAAACCAACACGGTCGAGTGTAAGCCGAGCGCACTTCCAGCGCCCACCATGGGATGAGAAGCTAGTATTGGCTTTAGGTATGTGTGATGTCGAGTTTTGCTTCAGACTTTTCTAATCCGACCACAGTNNCGTCGACGAGACATCTTGGCCTGCTTGCTTGTTCATCTTGAAGCATCTCATGAAACGAATCATCGATATCGAAAGGCAAGAAGATCCCTCGATCATGACAAGTAAAGCCTCGCCACACATGGAAACTTTCACGGGCGATGATTACGACTTTCGTTTCCATCACTACTTCGATCTGGTGTGCGGTACAAGTGTCGGANNGGGTATGTATCGAAAATCTCCATGCATAGCTCATGCTAACGTCTTGTCTAGACTCATTGCAACTATGCTAGGACATCTTAGACTATCACTGGAGGAAACTGACACAAGAGTGACGAATTTCATGAACTGTCCTCGGCCTGGAGCCCTCGGGCAGTCACATATAAACCAGCGGCGGGAAGAGTCTCGTCAAATTACTAGGAGCATGGATGACAAGTTGGAGCTTGAAACCTTGAAGTCTTCATCTCGTACGGTCTGCCAGCAGCATGCCTCGCAGTTCCTGTCAATCCCTGGAATGTGCCAAACGTAAGATACTCCCACGACTCACAAAGGCGATTTCTGAAACTTGTAGNNATTGGTGTTTGGAGTGCGCAAACGTTCTTCTTCGAAAATTCACGTGTTCAGGTCTTACCAGCTACATAAAACCAAAGGTGATCATTACGGCGCGATGGACGAGACCACAATCCCTGTTTCCCTTACTAACATTTGCCGCGTTACGATGGCCGACCCAGGCTATAACGAATATTTCAACGCTCATCTCAAGCCACAGAAGCCTGTGGAACGCTTGACGACGGCTGCTACCCGGAATATGGCTCTCACTCACTTGATCACGGACGAGGTTGGGCTTTTGTATCACAATACCAGTTCGTTGCGATGCCTTATTGAGATAGGCAGCCAACCNAAAAAGCATCCGCCTCCCTGGCGTTCTTGCTGGCCTTTTGGGAGAGCTCAATCGGATAGTCAGCGCCTCGAAGTCAAGGGTACTTTAGCACCAGAGTACCCTGAGAAAGTTCAAGTCAGTGGTCTGGAAGAGCTTGCTGGTTATGTTAATATGGGATCCATAATAGAAGCTGAGAAATGTTGTTCGGCTCGTGGACTGTATAATCAGCTGGAAAACTGCGCAAAACTCTTGGTCGAAATTCGTCGGTCTCGTTCGCGAACGAACGAATGGGAGACATTTGCTTTCCCCGACAGGTATTCATGCTCGATATGTAGAGGAGGGGACCGCGACACCGGCATACTTGACGAGCCTGCATTTCTCGACCACGTTGATCTCGTTCACGACTTCTACAATCTGCCACCTCCAGAGATGCTCAGAATCCAGGAAGAAAGCTGGATGGAGTTGTGATTGTATAGATTCTTCTGTCAGATTCGCTGCTGAGCCTCTAATTCTGCACTATTTGGATAACAAGCTGTCAACCACGTCTCTGACGAACACTTGAACAGTTCACGAGTACGATCTTCAGACACTAGCGATGGACAAGGACTGTAAACCAAAAGCATCATCATCGCCAGGACTGCACAATTAGTCGTCATCAAATGTTGAACAACTTCTGGTTACTCACCTAAATTGGGGGCTAGGGCAATGTCCGGATAAGCGTCCAAAAACTCCCCAGGCTTGTTTCAGAGAGTCGTGGTTATTTCGCTTAGCCGACATCATGTCTCTAATAGCCCCCAGAAAGTTTTCAACATAACATGGCTCGGCGTGGATCGAGCGTGTGAATTGCTCAGGAAGCTTCCACGGGGTGTCTTTTGCTGTCTTCTCGAGCACACCAAGCCATTTCTCGATTTCGAGATCTTCTTCCGAATATCGTACCGTAGGCTTCTCACACCCTTCGTATAGCCTCTTCATAGGTTTCCTCATATTGTGAAGGGTCTCGCCGAATAGCACGGTCGCCATCTCGAGAAAGACGAACGCCAGACTGACAACGTCCCACTCCAATCCTCGTTTGCTGCCTTCCGGATCGCTCTGCTTCGAAGTTTTCCAGACGTCTTTCGAGGAGTACATGATAGTTCCGTCTAAGCTGCCGTACGTGATTGCGTTTTTGACATCGTCATAAGCTTTGGAGATGTCGAAATCGGCCAGGATGACGTTGTCGAATCTGTCGATGAGGATGTTTGCGGGCTTGATGTCTCGGTGTTTGATAGGTCGATCCTGGTTATGGAGAAACAGCACAGTCTCACAAAGACAGGCAAAGTACGGTAGAAGTTTGTGCGTATGCTGGTGCAAAGGCCAAGGTGCGCCTTCTTTCTCATGAGATTCGTTGTGCTTCGAGATCGCCTCCAACAAATCCTGGAGATCTTTGGCAACCAGGGGAAACACCAAGAGTCCGTAATGTGTTTCGTCCTTTCCTCCATCCGTAGAGAAATTTCCGAGGACAGCTGCGATATGTTTGTGTCGTAGGTTTTGAAGTATCTTGAGCTCATTCGTCAACTTTTCTTTGTTCGAAGAGCTTTGCATGATCTTTGCAGCTACAAGGTCTTCTTTGCCGTCTTCCGTGACGAGCTGAACCAGTGCGACATATGATCTATCAGACCAGTTCAAAACCCTGCCTAGATAGTTTCCCAGATGCTCAGGGATCGGTTCATAGTTCTCAGTAACAATGGGTCCCACAGACCCTTCTTTGCCCAACCAGTGAAACTTTGGAAGGCTCTCGTGGTACTGTGCTAGCGTCAGGTCCGAAGCTCTCTTATATCGGCTCATTGCAGGGGAACGGATGCTCGAGGAGCGGCAAGGTCTCGTTTTGGTGTAGGGTTATGTGAAAAGGACCAGCCACAGAAATGTTGGAAGACTGATTTGTCTAGTGGAACTGCAAAGTTGGATACACTGAGGCTTTAAACCTGGACGCCAAATATCTGGTGCGTGATCATGTTGCCCATCGAGCTGCATGCTGAGCTGTATCGACCGCCCGTCAGATTGGGTCTGCAGCGGATGTGCCCTCCAATGACAGTGTACCGATCCTTCAGCTACGCATATAACCTATGATTGCCTTATTCGCTGGCCGCGCCATCGACTCAGCCGTCTTGCATGGTTCCTCGACAGCGAATTTGGTATCCAACCTATCATGGCACAACACGTTCGTGCATGAGTGACTGCGGCACGAACAGGCTGCAAGCTTGCGCCGTCATGATATGCTCCTGAAATGTCGGTCAGGTTCGGCGAAACGCTTTGCTCCGTAGTATCACAAAACCGGCAGTCCATCACTTGGGCAATTCTTCACAGTTTAGGCCTTTTCACAGATAGCGCAACATCGTGCTTAGTATGGAACTGGGTATCGGCGCAACTTCTTTGGTGCTGGAGCTCCTTGGAGCGACACTTCAAGGTCAACGACAAGTCACAGAACAGAAGTTATCTTTACTGACATCTTACAGCNNATACAAGCTGTTTAGATGTGCAGCGAGTGCTGACACCGAAATCAAAACTCTTGTTCTACGTGTCAAGTTCGAGCAGTACAGACTATCCAGATGGGGCGAATGGCTTTCCACAAACGAGTCATCCACTTATGCTTCCCATATCAAAGCCAACGAGACTTTGATTGTAGATGTCCTTAAGCAGATCAAAGTGGAACTGGACAATCTTGACGGGCTAACAACATACTACGTCGCACCACCTCGCGATTCCGATTCGAGTCCAGACTCAAGCACTGCACGTACTCTTGACATATCTGGACCAATGGAACAATCTTCCGCCGTGTACAATGTCTACCGCGAGCTTGCAGGAGTGTCCAGTGACAAGACAAGCATCCATTCTCTCAAACATCCACGAGGATTGAACCATCTATTCCGACTTGCAGAAGACGTCTTCGTCATATCAAAAGATCCGAAGCGACTGGTCTGGGCCATCAAGGACCAGAAGCGCTTTCGTGCAGGACTCGACCAACTCAGGATTCTTACAGACCACTTACATGCGACAGTGTCCGACGATAGAATGGATCAGGTCCTTTGGTCAACCCACGAAACATCGCTCTCTATGCTCCAACTCAGCAGGAGCCTCGAGGACATGAAGGCTTTGCTTGCTGCTCAGCTTGAAACTAGCCGCCACGATGCTATGTGTGTGAAAGCTGGTAACAGAAATAACGCACTTGAATCACAACTGAACACAACCGTACAGAAAGTGACTTCATTTGCTATCCGCATGAGTACTCTTGTGACCAAAGAGTCATTGCTTCTGGGAGCACAAGACACTTCCACCTTGCAACTTCTGATGGATGTAGACGATGGGTATCGAACCTTGGCAACCATTGATCAGAAACCAGTATGGATTGAGTGGAGGGACTATAANGAGAGTCGCAGTGATAGGCAAAGGGGCAACCCCGAGTCTCATCCTGACCCTCAGAGTGTCCAGAATGTGGAGAGATTGACCTGGTTGCTAAGTCAGCCAGATCGACCAGATGAGTTCCGTCTTCCTGGATGCCGGGGGTACATCAAAGACCGCGATGAAGCTCGGTTCGGAGTTGTCCTAGACTCCTCATTCGATGGATCACAATCGCTGTTATCTTATCTTCGGGAACCCAACCTTGGTATCGACAAAGACGCCATCGCTCGACAGATTGCCGAAAGCGTGTTATATCTGCATGCTGTGAACTGGCTACACAAAGGCCTCCGAAGCGCTGGTATCGTGTTTGACAGGACTGCATCTGCATGTAGGGAGAGTCCGGGACAGTTATACATGTCAGGCTTTGGATTCTCCAGGCCCTCTGATAACTCATTCACATCAAATGGACCTCCACATGACAGCAAGTGGTCGTTATACTGTCATCCAGGGTATCTCGACTCGGGCAGAAAAAGCGGATATCGTAAGATCTATGATATCTACAGCCTTGGCATCATCCTGATCGAGATCGCGCATTGGAAGTCCATCGATCAAATTCTACAGCCGCTGCGCTCTGGTCGAGATTCTGCATTAGGTGACGAAAGACAAGACACCCGAGCTCGTATCCTGGATAGCGACACCATTCTTGGACAAGTGCGGTTCAACATGGGAGAGAGGTACGCTCATGCTACTAGAGCTTGCATAGAAGGGTTGACGGCGTTTGGCTTGAGCAGCGATGTTGACGAGTCCAATCCATACGTGGCTGCACTACTTCAGCGGTCTTTCATCGAGGTCGTTGTGGAGCCTTTGAAGAAGATTGCAATGTAGGAGGAAACGTCAGGTCGAGGTATCTCTTCTTCACATTTCTGCTTTAAAGATAACTGTACGTTTTGGTAGCATACAGTACTATCTTATCCTACCGCGAGGGAAGGGGTGGTCACGAGATTGTGACAGGTTTTAGCACATGGGCAAGATATATTCCAATTCCGTTGCTAGAGCATAGCCATGATGATGACCGAGAGTCGACTGACCCATTTGTTCCGCTTCAGACAGAACGGTGTGTTGGCGTTGCATAATGGAGACTGTGGCTGTATGTTGAACCCTTTGATCGTGTTGTTCTGCGGCTTATCCAACGCCAGACTTCTTCCTCTTGGCCCTCACGTACTAACAGCTCGACCATTGCATATATGAGTTCGTTATCATTTGGGTAGACGAATTGGTCGTGTTGATCCCAGAGCCACGTTAATACGGCTTGCCCTAGCTTTGCCTCAATCTGATTCCTAAAGGCGACTTCCGTTAGGCATATAGCCGCAATAGGCTTCGAAAGAGTTCCGGCGTCTAGCTTAGACCGAAGGAGCATCTCTGGAGGTTCCCCCTCCTCGATAGATTTTCTGCAGGCAACAGTATCCGCCTTCTCTTTAGCACTCGGTAGTGGAGCCCCAGGTGTGCGACGTCGTTTCACTTTGGCGTGAGGGTCAATATTCCAGTCGGACGCTTCAGCATGTCGCACAGAATTGGAGAAGAGCGAGATATGAATTGCGGGCCAGGAGTCCGGGAGTATGTTGGAGGAGTTCTCAGCGGGAAGTCGAGCACAGTAATCCAAGAACGAGCCTTGACGCCCGAACATGTCTGCTGCGCTGCCTTAAGATGTAGAAAGGTCGAAGATGATAAAAGAGAATCGATGCTTGATGTTGTGGTGGCACAGTCGCCAAGACCTGTGTAACATCATGTAATCTATGTTATGGATCCATATCGCCGCTTGATTGTTCAGATTCATATTCGTAGAATCGTAGATACTGGGCTGTTGTTCATGTTTGGTGTTTTTCATGATGCCGACATCGCAGTTCAGTCTTGAGAGTGCCCTCAAGATGTCTCAGGGTGTGAAGGCCGCATTGTGGGGTCAGTCGTGCCTCGGCTTATATGCTTCGGTGAGCAATTGCTCAAATGAATGATCCCGAGCAAGATACGAAGTCATGGGACGAATTGATTGATCATAGCACTTATGAATCACCTTCTTCTTCTGACATGAGCTTTGACTTTGCAAAGACAGAGGTTCATTGATGCTAGAGGCACAACCGGCTCATCGGTATACCGAATTAGTCGAACTCCACAATGAGGGGCCAGCGGATATTGCGGGGAACATGACCCGATGATGCAGTCAAAACATGTCGTGAGGCCCTTGGTTCTTCTTTCTGTATCTTCCTTTTCGGCCTACATCTAGAAACATGGCAGCCATACGCATAGCACCGACCAGAGCAGTGAGAGCACTCAATCTCTTGCGTGCGGTGGGCACACACGGGCCAGGATGTCCATGCCACAGCAACCCAGGACACCATCACAATCCTTTGAGCATTACCCAGGGACGACGTGCTCTTGCAACGCCTGTCGACTACTCGCAACAGAAAGAGTATGCTTTTGAGATGGCAGCATCGAGTATCCGGTTTGGACCTGGCTGCACCAAGGAGGTTGGCATGGATTTCAAGAACATGGGAGCCAAGAAAGTCATGATCGTGACCGATGGTACTGTCTTACATTTGACAGCCATGAAGCAAGTTCAGGAAGGTCTTGACAGGGAAGGAATCAAATACGAGATATACAGCAAGTGTCGAGTCGAACCCAAGGACCACTCGTAAGTCTTGTACCACGTTGCAAAGGGGAGGGTGCAATACTTACTAGTACCCAGTATCAAGGAAGCAATCGCATACGCCAAACCTTACGCTCCAGACGCCTTCCTCGCTGTTGGTGGTGGCTCAGTCATTGACACCGCGAAGCTCATGAATCTGTATACATCGTTCCCTGAGGCCGACTTTCTGGATTTCGTCAATGCCCCTCTTGGAAAAGGACTGCCCATCCAGGGCAAGCTGAAGCCGCTTGTTGCTGTACCCACAACAGCAGGAACTGGTTCAGAAACAACAGGTACAGCCATCTTCGATCTAGTGTCAAAGAAGGCAAAGACGGGTATCGCACATCGCAACTTGAAGCCAACGCTGGGCATATGCGATCCCCTCAACACTCGTACCATGCCTTCCGCTGTGCACGCCTCGAGCGGCTTAGACGTTCTTTGTCACTCTCTTGAATCATGGACAGCTATTCCATACCACGAACGTGTACCAAGACCTCGCAACCCAATCGAGCGACCGGCATACCAGGGTGCTAACCCCATCTCGGATATTTTCAGTCTACAGGCATTGAAAGACACTGTCAAGTATTTGCCTAGAGCAGTCAAGGATCCAGATGACCATGAAGCACAAAGCAAGATGCTGTTGGCAGCAACTTTGGCAGGCGTCGGTTTCGGCAACGCGGGTGTCCATCTGTGCCACGGCATGAGTTACCCTGTCAGTGGCCAAAATCCAGGCTACAAGCATCATGGCTATGAGGTTGACCACCCGATCATCCCTCATGGTGTCAGTGTCGCTGTTACCGCACCTGCTGTTTTCAAGTTTACTGGCGCAAGCAACCCAGAAAGACATCTTGCGGCAGCAGAGTGCTTCGGTGTGGACATCAGTCAGGTTAAGAGAGAAAGTGCTGGAGAAGTCTTGAGCGAGGCGCTGGCCAAATTCTTGGTGGACTTGGGCGATCAGCCTAGAGGTCTGAAGGATTTGGGCTTTGGTAACAGCGATGTGGATCAATTGGTGGAAGGAACCATGCCACAGGCAAGAGTACTGATGCTGGCACCCAATCTGGACATGCAGAATGTGGATGAGGAGAGGGCACAGCTGAGACAGCTCTTTGAGGACGCCATGGAATACTGAGGTGGAAGTGAAGGAGGATTGAGAAGCTCATGGAAGAGGAGGCTGGGCCAGTTTGGAGCTCGGACGAGGGAAGGCGGCAGTTGCTTGAATATGCTTGCACACTGAGGCTGGCAGACTGATTACACAAAGTAGGTATGTAAGACAATTGACGACTCGAACTAGCATCTATCTCATCGTCTGCTCATATCTGTGACAAAATGCTTTACACGCAACAAGAAGCGATGGAGAGCAAGATGGATTGAGCACGGTCTTCATTCGGGGGTCACGCCAAGACCTCTCGCGGCGCCTCACAGACGCAGACAGACGGGCTTTGGCAGCTGCGGTGGCAGGAGTAAACGACGTGGAAGCTCCGTTCTCCTTCACATTCACCTCTCCGCCTTCTTTCTCATTGTTCACCTGACTCTGCACTTGTGTGCTCCTTGTCTTAATTCTGCTTTGCACTCTGTTTCTTTAATTTGATACCCCCGGCAAAGCGCATCACACCACACCCAGACATCCCTCATGGCTGTGAGTCCGCATCTTGCGCTTATTGTATTTGCTACTTCATCCATGCTGATGCTTGTCTAGCAACCACCTACTCAACCGCGCTCATACAGCCAGGCCTACATCCCCAACGGCAATCCTGCCCAAGCATCCGGCCCCGTCCCCGGAGCGACGCCACTTCTCCCTAACCAAGGTCGCGTGGTGCAGGCCGGTGGCGCCAGAGTCCTCTGTATCGCCGACGTACGAGGTGAGCAGACTGCGCAGTTCAAGGAGAAGGAACGGATACTGATGTCATGGGACNNAGGCAACCTTAGATCTTTGAACGAACTCGCACGCCACGCAAGAGCCGACTACATCATTCACACTGGTGACTTTGGCTTCTACGACAACACTTCGCTCGACCGCATTGCTGAGAAGTGAGCTGCCTTGCTGAATCACTTTCTTCAATCGACTAACCCTAGTCAGNNGACTCTCAAGCATGTTGCGCAATACTCCCCTCTCCTGAACGATGGTGTCAAGAACGACATTGCCCGCGCCCCGGCCCAATCCTCCATCAAGGAGCGCTTCCAGCGCGAGAACCTGCCTCTATCAGAACTCCCGCAATTCCTGAATGGTACCTACACACTCGAGAAGCCCGTCTACACAGTTTGGGGTGCATGCGAAGACGTCTCGGTTTTGGAGAAGCTGCGCTCGGGAGAATACAAGATCAACAACCTGTTCGTCATTGATGAGTCGCATGCCCGCCTGCTCGACATTGGCGGTGTCAAGTTGCGCCTGTTGGGTCTCGGAGGTGCTGTTGTCATGCACAAGCTGTTCGACAATGGTGAGGGTCGCACCACTATCGCTGGAGGCCAAGGAACAATGTGGACCACACTTCTGCAGATTGGCGAGCTCATCGACACAGCCAACCGTGTCTATGATCCCACCGAGACCCGTGTCTTCGTCACCCATGCATCGCCCGCTCGTGAAGGTCTGCTGAACCAGCTGGCCGTGGCCCTCAAGGCTGACTTCTCCATCTCGGCCGGCTTGCATTTCCGTTACGGCAGCTCTTACAACGAGTTCAGCGTCAACCCTACTCTGGATCACTACCGCGGCAAGCTGGCCGCCTCCAAGGCCTCTTTCAATGATGTCTGGGAGACTGTCAAGAGTGAGGTCGAGCCTGCTGTTTCCGAGAACGAGTCGCAACAGCGCCTGCTCAACAACGCCCTTGATTTGGTTTCGAAGATGCCCTCTGTCGCAAACGGTGGCAATCCCTTCGGTGGTGGCTACACTGGTCCTCAGGGCGGTGTCGTTGACGAGAGCGCCTTCAAGAATATGTGGAACTTCAACTTGGCCGATGCCGCCTTCGGATGGCTGCTTCTCGATATTGATCAAGGCAGAATCGGTACTGAGATGAAGGCTCAGGGTTTCAACTTCTCGCACCGCGCCGGGAAGCCCGCTCAGCGCCCTGCACAGCCCGCACAAGCAGCTCAAGCCCCGCAACAACCCACTGCCCCGGTCACTGCATCGGCACCTACACCTAGCAATGCTGCTACACCTTCAGGCCCTGCCGCTGCCGTGGCATCAACTCCTGCTCCTGCAAACGCACCTTCGCGTGGTCCTGGACCTCACCAAACCTCTAAACCCCCAGTCGCCACTCCTCAACAAGTGCCCTCTCCCGCACCCACCAAGCCTGCTGCAACCCCTCAGCCTGCAGCCCCGACCAACGGCACTCCCGCCCCTGCAAAGTCTGAAGACAAGACCCCCGCTGCCCCTGCCACCGATGCTACTCCCAAGCCTCAGGAACCTCCTAAGAGTCAGTCCATCTTCATCCCTCCCATCAACGGCACCGATGATGAGGCCGAGGTGCGCCAGATCTTCAGCGAGGATGATCAGAAGAAGGTCACCAAGCTGGAGAGAACTAGCAAGGGCTTCTGGATTGCACACTTCAACTCGCCCGAAGAGATGCAAGAAGTCCTCAAGCGTAGTCCTGCATCAGACAGCAAGTACTCGACACTGAGAATCAGCGAGTTCAAGCAACGCCCAGCCCGTGGTGGATTCCAGGCTGGCACTTGGGGTAGCTCACGCACAGCGTCGGGCCAGCAGAGCGGATACCGTAGTGGACAATCCGACAGCGAAGGCGCACGCAGTGGACGTGGCGGCCGTGGAGGACGCGGTCGTGGTGGTCTGGAACGTGGCGGCGGCCGTGGTGGCAGAGGTGGTGCCGGTCGTGGACCTTCATCAGGCGCAGCTCCTGGTGGCGGCGAGGCTCAGGCATGAATGAAGACAACGACGAAATGAAGCATGTGTGGCAAGCAAAGCGGCTTCACACAGTTGGATGCTACTCAAGGAAGCGCATTAGGAACCGGAGCCGCGCCGCGATGAAGAGGTGCATAGAGGAGAAAATGAGCACCGACTGCTTGATGAATGAACACAGAGGAAAAGCATGCGGGCGATTTTTGGAATGAGAGGCTAGAGACTCTGCTAGCTACATGAGACGTTATACAAACGAAGTAACATGTAATACTACCATCAGAACTACTCCCTGCTTGAAGTTGAGATCTGTAAAAATGTGAGGCATGTTGAGATGGGGCTGGTACTCTTCAAATGTGGCTGAGCTTGGCAGCGTCATCAGACGTCTCACGCGGGAAGCAAATGCGGAGGCGGCCATCGGCGCGAGTCGTTCGATGGCTCCCACGCACCACCTTGATCTGCTCTGTTTCGACGCAGACAACGCGTTCGAAGTGGTTGTTCATCTCTGTGTTGACTTGCCGCTCTACCTCCGCGTGCACCATATCGCGACATCTGCCCATTGTCAATCGCGCTTTCACAGATATCTCACGACCCGGCCACCTCGGTGTTTAATCGTTCCAACATCGACACACGACCCTACCACAAGCTCCCACAACAGGCACGAGCCATCACACACCCAAGAAACTAGGAAGAGACCGGAGAATGAGGTTCACGCGGCCATGGCTCGCAGTGGCGGGTCTGAGCTTGCTATCTGCTTCCGCTTCTGCCTCTGCCAAAGTACAGCAAACAACATTCGAAGTTGAGAGAACGGTGTCGGATGGCTTCACTCACAAGCACGAAGCAGGAAGGTGTGCCATCCGTGGACACTGTGGCAAGCAAGGTTTCTTCGGCTCAGATCTGCCATGCCCCGACAATGGCTTGGCCGAGGAGCCTACCGACAGCACACGCAAGACGCTTATGTCTATATGTGGTGACAAGTGGGCTGAAGGCCCTGTGTGTTGCACTGATGAGCAATTGGGTGCACTTAGCTCGAACTTGAAGCGTGCCGAATCCATCATCGGCGCATGCCCTGCTTGCAAGGACAACTTCTTCAACCTCTTCTGTACCTTTACCTGCTCTCCGGACCAATCCCTCTTTGTCAACGTCACAAACACTGTTCCCAAGGGTGACAAGCTGCTGGTTACCGAACTCGACCAACTCATCTCGAAGGAGTATGGGACTGCTTTCTACAACAGCTGCAAGGACGTTAAGTTTGGAGCCACAGGAGGCAAGGCCATGGATCTGATTGGTGGTGGTGCAAAGAACTACACTCAGTTCCTCAAGTTCCTAGGCGACAAGAAGCCATTCGGCAGTCCCTTCCAAATCAACTTCCCCACTCCCAGCGAGGCAGATTTCCCTGGCATGGAGCCAGGCTCCGACAAGGCACATCCTTGCAACAGCACCGACGAGAGATACAAGTGCGCTTGCGTAGACTGCGCCGCTTCTTGTCCCGAATTGCCTTCAGTCAAGGAAGCTCACGAGTGTAAGGTCGGTGTTTTGCCGTGTTTGTCCTTCGCTGTCATCATTGTCTACTCTGTTTTCTTGTTCCTCCTCATCCTGGCAGTCTCCGGCCATGTCGCGTATGCTAAGCACACCAAGAGCCGTAACGAACGCTTGAGATTGCTGCAGGACGCTTCACCCAGCGACGATGAAGATGAGGGCGATATTGTACACCAGGCTGGCCTTCTTGAGAAACCTACCAGAAACTACCCGCTGAACACAGTCTGTGACAGAATTTTCTCTCGTCTCGGTCGAAATGCTGCCACATTCCCTGCCATCACCATCAGCTCCTCAGTCATCATCGTCGCATTGCTGAGTCTGGGTTGGATGCGCTTTACTGTCGAGACCGATCCCGTCAAGCTCTGGGTCTCTCCTGACTCTGAAGCTGCAAAGGAGAAGGCCTTCTTTGACAAGTCATTTGGTCCATTCTTCAGAGCCGAACAAGCATTCCTAGTCAACGACACTCTGCCTACTGGCCCTGGCCCTGTTCTGTCCTACGACACACTCGACTGGTGGTTCGATGTTGAAAACCGAATCCGCAGAATGAAGTCTATCAATGGTGGTTACACCCTCGATGACGTCTGCTACAAACCCACTGGTGATGCTTGTGTTGTCCAGTCTTTGACCGGTTATTTCGGTGGTGACTTTGATGGCCTCGATCCTGATTTGTGGGCCGAGGATCTTGAGGCTTGCGCCGACACCCCTGTCAATTGTTTGCCCGACTTCCAGCAACCGCTCAACCCTCGTTACCTCTTCGGTGGCTACAACGGCAGCGTCATCAACTCTACTGCTATCGTCGCCACATGGGCCGTCACCAATCATGCCGAGGACACTTTCGAACTCGAGAGAGCCATGGACTGGGAGGAGAGTCTCAAAGGACTCTTGCTCACAGTCCAGGAGGAAGCCTCGGAACATGGTCTCCGTCTGTCTTTCAACACTGAGATCAGTCTGGAGCAGGAGCTCAACAAGTCTACTAACACTGATGCCAAGATCGTTGCTGTCAGCTACTTGATCATGTTCTTGTACGCATCCATTGCTCTAGGCGCCACTACTCTGACAGTCAGAGATGTACTAAACAACCCTGCGAACGCCCTCGTTCAGTCCAAGTTCATGCTTGGCGTTGTTGGTATTCTGATTGTACTCATGTCTGTCTCGGCATCAGTGGGTCTTTTCGCTGCCGCTGGTGTCAAGGCGACTTTGATTATCGCCGAGGTCATCCCATTCCTGGTGCTTGCAGTTGGCGTTGACAATATCTTCCTTATCGTCCACGAGTTTGAGCGTGTCAACATCAGCCATGCCGATGAGCCAGTCAGTGAGAGAATTGCAAAGGCTCTTGGTCGTATGGGTCCCAGTATCCTCCTGTCTGCCACTACCGAAACTGTCGCCTTCGCTCTTGGAGCTGCTGTCGGTATGCCTGCTGTACGCAACTTCGCCGCTTATGCGGCTGGAGCTGTCTTCATCAACGCCATCTTGCAAGTCACCATGTTCATATCAGTTCTTGCGCTCAACCAGAAGCGTGTTGAGGCTGGCCGTGCAGACTGCTTCCCCTTTATCAAAGTAAAGGGTGCTGACTCGAACTCGATGGCCATCGCCGGTATGCCTGGCTTGGCGGGCATTGAGGAAGAAGGTTCGCTCCAACGCTTCATTCGCAAGACGTATGCTCCTGCTCTACTAGGAAAGAAAACCAAGACCGCCGTCATTACTATCTTCCTCGGTTTCTTCACTATTGGTCTTGCTCTGCTACCTAATGTTGAGCTTGGACTTGACCAACGCATTGCTATACCTTCCGACTCGTATCTTATCAAGTACTTCGATGATCTTTATGACTACTTTGAGGCTGGACCACCAGTCTACTTCGTCACCAAGGATCTGAACGCGACAGCTCGCCAGCATCAGCAACAGATTTGTGGTCGCTTCTCCACCTGCGAGGAGTTCTCTCTTGCAAACATTCTCGAGCAAGAGCGTAAGCGTCCAGAGATCAGTTACATCTCTGACTCCACCGCCAGCTGGATTGACGACTTCTTTTTCTGGTTAAACCCTTCGCTCGAAGAGTGTTGCGTTGATGGATCTCATACTTGCTTCGAGAACCGCAACCCTCCATGGAATGTTACCCTTCACGGTATGCCCGAGGGTCAAGAATTTGTCTCGTATCTTGAGCGTTGGCTTCAAGCACCTACCACCAGTGAATGTCCATTGGCTGGCAAAGCCGCATATGGTAATGCTCTCGTAGTTGACAACAGCAGTCTGAGCATCCCAGCCTCGCACTTCCGTACATCACACACGCCGATGCATAGTCAGAGCGACTTTATCGCAGCCTACAAGTCCGCTCGCCGCATCGCAAACGACATTACATCTCGTACCGGTGTAGAAGTCTTCCCTTACAGCAAGTTCTACATCTTCTTTGACCAGTATGTCTCGATCGTACGCCTCTCCGGTGCGCTTATCGGAGGCGCTCTGGGTTTCATTCTCGTGTTGAGCAGTGTTCTACTCGGATCTCTTGCTACCGGTCTTGTTGTAACCGTGACCGTCGGTATGACCGTTGTGGACATTATCGGCACCATTTCCCTGGCCGGTGTCTCGCTCAATGCTGTCTCTCTGGTCAACCTCATCATCTGCGTTGGTATCTCGGTTGAGTTCTGTGCTCATATCGCACGCGCATTCTCGGTACCCTCCCCATCTCTTCTCGAGCGCTGCCACAGCTTCCGTGGCAAGGACGCACGCGCTTGGGCTGCTCTTGTCAACGTTGGCGCCTCAGTCTTCTCTGGCATTACAGTTACCAAACTTCTTGGTGTCTTTGTACTCGCCTTCACTCGTAGCAAGATCTTCGAGATCTATTACTTCAGAGTCTGGTTGGCACTCGTCATCTGGGCTGCTCTGCATGCACTAGTTTTCCTGCCAGTCGCTTTGAGCTTCTTTGGTGGAGTTGGTAAGTTTCTCGAATCTGAATCAGGCTCTTAGAACCATGACTAACATTGTTTCTACNNAGGCTACGCAGACCCTGACGCAGATGGTGGTCTTGAGCAGGACCTTGCTAGCAGACGTTACCGCGCTATGATGCCGGATGAGGAATACTACTCGGACGAGTACTAGGTCTAGGATGCAGCGATGGAGATTATGAGATGTACCATGGCATAGCGGCGTTTTCTTTTTATGTAATCATGAATATGCTTCTCCCCATATGTGCGTGTGTATATCCTACTTCACTTGGTTTTGAGTGTTTCTAGGTCATCCTCGATCTCAATGTGTTCTGTGTCGCAACACTCAATGTTGTGTGACGGTTTCGTGATGGTTGTTTCCTCGATATCTTAGATTCGAACATACAATGTAGCAGAGCTGCCACGCAACCACGATACAGTATTTGATCATGTGAACGTTTCGACATGACCATCACCTGTAAATATTCAATGATAAGAGTATATACGATGTCTTTTGCTGATCTGTATCTCAAGATCATAACCAAGACAGGGTCGCCCCAAGGACATGAAGAAATTTCTTGGCATTCTCATATCTGCTTCCTTCCACACTGAGAACAAGAAGGTGGCACTCTTGCATTAGTTAACAGCCCTTCGCCAAAGATGTGAGCGCTGCAAGAAGGTGTTCTGGTCGCGATGGTCGTGCTTCCCTTCTTTAACAGCTTCAGCCACGACGCTGCGCCATGTTCTCCTCGGACGCCACAAGTTTCTCCATGCTTGTTTTTAGCGCCTATGACGCGTCTCTCCCCTTCCACGCCGAGGCTTCCCAAGCCCTGGTATACATAGATCAGGCCTTCCGCCTTCCCGCCCAAAGCGTCTATTTCTTGTCTCATCCCCCCTTCTTGACATTCGATCCTACGCAAACACTTATTGTGAATACTACGATACCACGACTGCGATCTTCCACCTGAACCTGTGCATACCGAGAAAGAGTAATAGCGGAAAGCGGAGTCTAGAGACCTGAGAAAACGAGTCTACAACGAGTAAGTTGCGCCCAGACCTCTTTTACTCTCTGTCAACTATCTTCCACCCCAAGCGCAGTGTAGAGTAATATCAACACTAACATCCTTTAGTCCTTACCTAAACCAATCCACGCATCCACAAATCCCCCAACCGAAAACCGCTCAAGATGCCCAAACAAGTCCTCACCACCAACCCCACCACCACCGCCCTCTCATCTCCCTCCTCCTCATCCTCATCGGCAACCTCCTCCGCCTCGGCCCCCATCAAACGCATCACCCCCGGCGTCAAGCTACCCTGCTGGTGCGGCGACGACTGCTCCTGCTGCATCATCCCCTGCACGGTAATGTAGAAGACCTACCCTGCAACTTCCAATCACCCGCGCACCGCGAGAAGCTCAACCATTTCCATGCTCATGGCAAACATGGGTGTACCAAAAGGGATATCGGGAAAGGGTTGAGGAAGAGGAATGGGTGCAAGGGGTTAGGGAAAAGAGTCAAGAGGGGTTGGAGGAGGAGTGGGATTAAGAGGCTTTGGAGAAGGTGGTTCGGGAGGAGGGATAGTTGGATTGGGACGTTTTATTCGAGGTGATGGAGATAGAGAGAGAGAGCGTAGGCTTTCTCTTGCTCTTGTGGTAGTTACCTGGGGGTTTGGAGTTCTGTTGGATGGAATTTCGGGCACGGTGTTTTTCTTTCGTTCTTTGCGAGGCTTGCTCGAAGAAGACTTTTGAGGTTTGTGGAAAGCAGGGCTTCTCTACACACCATGCAAATGCAGTCATTCTGAGCATAAATTCCTCTTTTTCTTCTCGCCTTACAGCTCTTACTGCACTTACGCTCCCAGCCCGCTCTTCTTGTGCTTAGTCTTCCAAACTTTGAAAGATCTTGACAGGCTGGATCTCATCTGCAGCAGTCACATACATGGGCACGTCGAGCACGCAGAACTTCAAATGACAGTGGATTCTGCTTCGAGAAGACAAAAGGTATATCGACAGCGAAAAAGCAAGAAACAAAGGCTAGGTACAACAGAACAATAGTGACACGACAACAATGCCAGCAGCGAAACAGCAACCAGAGCGTCCAACCCGTGAATCAAGCCTTTCGTGGGTGCTACTCGTATGAGTTCTTAGGCTGATAACATTGATAGGGACAACCATCGTAACAACGATGGCCACGTTCAGCTCTCAACCGTGCATTCTCCTTGACAACATACACGACATACTTCAGAACCTTCTTCGGGGCGTGCTTCTAGACGTTCTTCCAGGTCATGCCAGGTCTCTCCCCATGAGGTGTCTTGACCGCATTGGAGTCTCCGAATGGATTGTCCTCGTCGTCTTCCTCGTATTCGTTCTCGCTGTCATCGCTCTCCTCTGCTCCAGCCTTGCCGAAATCAGGTTTGGTGGGCATGGCGATGTTAGTGGGACGAGGTGGCTTTGGTGGTGCTGCTGCTCCATCTCCATCAATCTTGAGTCCAGCAAGCTGCGATTCAGCACCAGTGGCGTGAGATTTATGATCAGGCATGTGTTCCCAAGCATCACTGTCGCTGTCGTCGTCAAGTGATCTATCCATGATCTCGTAGCTCGTGAGTGCTTTGACCAACTCGTCGTTCGCAGACAACAGACTTCCAATCCACTCATCGCTTTCTACCAATTGAATGTACCTCAAGATGTTTCTTCTGAGTAACTTGCAGACCTCAAAACGGTTCAAGACTTCAACGTTCTCAGAGACACGCTCATTTTCGCGGTTGATAAGCTGCAGAGCATTCAAAAGGTTGGTGGAAGCGATGGAGGCTTGAGCTATACTCTGAATCATGTTTGGCTTTTCCTTTGCGAAGTCGAATTTCGTGGGAGCGGCGTTCTTGTCCTTCTTCCTCGTGGATGCCTTGACGGCATCACGGATAGAGTAATGGGGTGTTGGCGTAAGTGTGACTGGGCGAGAGCTCGAGGCTGAGGCGTTGACAGCAGAGCTTGACCGAGAGTGTCCACGGGAAGGTGCAGATGGAGGAGTAGGCGAGGGATCCTCATGAGCGTCCTCTTCCGTCTCACGGAGAACCTTGGATTGTGCCTGACTGTGACGAGGGCGAGGCTTCTGAGGTAATTGTTTGTAGAGAGTGGCGATATTATGAAGACCAGGAGTATCCTTGTAGGCCACAGCCCATTGACGGTAGAGCACGTTGCACTTGTTGCGTACCTCAAGATCAACCATGTCATCCCTGACCATAAGTCGGAGACGCTCAAGCAAAGGCTCGTCGGCAAAAGTCTTCTGGAAGCGGTTTCCCGCGTTTTGGATCAGACCATCCAGAATGTTGAGAGCCCTGATTTGACGGTGGGCATTGCCATACTTNNGCTACTTCGGGTCAGCCAAACAGTCCACTGAGTGCACGACTTCAAGTCGGGTTCAGTGAACTTACAGCTTCTTACGAATAGCTCTGGCAGCTTCGGTAGGACCGGAAGATTGGATGCGAATGACCTCGACCAGATCAATAATGCCACTGAGATCGTCTTCCTCGTACTGCTCGCTGGTCATGCGATCAATCTGCACCGACACAGCCGAGTATGGCTTTCTCTGTTGGAGAACCCATTGTCTTAGTATTGACTTCAGATCACGCAAGTGGCAGAATGGGCAAGACAATGAGTAACGAGATAGACGACATGGAAGGGCGGAATATTTTGGAGGTGGACGAGTGGGAGGCCCAAGAGCTTTGCACTTTGCTGCTCTCTTCAACTCCTTCTGTTGACGACGCTTCTCATGTATGGCCTCGCATTCTCTCTGCCACTCTTCTACCTCGGAAGGGTTGCAAGGTCCATAGGGACATGGGTAGGCCATGCACCAAGTGAAGAACTCCATGATCTGTGGGATGTAGTGTTTTGTAGGAAAGGGGGATTGGAGTGAAGGTGGGACATGATGGGGGCGGATGTGTTGTAAATAGTGATGGAAGAAGGAAAGTGTAACGTACTGATGAACTTCCCAACATGGTGGTGATTCACCAATGTATGCGCCGGTAGAGGCAGTGACACAGGAATCGACAGAGGTGCAGCTAAACCAACAAGATTGCGTCACCCAGAGCCCGTGTGCTGTTGTGAAAATTGGATGTGCGAAGGAAAATGGGGGATCCGTGATCGTAGATCGCTTTGAGCCGTCAAACCCTAAGGTGTTATTGTGCCTAGCTGTCAAGGGGAATAAGAAGCCGTCAGCCTCTTCCAGCCATGGTATCACATGCAAGAGCGGTATAATGGCTCGGGGCTTGTAAAGAACCATGGGATCAATGTTGCGGCGCAAAGATGACCCAATGGCCAACGACTCAAAGCCATGTCGGAAGTGCGACTCACCAGACGGAGTAGACAGGACTCGAGATGTCCCTGACACAACAGAAGAATAACCACAGGACCTGGACGATCTACTCGTGTTGTCAGATGGCGTTTTGCCGTGCGTCTTCGACTGGGATCAGCTAGACGCAGAACCGCAGACTGAGGAGCCGATAAGCAGGAACAATCCCTTGACCCTTCCTTCTTTGTTCCTGTTCACCGAAGATTGCGCTTACGCGAGGCAGGAACGATTCTCTTGCTTCACAAGAGTTTCGGTCTGGAGATGACAGTCGACGAGTATCACAAGAGCCCACACACAAGAAGATTCAGCAAGATAAAGACGTTTTGTTGTTGGCCAGCTCGTGATGGGGACGTTGTCGGTGAGCACAGCCGTCATCTCCATGGATGCCCCACTTTCTGCCCGATGCTTTCCACTTCGGCCCGCTTCATGCAGCCCGACTGCGGAGGTTAATCCCGGACGCTTCCTTCCTCTTTGACCTCACCTCGTACAACATCCAACCGCTGCTATTAATACGGGTGCCTGCTGGTCTCGATACAATACAGAGGTCACTTTGTAGACCGAGATCCTTCACTTGTCAAGCTTGTCCGGGGCAATCGCTATTGCACCGATATACACAACTGACCACCATTTTGCATGAACGTTTGCGGTTCATGAGACATCTCTCATGCTTGACTTCACAGATCCAGCAACTGCATCAAATCGACTGTCAAGTCTCGACTTACCTGCAAGTAGCAGCCCCTCTCCACTCATGAGTTTGTGAAACAGAACCAGGCTGCATACCCGTTTCCCACGTTTTTTGTCCGAGTTTTTCCAATGGCTGGTGTCACAGAGGCTTCAGCTCCACAGAGGTATGCACAGTATATGTCGTTTATTCGGAGCCTCCCATGGCTGACAATCCTGCTCTACTTCTGTAGTGTATGGCTGGAACAGCTTGCGGAATTCGACATGGACTGGGACAGCATATCGCTTCCAAGTACTCCCAAATGCCCAAAACTTGATACAGCTGCATTATCTCCTTCAACCGAAGATGTTGCATCACTACCGCATGGCTTCGCAAATGCTGCCTCCCATCCGGCCTTGTTGTCTCCAACAGACGACGACTTTTTCTGTGACACACCAGATTTCGAGACCTTCCTTCGTGAAACAGAAGGCATCGACTTCTCTAGCACAACATTGGCATCAACATCAAGTTTTGCCTCAACACCAGCCGCCTTGAACGTTCGTCCCGGATCGTCTTCATCCGATACGTCCGTTGTCCAGACTTCTAAGCGAATCATCCGTGGCACTTTTCCTCCAGCCTTGACCTCCAATTCGCCGATCCCGGGTCTTACCTCTTCAATCTGCCTCCGTACGCTTTTCTGTCTTGGAGAAGCCCTCAACGTAGGTTGTCAAGCTGCTCGCAATGATGAAGACGTGCTTCTTGAGTTCTATTGTCGTGTCATTTCCTCTTACCGCGAGGATAACACACAACACTTCGTACTTGCCGATCTGACCCACGATAACCCGCCTTTCATCAAGGCCACTTTCGCGTCTTAGAAGGGCGTGCCACTGTTTGATGACGACACCAGGGTCTTCCTCGATGGCAAGGACCACGGCGGTAAAATGTGCAGATGTCTGGGAAAAATGAGAAAGCACGGAAGCAAGTGGGTATTTGAGCTGGTCAGTATCTGGCAAGCCACTCTTGATGACATCGAATATGTTGCTGGTATCGTTACTTGAGGCAGTCAACTATTATGTTTTGCTCTCTTGCTTCGGGATCTGGTTGCTTTTTGTTTATCAATGTTGCTCGGAAGATATTGCTTACATTTGAGTGTTTATTTTACTACAATTCGATGATTAATCTTCAGAAGATGTCGGCACAGGCATCAGAGAGATTGAACCCCTTTAATTCTTAGCCGTTTTTTTCTTTCGCCGCTCTGCCCTTCCTAGATGATCCTTGACAATATCTTAATTCACCATCGTTCTTCCTCACCACGACGGAGTAGACAGACTCATCACATGTTTGCTACAGTGAGGCGTCTTTGTTGCTTGTATAGCGCACATGACTTGCTTGACTCTACATCAGCTCTCTTATTCACTTTCACTCATTATGGAAGGCCATATCAATGAATGAAGTTGCAATAATCACAACTCTTGGTAGTGTGGCATAGTGGTCTCAAGCACTACAACCTCGCCGCCACTTATCGTCGAGTAGTCTGGGTTCAACCCCCAGCATGGCCATCAAACGGTAAGCCAGCGCTGTTTCTCATTTCGCACCTTTCTTCCTCACATCCACCCTCACAATTTCGCTTTGTCATAAACACGAATCAAATCGCTTTCTGTGCATTTGTTCATCACCCATGACACCAGCCTAGCAAACTGAGCTCATGCGTGATTTGTTCTCAATAGATCAAAGTTCTTTGCAAGACTTTGTCCCCTCTCCTCGGGCTTGCTTACCTGACACTCATGAGAGGTTCGTTTGGCAATTCATAACCGCGATCAAAGCCGTTTGTTGCGCTCTCTCTCGAGGGTTCCTACCTCGACACTCATAGAGGGTTTTGTTTTGCCCTTTGTTTTGGATATTGTGATATCTTTTTTCTGCTGTTTGGGGTCTTGAGATATTTTCATTTTGTCTCACAAGTACTAGAGAAGTTCTTCTGTTTGATCATGTTCCATTTAATGTCTTGAGAGTTGCAGTCGTCATATAACTATCGAGATGCTTGAGGTTCTGAACTGTACAAGCGTATTAACCGAGAACCCCTGACACTGGGGGCAATTCACTCGGCTCTCAGTGAACAACTTGTACGAGTAGCTAATCTCATGGCCAATGGAACGGTTTGACTCGAGGCAGAATTATAATAACATCAAGCGAGGCAGTTAGGAATATATCTTCATCATCCACGTGTTAACCGATGCGCTCGTACTCGTACTACCGATGAACACAACCAACACAGCAGCAAATCTGTCTCAACCACATCAGTTTGATTTTCGATAAATCTCAGGGCGCAATGACTTACGCAGTTGTACTCGCAAAGATCTCGGCTGCTCTTGCTGAAGTCAATAATGCAAGCGCAATTGAGAACAAGAAAGACAACCCCATGGCCACAAAAATGCGTACCAGTAGAGAGTGTATGAAGTAGAGGATGACGATCGCCAAGGAGGGGATGAGAGAAGATGTCACAACGGAGATGGTGCGGGAGGCGGTTGTGTATCTTTCTTTCGAGTACTTGACAATGCCTAGTTCTTCTTGACCTGGTAAGGNGTATCTGTTGTCGATGGAAGGTTCAAGTCAGCATGGAAAGAGTGAAGCGAAAGTTAAGAGAGCAGAAGGTACCCCTGATATGAGCCCTCTGCGTAAGAACCAGGGGATCATTCTTTCGGATAGACGGTCCTTTTCGCGTGTAGAGAGTACCACTAAATCCGAGGCTCGTCCCTCAGTCCAAGGGAGATCTTCGAAACCACTTAGGAAGTTGTTGCCTCCCGTTTCGTGTTCCAGCCAGCGAGTCATGACTTTGAGGTCGTGGTGACTTGGTGTTTCAAGTCGTTGTATCTTTGCTTGTCGTAGAAGGGCCTCGTCTGTTTCGAAAACTGTTAGCCCCCACTTCAGTTACTGATGAGTTTTAATGTAGCCGGACATACTGTAATCTTTGAGTATGGAGCGTAGGTTCATCTGTACATTCCAGTGCTCTTGTTCCATTAGCGTCCTCTCTTCACCCAGTGGTTTGAGAATGTTGTTCTTTCCCCACGGAGTTATTTGATCATGAACTTCGAGTTGCTGTTCCAAATGGAGTATCTCTGCTTGGTATACCAGCAAATCTCTGGCGTTGAGATCTGCGAAGCCAAGGTATATCGACAAGCCCATTTGAGCACCCATCACTTTCGCCAACCCCGGGTAACCCAGTGTCTGTTGGATGGTCATGTTGTTAGGCGTCATAGTAGGCGGCAAGGTAAGGGCTGCCATTGGACTGTGCTAGATGAGAGAAGTGTAACGTTTTTGCTATGAGGCAGCGGTACAACACCTTTCAAGTAAGCAGGAGGCTTGGTGGCTTGCTGCGGAACGAATAGTCTGACAAAACACTGTTCCAATACGAGTAGTGTGCAGCTGACCAGCCAGCCTCGGCCCTCAATCCATACCATCTTGATCTCGAAGATCAGTAGAAGTCACGATAAAGCGTCTATCTTTTCGAGCTCCGCAAGTCATGTGAACATCCACTAGGGGCAGAATTATGGTTTCTTGAGAATGCATATTCAATCCTCACGGTGAAGAGAGTAACCTCCAACTTTAGTAGCTGCATTAATAGCTATAGAGCTTGATTGGAGCCCTGACAAGAGTCCTGGATCCACCCAGACGACGGTTCTGGCTTCTTTGCAGACGAGACTTCTGATTGCTGTGCAGAAGAGACTTCTGGCTGCTCTGTAGAAGACGCTGCTGATTGCTGTACAGAAGGTGCCTCTGACTGCTGTAACCTGTGCAGCAATTCAGCAAACTGGGAACGTTGACTTTCGCGTTCCTGTATATTTCTGGAAGCCTTCCTCGTGCTTTGGCGTTGCATATCTCTTCGCCACAATTCTGTCATCCCATTGTTAAATTATCGAGCTTCCATACAACAACTTGTTGTTGACTTACCTCTCTCTGACTGAGTCATCTCCGCGATGTTGAGCCCAGGCATAGCACTCAGTTGACTTGGTAGGCCTAAGGAAATAAGATCCGGGCTTTGCACCAGGAAGCCGTACTCGAAAATTGTCTGCCGAGAAAGCAAGACATCCGTGGGCAGTCCATCAACAAGATAAAAGAAGTCCGTGTACTTTTTGTCTCTATTTAGTATGGTCCAAGTTTGTTTGAACATGGTATCAAGTTTGACCTTGGCTCCATTAGCCACTGAGAGTACCAATGGTTTCTTGGGATGAATGAGATCTGCAGCACTCGGTGCTAGCGACTCCACGCAGCTCTTTGATATGCAGTTTACGGATGCTCCAGTATCGAGTAAACAATTCATATCCTGAATGTTTCCTAATCCGTTCCGCATGCATATCGTCAAAGACATATTGTGAGACGTGGTTCCGGCTTCATCGCGCAGATACGAGTCAACTGATAACGACACGGCAGTAGATCGGTAGTCTTCGATACCAAGCAAAGACTTTGTGACGTTGTATATGGCCCCAGCGAATCCAGAAGCCTCGTCAGCTGTCAATCGGCCTAGAGCTCCAGTAGTAGAACCGGTCGATAGCTCACGATCCGAGGTAAGGAAATGAAGATCCGTCATCTCCAATTGAGGACTTCGTAGACTATATGTATGGTTGCTATCACCGAAAACGAAGTTGACAGCGAGTCCGAGGGATTTAAAGCTGGGCTTTTATCTTGAGAGGATCGTAACAGCTGCGCCCTTGAAGGTGCTCCAAAGTGACCATGTGATCGTTCTGTGGCCAAACAGAAAGCAGGTGGCTTGCATATGCATAGCCTGGTCAGCCTTCAGGCTGAGCCACGCTAAAACTTCCCTGAAAGTAACGGACGGAATATACGTAGCGGTGTGCTATTGGGCATAGTCATCCGATTGCTAAAAAAAAGAGCACGCTTGAGTATTGAATGAACGAGATATCGTCGGTAGCCTTCGATACAAGAATGCGAAGGTTGATACAGGTTACCTGTTTCTCCCCTTCGTAACGCTGACTGCCAAAGAATAGAATTAGCTGAAGTGACGGTCAGGGACCAAAACTGACAGAGTCGTTATTCGGTGGTGAAAAATTCCAATTTGCGATTGGTCCAGATCTCTCCAACACCTCTTACTTCGACCGATGGCGAGCTCTCCAAGATCAGCAAAACTCCGGACTTACCCCCACGAGCGTTGAATGCGAACAGCACCGCAGCTGTTTATTACTAATGAAATACAATATAATGATACAGGGGACTGGCATGAAAGCGTGACAGTAAGACAGAGTGTTAGTTTTATTGTTCTCCTCCCTCAGGAATGTAAGAAAGCCATGGATGTTTCACCAACGCACTCGCCCTCTGCCTCTCCCTTGGATCCGAAGCGAGCATTTTCCTCAAAAAGTCACAGAACAGCTCCAACTCATCAATCGGCAATATACCCTGCGCGTCACCCGCAAAACTCTGGCCCACCAAAGTCTCCAAAGAAACGGGAAATCCATGCCCATTGATGCATTGCTGCTCAAACTCTTTTCCCAGTGCGGCATTGTCCAGGACAACGTTTGGGATAGGTCCGAAAGTAGAGACCAAAAGGGCTATGCGATCCTGTTCTGCGGTCACGCCTGGACCCGGTCGTCCAACAAAAGGCAAGTCTCCAGTCATGAACTGGTAGAGCAGGCAGCCGAGACTGAATATATCGACACTGGGGTCCCATGGTGCTTCAAGCGTGACCTCCGGCGCACGAAGGTATTCGGACTGTATATCGTCTGTAAGGTGTTGTTCTATGAAACAAGCAATACCCAAGTCGTTGAGACGGAACTGCATGTTCGGATCGTTGAACCCAGGGCCTGAAGAATGTGTGCGCACGAGGTCATCGATTTCTTGCGGAGACTGGCCTTGGTCGTCCTTGAGGATGTTAGATGGTTGCAGGTCGGTATGAATGACGCCGCACTCGCTGTGCAGGAAGTCTAGTGCTTCGAGTGTTTGCTTCGCAATGTTTCTGACCGTTGGGGGAGGTATGCGCATGATATGTCCGGTCGTAGCTTTCTCCGCGATGCTGTCGCCCAAAAGGGGCATGACCATGCAAACGTGCTTGCCAGTGGGTCCCTCGATTTCAAAGTGGTTCTTCAGATATGTAACATGATGTCGGCCAGGATGCGTGGATTGATTGGAGACAGCGGTGACCTTGGTCATCACCTCCAACTCGAATATCTGGTGTGTGCCGTTGTAGAAGTCGCTGTTGAGGATCTTGAGCGCGGCGTGTTCGCCGTTNNTCTACCAACTGTCAGTATTGGTCCCGATTTGTGGTAAGAAGAAAACTGACGTGCTGTCGATGACCAGCCAAACAGAAGCATATCTGCCAGCACCTAGATGAGTTTCTACTCTGTACCGATCCAAAAAGACCTGGCCAATTTCGACTTTGTAGAACTTGTCGTTGTCATTCTCGGTCAGAGCCCTCTTCAGCAGCGAACGGAAACCCATGGTGATTATGAGGTGTGCGCGTTGATGGGCCTGTGGTATACGTGGTTAGACGCGCAAGGGACGGAGTTGGAGAGATTAGAGTCGCAAAAACAGACGATCGAGGACGAGAGGAGTCTTGAATCTCAAATAGGCTAACAGAAGCCTCCTACCTACTTGCCTACATTCTGGTAGACGTTTGATCGGTGAAGTCATGTGCGAAAGTTTCCATTCTCGAAGGCTCCGAGGAACCTTAGCTAGTGAATGTCTCTCCACAAATTTCCAACCTTGAACGGTTGCGACTGACAACTCTGGCAGCTATGTTTGCTAGTCAATGAACAATCTTGAGCATAGCATGCGCATAATCCCAGATCGTTTGCTCTGTCGCAAAGCAGGAGATCAACACGAACGATCGAGGCAGCGGTTGAACGTCTTTCGCAGATTTAGCAAAACTTGGAAACGTGGAGAGAGATCTGGGCGCGAAACGCGAAAACCAATGATGTCACTCCGAGACGCGATTCTGGCGCTCCCGAGTCGCTGCCTTGAAACACCTTGAGAGCCTCGTGAGCAGAGTCTCAACGTCCATACGAGCCAACAAAAGCATACCCATACATCAAAGATGCCTCCCCAGCCAGTCTACGTTTCTCCGAACCCAGAGACAACCAAGCGTGGTCCCTTTACCGAATTCTTCCTCGAGAGAAATTGTCCTGAGGATGCTGATCCGAAATTCAAGCACCTGTTCACCACTCATCAAAACCTCATGAGAATGTTGATCAATGATGCTGCTATGGACACAAACCGAGAGCAGACCTTCTCCACACCTGCAAACAGCAAGAACAAGGTGTATTTCATGTAAGGCACGACTTATTTGCACTCTGCTTGCCATGCTGACAGAGATGCACAGNNGTGGGACTTCGTCACCCGTTCCTTCCAGATGCTCATCGCAACTGTCAACCCCAAAATCCCAGGCGGCGAAGCTTGGATGGTATGTTTCGAAGTGCTGTGACCAATAAACAATACTGACCGAAGACCANNGGACATCTCGATGAGATCAATGCTGGCCCAACAGCTGATTCTCGACACAACCGGCAGATTGGAGTCCATGAACCAGTCTGTTGGCTACAACGACGATGCTGGCATCCAGTTTAGCGCCGAGATCAAGGCAGAGGCAGAGAAGCTGGACGATTTGCCTTGAGTAGAGCAGGACTCTTACGACATGATGCTCTGCAGTTGATGATGTACGTGTGACGAATTGTCAGTAGGATACTTTTGGCTTTAGTAAGGCAGTATTATCAAATGATCAAGGAATGTTCTCCCTTTCGATGAAAATGGTGATGAGATAATGAGTAGCATATTTGATCAAAGAGAGGATAAAGTCGGTGGTCGGACCTTTTTGAGGAAGTTGGACCCTGAGCTCGGACCTCCTGACCGACAAAAAAATACATTTCGAGTTGCGTTGCAGCGCTTTTCCGCTCGACATCCTCTCCCAAAGGCATATCTCTCTGCCTTTGTTGTGTTGTGCTTTTTCCTTTCTTTTTGATACCCCATATACTTAAAACATGGATGAGCAGCAGTTCGTCGGACTCCTCGAGAGTCTGATGCAGCGTAAGTTCCTCACTTTGGCGAGCCACTTGTTTTCGAGGCTGACCGACTGCAACNNAGCCGACACTGAGCGTGTCAAGTCCGCAACTGCCACCTTGAACAAGACATACTACGGCAACCCTGCCTCGCTCACCGCTTTGCTGCACATCTTGGTCTCGCACCAGAGCCCCAACCTCCGCCAACTGGCTGCTATCGAGTCCCGCAAGCTCGTCAAGAAGCACTGGCTCGACCTCCCCAACGACCAGAAGCCCCAGATCCGCGAGCAGCTCTTGCAGTCCACCCTCAGCGAGGAGCAGTCGCTGGCCCGTCACTCCAAGGCCCGAGTTATTGCCTCAATCGCCCAGATTGACCTCGCCGATGGCCAATGGTCCGACCTCCCCGACTTCCTCCAGAATGCTTCGACCAGCCAGACCGCCAGCCACCGCGAAGTTGGTGTCTACATCATCTACACCCTCCTCGAGACCATGCCCGACATGTTCCAGGAGAACATGGGCGCCATGCTTCAGCTCTTCACAAAGACCATCCAGGATCCCGAGAACGCCGAGGTCAGAATCAACACAATGCTTGCTCTCTCCGAGATCTGCATGGTTCTCGACACCGACGAGGACCCTCAGTCGCTCAAGGCTTTCCAGGACACCATTCCCTACATGGTCCGCGTTCTGCAGCAGGCTGTCGACGATGGCGAAGAGGACCGCGCCATGCAGGCCTTCGAGGTCTTCAACAAGCTCCTCAGCTACGAGTCTGCTTTCTTGAACGCCCACTTTGGCGACCTCATGCAATTCATGATGCAACTTTCTGCCAACACCAACGTCGACGACGACTCGCGTTCTCAGGCTCTGTCCTTCCTCATGCAGGCCGTCAGATACCGCAAGCTCAAGGTCCAGGGTCTGCGCATTGGTGAGCAGCTCACGACCACCTCGCTCCAAATCGTCACCGAGCTTGGTGAGCTTTCCGCCGAGGACGAGGACATCACTCCTGCCCGCTCCGCTCTTGGTCTGCTCGACATTCTTTCCGAGAACCTCCCTCCCAGCCAGGTCGCTGTTCCTCTTCTCCGCGCCATTGGTCCCTTTGTTCAGAACCCCAACGCCGACTACCGTCGTGCTGGTATTCTCGCTCTGGGTATGTGTGTTGAGGGTGCTCCTGACTTCATCAGCACTCAGCTCTCTGAGATTCTTCCCATGGTCCTCCACTTGCTTGAGGACCCCGAGGTCCGCGTCCGTTCGGCTGCTCTCAACGGTGTCGCCAGACTTGCCGATGACCTCGCCGAGGAGATGGGCAAGGAGCACGCCCGTCTCATTCCCGCTCTCGTCAAGAACTTCGACCTTGCTATGCAGCAGTTGAACGGACCCGCTGGTGATGAGAACCTGGCTATCATCAAGCAGAGCTGCATGGCCATTGACTCGATGATTGAGGGTCTTGACAAGGAGGACGCTTCCAAGTATGTTGGTGAGCTGATCCCCAGACTCAGCCCTCTGTTCCAGCACCCCGATGTCAAGGTTCAGATCTCGGCCATTGGTGCCACTGGTTCCATTGCTTCTGCCAGCGAGTCGGCTTTCATGCCTTACTTCGAGGGCACCATGCAAACTCTCGGCCAGTTCGTTTCTCTCAAGGACTCCGAGGATGAGCTCGAGCTTCGTGGCGTTGTTTGCGACTCGCTCGGCAAGATCGCCTCTGCTGTTGGTGCCGATGCCTTCCAGCCTTATGTCACTCCTCTTATGCAGGCTTCTGAGGAGGCTCTGCACCTCGACCACCCCAGACTCCGCGAGACCAGCTACATTCTCTGGAGCACCATGTCCAAGGTCTACGATGACAAGTTTGCTCCTTACCTCGCTGGTGTTGTCAAGGGCCTGATCGAGTGCCTCCAGCAGGACGAGAGCGAGGATGGTATCACTCTTGGCGAGGAGGCCAGAGAGCTTCTTGGCCAGGAGATTACTATTGCTGGCAAGAAGGTCAAGGTTGCAGACATGAGTGCTGACGACGACGACACTACTATTGACGTCGATGACGAAGATGAGGACGACTGGGATGACCTCGGTGCTGTTACTGCTGTTGCCATGGAGAAGGAGATCGCTGTTGAGGTTATCGGTGATGTCCTCACTCACACCCGCGGCCACTTCCTCCCCTACTTCCAGCAGTGCGTTGAGGCTGTCCTCGGCCTTGTCGACCACACTTTTGAGGGTGTCCGCAGATCTGCCATTGGCACTCTCTGGAGAGGTTACGCCTCTCTCTGGGCCATGGCTGAGGACAACGGCATGGCCAAGTGGCAGTCTGGCCTTCCTCTCAAGGTCCAGGCCACTGAGGACCTGATGAAACTCAGCAGTCTGATCATGACTGCCACCCTTGCTCTCTGGCAGGACGAAGTTGACCGGTACGTGTTTAATGTTTTCTCCTTTCCCAGCACACACACTCCTTCTATGATGACCATTCTTCGTTACACCCAGCTCACTTTGATGCACAAATGTGCACTTGATGCGAACGCGATTCTGTTCCTGACTCGATCTCTTGATCACCCTCTCTCCAATCATGACTTGTTCTGCAATTCTTGAACCAATGGCTGACATTTTCAAAATAGTGGTACCGTCACCGACATCCACCGCAACCTCGCCGCTACCCTCAAGCTTTGCGGACCCGCCATCCTTACCGCCAACATTGGCGAGAACGCCGCTTCTCCCGTTCAGCAGATCGTCGAGATGATCCTCTCGATCTTGCAAAAGAGACACATCTGCCAGCAGGACCTTGATGGCGAGGACGAGTTCGATGTCGAGTTGGAGTCATCCGAGTACGACTGGCTGGTCATCGAGACTGCCATGGAGGTCATCACCTGCCTGGCCGCCGCCCTCGGCGAGTCCTTCGGCGAGCTCTGGCAAATCTTCGAGAAGCCCGTTGTCAAGTACGTCAGCGGACAAGAGAAGTACGAGCGCAGCGCTGCCGTAGGCACCATCGCTGAGGTCGTTGGTAATATGGGTGCTTCCGTCACTCCCTACACCGCCAGTCTTATGAAGATGCTGCTCAAGCGCCTTGGAGACGAGGACCCGGAAGTTCGTAGCAACGCTGCCTACGGCACTGGTCTCCTTTGCGAGAAGAGTACCGACGAGAGCCAGATCACTGGCCAGTACAACACCATTCTCGCCAAGCTCGAGCCTCTGTTGCACCAACAGCAGGAGGCCCGCCTTCTCGACAACTCTGCTGGCTGTGTCGCTCGCATGATCAAGAGACACCCCAACAACGTTCCTCTCGGTGATGTCCTCCCGGTCCTGATCCAGCTTCTGCCCCTCAGAGAGGACTACGAGGAGAACGAGGCCGTCTTTGAGATGATCGTTGCCCTGTACCAGCAGCAGAACACTGTCATCCAGGGCCTTACCGGGTCCATCTTGCCAGTGCTGCAAAAGGTGCTGAGCCCGCCTGAGGAGCAGCTCAGCGACGAGACACGCCAGAAGGTGATGCAGTTGGCACAGTACCTCCAGTCGCAATAGAGAGCGACATGTAGTGGAGATGTTTTGAGAGAAGTCTGAGAAGCTACGTCGTCACGCACCTGAGGATACCCCGAGCATAGAGCTCTTTCTTTTTCTTGTTTTTAGTTTTGCATAGCTTGCGGAAATGTTCAAAAGTACGATTGTTGATCTATACAAAATGTGTCTGGTTTTGAAGTGAACTGGAGATGGTTGCATGGGAGGAGGTCCAGCGAGGGTTGCCAGTTGGACGGTTTGGCAGTCGCGGGTCGGGCGGTTGAACCCTGATTTCCACGGCGGCATGCAAGTGCCATGAGGCTTTTGCTTGGTACTGCAGTAAACAGAGTTTCAGACTTCCTTGTGTTGCGCCGTCACTGTGCATGGCCCTGCCGCGGTTAGCAGCTGAAGCCTGGTGATTCTCCTTTTCTCGTCGCCATTGTCGCACATCTCTGACATGACCATGCGTAGCTCGGAGTGCTGAGAGGCACATACTACAACAAGCCCGACGCCCAAGAAATTACAGGAGTATCGACATGTCTGGTCGCACACCAGCAGGAGGGAGCGCCGACAGGACGCGTCCCCCTCTGGCGAGGTTGGGCAGTTCATCAGCCAGAGGCCCCACGCTATCGACAGCAGCCCGACCGGGAAGCAGTGCATCTGTCAGATCCGCGACGAGTAGCACCGCAGCGACGGCAGCCCGACAGCCCTTGCGCCTGGCCAAGGTCGACGAGAACAAGAGACCGACCCTCAATGGTGTATCGAGGCGCATGTCATCCATGAACGGCGTCCCTACTACCACCCGACCTTCATCCAGACTGAGCACTACATCATCACCTGCCACACGAACTCCTACAGCAGCCAGCAGGCCCACTCAGAGAGCCCCTCTGAACTCGACCCCTCGTGCCACCGCTACTCCTCCTACAATCAACCGTACGCCGAGACTGGCTGCCACTGCAAATCCGAGTACTCCCAAGACCCCTTCGACTGCTCCTAAGGCCCCCACTACCGCTCCCAAGGCCCCCGCAACTACTCCGAGGAAACTGGCGGTGAGACCGTCGCTAGGAAAGATCGAGAAGCCCACACTATCCAGTCCTGTCAAACTCTCAAGGTACGATCATACTCGCTCTTGTCGACCCTTGTTGTC